GGCGCGGCTATATTAGTAACAGTATTACGGAGTGTGTTACTATTTGAGAAAGAAAGGACATAGCTATATTAGTAATAGTGTTACCGAGTTATTATTAGTTAAAGAGGAAGATTAGAAGCGAGGTAAAGTTAACGCTAAGACGGCTAGCGCTACTATTATTAACATTACTTACTATTGTCGCTACGCCTACGAAGATAACCTTACCTATACTACGGCCTAAGGCCGGAAGCGTACTATACTAACTAAGTTAAAAGAATAGCTATATTAAAGGTTTGATTAAAACTTTAAGCCGCTTAAAAGATTAAGCGACTAATAGACTAACTAAGGGCAAAAACTATAGAGCTAAGCTAGCTAGGGTCGATCTTGCGGATAATAGGTTACTCCTCGATCTTTCCGACCCTTTAAGCGAGGCGAACCTTAACTATTATACTTATAATAGCCTTTACCTATAGAAACTAGAAGAACTAAGTTTTTTAAAAAGATATAATTAGTTAACACTTAAAGGCTACTAAACCTAACTAATTAGGGCTAGTAAAACTACGATAGTAAATAATAGTCCTCGTAATAATAAGAACAACCCTCGGAACGGACAAACCCTCGGAGCGGACATTTCTAGGTCTTTTAAGAGTAGACGCAAAGAACTCGGTACGACATTACTTAGAGCGGAGGCAGTGCTATAATACCTCGTACGTCTACCTATTATAGTAGGGAAGACGCGCTTGTATTATAATTAGTCGATAGTCCTTAATTCTCGTAGTTATATACTACTTTATTATATATAAGGATAGCGCAGTTAGAGTTAGACATTGTATTAGAAGGTGAGGTTTAATATAGTTACATAATTAGGTAGTTAAGTGTTTAATTTAGCGCGACTAAGCAGCTTATTAGACTTGCTAAGTTAGTAGTAATAGAGGTCGAGATTAGAATATAGACAGGCTACGAGGGCGCGGCCTTTAGAAGGGAAGCGTATATTAGGGCTAAAGAGGCTACACGTAACTAGCATATAATCAGGCCGAGTAAAGCTAGGGTCTTAGTGCCTTAGGTAGGGCTTGGCGCTTAGCGTTAGGCTAACTAGCCTACCTTCCTCCTTCTCCTCCTAGTTCTCTATCGAATACTACTTGTATCTACTACTACCCTATCTACCTGCTAACATAACCTATATCACAAATACTATATTAGTCTAACTTTTAGTATTATAAAGATTATTAGCGCGAGCTATCGACGGAGTTATTAGTAGAGTTTTAGATATATCGGAATAGTAGTAGAAAGTAGCGTACAATAAAGGGTTATAATAAGAAGCTAGTATTAAAGAAGATTGCGAAGGCGCGTAGTTATTAGGTAACGATAAAGGTCGTATTTATTAAGTAAGTTAGAGAGCGAGGGGACCTAGAAGTTATTAGTATTAAGGTACGCCGTAATAACGCTACTTAGTATAGTAAGTACTATACTATACGGCGATTTAACCTATAGAAGCGATACGACGCTTTAATAAAGGCGGTTAGACTATAGATATATAAAGGATATAAACTAAGCGTAGTATATAATACTATCTCTATACGATACGACCCTAGAGCCCGCGAAGTCTTTCTCGCTACCGGCGGTACGTATTTAACTAGGAAATATTATAATAACGCTAGTAAGGCTTTCTGCGAGATATATAGAGATACGAGGCTTAGTAGGTAGGTTAGTATATAGTAGGACTAGTAAGAAGATCTATTATTATAGCTAAGAGAAAGTAAGTTAATAGGATAAAGTAGATAAGATAAGGTTAGAATTAGTATTATAGGCCGCTCGGTTACGCTCGCTATATTCCGAGTAGCTAATTAGATCTACGGATTCTTTCCGAGTCTCGAATTTGTCTCGAATTCGAGAGCTATCTAGGCGACTAAATTCTTTAGGTTTCCGCTATTCGGCTAGTAAAAAAAACTAAAACTCGGAGTTCCTAGAATTCTCGGATAAAGCCGCTTACCCTATATAATTATTAAATTAGCTAATTAATTCTAATAAATCTAAGGCGGGCCGGGCTTCTAGCGCGACTTAGTAAGGAACGCCGAACCTCTAACTTGTTTATATTTTAGAAACTAAAACAAAATAGCTAATTCTTTTTTTCTAGATAACTTCTACGCCGCTAACATATTAGCAATACGCGCCGTCGATAAGAAGTAAACAAATACGATAGTTTAGGTCTATAAAGACCGACTCGCGCTACTCGTATAGCGTAGATAGCTCTTACTAATAGATACGACTTATAAAACTAACTATCTTAGCTAGTTCTTATATACTATAATAATACGCGACGAGAACAGCCTCTAGCGACCTATTACGCACTTTCTTAGTACTACTAATAATAGCGATATTATATTAGCGTATCTTAAACAGATTATCCGATAGTCTAGCGGCCGCCGTAGTTATAGACTACGATTCTTCCTTACTAACGACTCGGTAGCCGAGAGACGCGCTATTCGATTAATATAGCTACTAGTATTACCGGTAGACGAGAATACTACGGAAATAGCTACAGAAGCTACTTAAATCTAGGACTCCGAGTCCGACGACGATAACTTCGAACCTCTATACTAAACCGACTATCTCCTCTACTACGTTTACCTCCTATAATCTATTAAGCGCTACTTTAGCGGTAAACTAGCTAAGAAGGCACGCTATTACCTCTATTCTACCGTTAAAATTAGGCGCTCCGTCGCTAGTTATATAGACAGCCTATAAAGCGCTATTCTAAGCATTCTAAAGGACTATAAGTTTAATAAGAGGTTAGAATATATTACGAAGGAGCTAACGGATAATATTTGCTACTAGGTACTCTATTATCGTATAGACTCTTCTATTCTTATATAGGTAAAGGATACTAATATCCTCGAAGGTTATTATAACAAATATAAGTATAAGAATAAGGCGCAAATAGCTAGCGAATATACCCTCTATAGTATAGTAATATATATAGAGGTAAAGGACTGCGAATACGACTAACGCTTACTTAATTATACTAAGAGTAAGGATAGCAAACTTTACCCTCTCGCTACTAGCGATAACGAGCTATTAAAGCGTTAGTTACTAGAGTTTCTATAGCGGTTATAATAGCTAATTAGGGAGTAATACTAGAAGGGCACTTAACCTAACTTCGTCGTAGCGTACTTACTTAGTAACGAGACAACGTACGAGTATAGATTCTATCTATAATACTAAGTCGCCTACGCTAACCTATAGTGCTGCTATTTCTAACTTAGTTAGAATATAATCTAAGACTATAACTTTTAGCGCTAGCTATTTATATTTAAAGACGCTAAATACGATAATAGCGGCGGCTTCTTAATCTATAACCGAGTAACGACTTTATACGCTATTAAAGAGCTCTACGACGATATTAGTACGCCGGGCGTACCTAACTTCTTATACTACGAGCGTATATACGAGTATAGCGACGATATCCGCTACTAGATATATACTATTAAATAGCGCTACGCCGATAACTAGGTACTATTTAAAGACCGATAACGAGACTAGAAGCGCTTTATTAAGCGACTTAATAATATAAGTAGACCTCGACGCGCTAAAGCTACGCGCCTCGCTATAGAAGATTACTTCGGCCTCGAATTACTACTAAATATACCTCCTTTATAACTATCGTAATAGCCGCTACCTACTAGAGTATAGTATACTATTAAGTTAATACTACGTTAATCTTAGCTAAATCGCTAGTCTATCGACTAAGAAGTCCTATAAAGGTAAGAGTAAGGCGACGGTTAAAAAGGAGGGGTTATATAGTAAGGTTCGCGAGATAGGTATAAAAGAGGTAATAGTAGAGATAATAGATATCTTAGCGACTATCTTAAGAGCGCTAGCGGCCTTAGAGATCGAGTCTACTATACTAGCTACTATATAACTAGCGATACCGGAGGCGTAGGTCGCTCTATAGCGTAATCTATACTAGCCTCTACCCTCTATATAGGTAGGTATAGTAATAGATCTATCTCTACGGCTATTTATTTCCTTTAATATAACTATCTCTTACGACTTTGCCTTAGGTAAGCGGAAGGCGCCGGCGACGGTAAGGTCTAGTAAGAAGCGTAAATAAGTCTATATATCTACCGCAATATTAACTAATAACTAATAATACCTAACTTTAGTCTATACTACTATTTCTTTAGCTTTATTTTTAGCGACGGTAAGGTCGGATACTACCCCTACCCTGCGCGACGCGACAATATCACGTAGATCACGGTTTTGCTAGGGGTTAGCAGTGGAAACGGATTCTCAGCATACGCCGACCTCCGTTCCGGCAGTGGCTACTATAGACGTATCCCAAGTCACGGCCAACCGACCCGGACCATTCATTATGTAGGGACGGGGACGCACAATAATGTGATGCAGGGTGTCGCTCGCCTTCTAGTTATTGCCTTCTCCTTTTCACATCGATCGGTGTGCCAGAGGTATCGATCAACGGGTCAGACAAGGCTGGCAACATACCGTTGGAAACTGCTGCCGCCAAATGCAAGTGTGTGCCTAGCCTAGGCCAGCTTTTCGTCAGGTGGCGCATTGCAGCTCCTCAATCCTTAGCCTCCGAGATCGTCACTGGGCTATGGCATGATTGTCAAACAAAAGCCATTATATCGATCCGTCGTTGTATGCACGAACACCCAAGCTGCCAGAAAGGCGACCCTGCCAATTTCCCCCTTGCAGCCAATGCGTGTTCTCCGCTACCGACGTCCGATTGACCACGCTTGGAGCACGCGCTCAGCCCATATGTCGATGAATCAAGCTTACAACATTATCGACGCCAGCGACCTGCCTGACGGATCTCGCAATGAAGAAGCCCAAACGTTTACACGCGGCCAGCGATCAGCATGGGATGCCATTGCAGACCACTGGAACATGTTCCAGCACCCGGAAGTAAATGGCAGAGTGGAGGATGGCAATGACATGTTCACCGAATGTCTTCTGCCTGTCGTTGATGAGCTCGTCGTTGGTGTCCAGGAGAAACCGTTCTGGATCTCGGCGCTGGAAGTGGTATTATCTGCCGACGGTTTGCCAAAAAAGGCGCGCAAGTGGTCGGCCTCGACTTCTCGGAAGCCATGCTAGATATTGGCCGCGAACTCAGCAGACAGCAGAACCTGGACCATTTGGTGGAGTTTGGCACTGTGGACCTTACAGATGTTCGAAACATGAATTCATTTATGGAGAAGCGCAAAAGACGCATGCGAGCTGATGGGTTTGTCCGTGCCTTCCACGCTCATCAACCCGTCGTACTGAGCAAATCGCAGGAAAGACGAAAACGAAGCCAAATTCGACATTATCACTATCAGCACCACTCTGAAGTCACTTTCAAGCTTGGAAGCTCTCGCCAAGATGCTTCCATACATGCTCAAGCCTAATGGGCGGTGCGTAAACAGCACATTCTAGAGATCCATCCGCTGACACAAAGACCAGCATTGTGATCGTCGATCTTCATCCAGCCTTCTCAAAGCCCGCCGGTCATCGAGGAATGGAGATATTCGAAGACCCGAAAACCGGCAGGCAGCAGCTAAGCACATATATCAAAGTGCCCAAATATCTCAATATTCCACCAACCATGAGCGAAGCTGTGCGAGGACAACCGGAGCCATTGGTTTGTTTCCCAGCACGGGTGGTCATAAACTGTACTGACCTTTCATAGTGGGTATTCCATAGACCGTTGTGGGCACTTATGGAACCCTTCTTCCGCTGTGGCTTGGTGCTGGATGGCATTCGTGAGCCAGCTTTCGAGGGAGACCCGATTCCCTCCCAGGCTCAATCATATCACAACTTCCAGCAAACGCCGATGCTTTTAGCATACAGACTTCGACACTGCGCGCCCCGAACTTGAACCCGGTACAAGGGCTATGAGTACCCAGCCAAATGTTTCGCTGAACGTCTTTCCATAGAACCGCTAGCTAGCAATGACCGAACCCGGTAGCATTCATAGAAATGACATTACTTTGGAAATGTAGTGGCGAGATGACTTCTATACGGTCCACCTGTCAATACTGACGTACAGCAGAAATGAAAAGCAACATTTCGCCAAGGCACGAAGTTCTGTACTACATTTTCAATACCTTATGCTGTGCAGATAAATTCATGATATCTTTTGGAACAGGCCAAAAAGTCACTGCGCTGCTCTATGTCATGCTTATGCTTATGCTAACTATAGTTCAGCCCCAAAGCTTCGGAAATGCCACCCATTTCATTATTTACATATATGCTCGATCCCGGAATGGCTGACTCCAGCTTCGTGTATGTCTTTCATTCGCTCCAGTCGACCATGGAATAGTTGTGGCTCTTCTGATCCCAGCTGCTTGATGAGACTCCATGGATTCTTTGCTAGGCGTTTCCGATGACATTCCGCGCCTCCACGGCTGTAGCAAGGCATTAGTCAATGACTCGGTACCGTGCCTGGTAATCAGCACAAAGACCACCACAATCAGCGTAAGTGGTATTCCGAGTGCGAAGAAGAGCCAGAATGTATCGGTATTTGCGGAGAAGTCTGGAGACATGCTGAGGAAGCTTGATGCAAAGTTCAGTGGCAGAAACACAGTTGCCAAAATTGTGATCCGACCAAGACTACGGTTTTGTTTCATTGAGCTGTCCGCCCTGCGGCTGTCGGCAAAACTGATTGCAGAAGAAAATTTTATCTCCATGCTTTGGAGTCGGGACTTGGCTTCCTTCATTAGACGTTCGACGTTCTTGAAGTCGGCATACAGAGCGTGCAGTCCTGACAGCTTCAAGCCATCGATTTTACAGTCTATGTTGGTCGGATCGCTAGACTTCTCGAATTCGCTTGGGAAGAGTTGTGCTATCGACTCAGCAATCATCGTCTCGTAGTACACAAAGTTTCTTCTCCAAGGCGAGAGCTTCCGGAGCTGATTCTCCATGCCAGCAATTATGTCGCCGCGGGAGTCTGTCGGTCTCTCAAAGCTCCATTCGATCAGACTTAGCATTGTGGCCATGTATTTGATGAGAATGAGCCAGTCAGCAACAATGAACTTGAGCATTGAAATGGCCATACATTTTGGATCCTCTTGTATGAGAACCAGATCATGAGGAGACATTCGACTACTTTCCAGGACCACATCGTCGAATAGGCTTTTGCCCTGAGGCGCCTTTGCTGGCTGGTTTGGGTCTTTCAACCAATCCGTCATTGTTGGAAGATTTCCATAAAGCGAATGTCCTCCCCATAATGGATAGCCGCCTGTCACGGTCGGATCAATGAGCAAAACACACGTAGGGGGCTCTCTCTCTTGCTTGGGCGTGACCCAGAGAGACATTTTCGCTCGGGTAAGGGTTACACTTGCCTCTGGAAGGTCAAGCACGTTGCCCTGTAGGCGTTTCCGACTACGATCGCTGTCCAGCCGCCTTAGCACATTGAATTTACCGCTTTCCCTTTCTGCCCAGGTAAACTCCGACTCGGATTTAAAGTATCGCGGGCGGAGGTATGATAGCGTTAAGTGGGACTGCGCCCTGCTATCGATCTCCAGTCGAGGAGGCTCGACCCATCGGTCGCGCGTATTATGGAACAAGTAGTCCGAAATCTGAGAGCGGAAGACCAGGGGGTCCATATTGAAATACCCGCCCAATGCCTCAATTGAGCTCCGTGACAGATCCTCGAGGATAACCAAGCGAGCCGCAGGCTTCTCTGACCCAAGTCCTTTCGTTGCCAGAGCAGCCTTCAGAGCTGCAGCATCATTGAAATGCTGAGGCTTTGGCGTAGAATCCGCCACGTAATCGATGATACAAGCCCTCGTACGTTCCGCTCGTTCTTGACGACTTTCAGGATAATTTCTCAAGAATTTCCACTTGGGAGGTGCGCAAGTAACCTCCATCCAGTGAGCAAGATATTCCAAGTGGGGCAAGCTCTTGGAGATGTGCTTGATATATTGTAGATAGCGACCTGGTCTACGCACGTCAGCTCAGGCTCTGCGTTGGTGGTAAGAACTTTGCACTACTCTTCTACTGCCCATTCCCTGGCACACTTCCAATTGATAGCCTCATAAGCATCCCCAATGTAATAGGCATCTCCGCCTTCATCTGTATGGGGTTGGATGGCATCCTCCCACTCCGTCACTCTTCGTTGCAAGTGCTCCGGTAGTCTGTCAAACTCCATCTTGAAATCGAGATCGGTTTTGGAATTATCGACTTCAGAGAGCTGCAAAGACGTTACAGGTGATTCTTCCTCGTCCGTGGCCCTTGCACGAGTACGGCGAGGCCCAAGCGATCGCATGGCGGACCTAAAGCTCAGTTTAAGCTGCCGAAATCAAATACCACGACTGCAACAAAGAGACTGATGCGAGTGTTGTAAGGCTCGTCGAACAGTGGCGGAGTAATGAGGCCGCCTGCATACGCCCGAGTGCGTGCCTCCAGCCGACCAATGGGACCCACAGTGCTGAAGGGTGTGCAGTGTTGAAGCCCATAGGTTCTGAAGAGCGACTATCTCAGAGATTGATGTATGGGGCTGAGAAGGTTGTAGAGCACTGCTACCTGCTGTGGGAGCTCGCTTGGAACCATGCATATTGCGCTTGGCTTATCGAGACCGGGTTAGCTATGCGCTTGGCGTCAGCTAATGGGAACAGCTGATTATATATGCAACAGGGTGTAGCGTAAAGTCACATATGCTCTTGACTACTGTACCTAAATCGCCAGATCTTGACGCGTATGTATGTATGTATGTATGCATATTACTCTCCCGTCCTTTCTTCCCTTAGAATTTGTGTGCTCGTCTCCTTCCACTCACCATCACGTCCTAACACAATACCTAACATTGTCCAAAAACACAATCGTCGCAGTCTGAGACAAAGAACTCGTAATCTTAACCGTAACTTCCTTGGCATTCACAATTCCATTCAATTTCCAAAACTCCATACTACTTCCCGTCAGTTGATCCGGGCCCCATTCCAAGGACTGAGAAGGAAGATTATTGCCAAAGATGTCCTTGCCCGTGACCGTGACACCGCACGCAGTTCTGACACCGGCTAGGGATACCATTGTATTCAGTGCACATCCGATATACAGGCTGTCGAGATCGAAAGACTTTGTCGTGCCGGCAGGTTTGATGGTGGATTGAGGAGTGATTCCGATCTGTCCGGTTGGGAGACCCCCGAGCGATGTGCCGCCGACTCCGATTACGGCAGTGTTGTTTGGGGATTGAGGTCTAATTGGTGGCAGCAAGTTGTTCTCAAAGGGCTGCGAGGTGATGAGTACAGAGTGTGTCAGGCGTGCTCATGAACGTACGACGAGCACCGCAGTGCCGTAATCTAGATTTCCGTAAGTGGCCGTGCCAATCTTGTTGAGGACCGGCAGAACTTCGCCGAGTGGGTTGGGCTTCAGAGTGTCAAACTGATGTAGGGTGGTTAGTGCGATAGCTTTCAATGCCGGACGTTGACTGACAGTCTCAGTGAATGGCCTGCATATTGGGATGATGGTAGCGCTGCACAGCGCGGCGAGGATGCAGGGCAGTAAGATGATTCTGAGCATGTTTGAAGGTCTTCTGAGGGAGAGGTCTGCGATTGTGATTCTTCATTTCGACGATCAGGACCTGGCCTTTATAGCCCCTTCGGGCTTTATGTCCTGCTAGCTGCCAGTACAAGGCTTTAGCGAAGCAGGTCTCGTGTGTTCAGTCTGATGAGAGCTGTGGCTGGGCTTGGGCAAGCCAGGATGCAACGGTAATGTTCGGATTTGCTTGTCGTTGAGCGCATTCTAGTACGTTATGGTCTGCCATTCTGAAGCCTCTTCGTCAGCTACCTTTATTGTTTCGCACTTGTCGAAGCCCAGCGCCTCCGAAGGTCAATGAAACCCTCTCATGCATTGATAGGCTGGGTGTCGAGGGAGCGTGGAAAGTAAAGTCTGATGCAGACAATGGAAGTGAGGGTTCTCGCCTATTCACGTGCCACTGCATTAGTGGTATTGTGTAGTCAGCATCGGGGCTGAGTCCATCTCCGTCTGGGCGAGCAGTTGTCGCGTTCCTCAAAGACCGTACGCTTGCAGTCAGGCGAGTGGCGCCATCGAGAGACGATTCATCCTTTCTGATCGAGATCTTTGACATTTCTACTCGGGACAAATGGCCGTACGCCTCGTGCCAGGAGGCATCGAGAGGACGGAGACGATGGAAAGTCCGCAAGGCCTCGCTGATCGAACTGCGAGTCGAAGTGAGTATTCATGGTACATTAGCGATGGCGGTTGAGAAGAGCTCCGCTCAGAGACCACACGTGCTCATTCTGGATTGCTGCGCTCATATGCCTAGCGTCATGCTTATGCCATTCGAGAGTCGGCCTGAGTGCTTCTCAAGGGGATCCTGCCATGGGTCACTGTTGCAAGACCAATCTCGAACAGGCCTTCTTTCCACCGGGTATACAGCTTCTCTACGGGCTCAAATACGTTTTTTTTTTGCCTTCGCTCTGAGGTGAAGCTCCACACAAACTCACTTCCGTCATGAGTATGAGCATGAATACTGTCGCGTGCATGCTTCACAGCCTTGTCACTGCATTCTATCCACCGCGGAGATTTCGCTTGAGAGGCGATGTCAGACGTCCATCCACGAATAGATCAGGACTCGTAGTTTGCTCCGTACACGTAGCACAGTCGCCATTTGGTCGCAGAGAGGTGGGATAGGAGATAGCATGTGAGACGGCGGTCTGGTGACTGCCTATTCACGCGTCGTGAGCGCCTGGTGAATGTCTCCAACGTGACTCAGTCCGGATCAGCCTCGCACTGATGAGTGTCGTCTCTGTCGGTATACCGTTGGCGAGATGGACTTCGACGTGGTGATGGTGTGCGAGAAAGAAGGCCACAAGCGCGTCGACAAGAGAAGACGTCTCGGGCAAGGGAAAGCAAGGATTAAAACTATGACGAAGCCGCAGCTCGCATACCGACACGTCAACACAGTCAACACCTCCCCTAGAACTACACCACGACTTCTCACTATTCCCGAAGCATCTACACTCAGCACCACTACCCGCTCCATACCAACAATCTGGCGCCAGCACGATCGAGAGGCGCACTGGCTGGCGCGCATGTCGATATCGGTCTCCATCGGGCACACCGGCCAACGTCTGCCACTCGACCCAAGCCTGACGGGCACGCTCGAAGCCGTGAAATCATGGATCGCCGCGCAGACCAACATCCAACCGCGTAGTCAGATCTTGCTCACGTCGCAGGGAAAGCAAGTCCGCACCCAGACGCTCTTGACCGAGAACGAATTATTCGTATTCGACTCGAGCTGGTTGAATGGCAAGAAAGCCGCGAGTCCAGTCAAGGAGCCCCCAAGCTTGAGTGCCAGCTCCGAAGACGCCAGCAGCCATTTCAACCCTGGCCCAGCGCCCGACACCATCACGAGCACCAACGATCTGGCATCATGGCAGAATCTGTTCAGAGTCAGGAGGAACTGGGCGGCCGGCCTGCTCGAAGGCTGCAGCGCGCGCGCAAAGCAGGCCGAGCAGTATCAAAGCGAAAAGGCGGTGATCGAGCGCTGTCTCGCTGTTGCAGTCGCGAGTTTGCAGCACCACATCAAGAGCGCCGACAAGCACTATGCAGCTGCTGAGGCGCGAGCCAGCGAGCTGTTGCAAGAGCAGCAAGCGCACGCCGACAACTGGGAGCGCAACTTGGAGAGCCTGCGCAATATTCCAGCCAGACCTGACTTCACGCGCTTCATACAGCCCATGCACATGTCAACTGCTTCGCGGCGGCAATCGCAGCAGCAGCATATCACCACGCTGCAAGGCTATGTGGACGTGGTGACTGTCAAGCAGGCCGCAAGTGCAGCCAGAGCTTCCATGAATACACTTGGCAGTAAGTTGGACGCTATGCGTGACGAGCTGGACTCGGCCACTAGTAACAGCAATGACCTGCTGCAAGCTGTAGACCAGCTGAGCAATGATTCCGTGAACGAAAGTGCCTCTGAACCCGCTCAGCTAATCGAAGAGATCGACATGGTTGTGAAAAAGATGGCTTCCGATCTAGAACATGTACAGTCACTGCCTAAAACCTCTCAAGCTTGTGCTCAGGCTTCAAAAATGGCCCTGCTTCACACCCGCAACTACCTTCCCAATCTCAATGACTATTGCGGCGAGATGAACGAGCTGGTACAGCAAGCGAAACGAGGTCGCGACGGTGCTGCTGATATTGCTCTCGAGCACATGCGAACGCTATCTATGATCGAATCCCAGCTTGCCAAGCTGTACCAAGACGTCAAAGAAATCGATCTGCCCGAGGACCAGGAGGCATCTTTGGTGACGCTCAGCATAGTATCGCGACTGCCTTCGGTTTATGGCCATCTGCTTGTTGAGTCAGTCCGGCGGCGAGAGTGGGTGGCGAAGATGAGACGAGACTCCATGACCCTGCAGGAAGAAGTTGCTGTCTATCAAGAGGAGGAAGAGAAGAGAAGGAAAAAGTGGATGCGCAATGTCGATGACCTTGTCTCAGCAGAAGCCTTGCAGAGTCGGGTATTAGGCATCGAACTCAGTCTGCAGAATGAGGGCGGAAGTTGGCCCATGGTCACAAGAGAAGAGCTTGACGAGTATATCAAGACACTGCTCGATGTCTTCGGTGCGGGACCGGTGATAGACGAGATCGACTTGGCAGTCAAAGACTTGGACAAGCCTACTCGGAAGCAGATCAAGCACGCACGCGCTTTCAAAAATGGCAGCATGCACGAAGCTGCATTTGGCGACACTTCTTTGCTGCTCCGTGGTCATGATGCAAACAAGGCCCTCCAAGACAGCAATTCTCGCCTTGAGGAGGAGGTGCGAGCTCAGAAGAGTCGGGTGCGAAAGCTCGAAGATCTGCTACATCGACAGACTCAGGTCAACAGGGTCAGTACTGGCGACATCTTCACGCCTACGAGCGAGGGAATAGGCTCACATCGCATACCAACTCCAACGATACCCAACGATCATTCTCGCCGCAATTCGATGAGCCAGCAGCGTCGCGGATCGTTGGTGCAAGGCCAGAGCAACGAAGAGAGACGACTTGCTAAGCGTGTAGTCGATCTTGAAGCAGAGCTGCAGGCACGCAACGATGAAGCAGCCTCGCGAAAAAAGTCAGATGCAGAGATACAAAAGCAAGTCGATGAAGCTATATCCACTAAGAAGGATCTCATGGAGAACATGGATGCTCAACAGCGCGAGTTTGCCATCGAGAGGCGCAATCTCGAAACAGAGCTGCGTGAAGTCAAGGAGAAGCTCGAAGAAGCTGAAAACGAGGTGGAGAGGCTGATGGGCTCTAGGGATGGCATTGATGAAGAGATTGCACGTTTGAAAGAGGACGCATCCGGCCACGCTGCAAGAGCTGCGACCGAGCATGACGCTCGTGGAGCTTTAGAGAGGAAATTGGAGCAGGCCCAGACTGCACGACGGCAGGCCGAGGAAGAAATGCAGAGGATGCGCGCGGAACAAGAGCGAATTCGTGAATCTGAAGCGGAGCATCTGCAAACACTTGCAACAACGCATGCGCACCTTTCACCTGACGCTGAGTCTCCGACGGGATTGCTTGGTCTTTCTGCTGCACTCGAAGAGCTTGCACGCAGGTCAGCGACTCACGCTAAGGAGCTTGAGGATGCTGTGGCGTTTGCGAAGTCTGAAAATGAAAGCCTCTGGTCAAGTAACGAACGACAGAAGAATGAACTGGCGACTGCTGCACAGAAACAGGCAGAAGCTGAGGATGAGGTCCGACAAGCGCATGAAAAGTTGTCTTTCGAAGAGGCAAGGGTCAATGCCTTACAGGAGCAGCTCAGTGAGGAACAAGAGCAGCTGCGCTCGCTCCGCGATAAGTTTGCGGAGGGTGAAACTGGCTCTGAGGTCCTGCGACAGCGTGTAGCTGAAGAAGAAGGCCGTTCTGCTAAGCTGCGGACTGAGCTTGCAGAGGCAAAGTCACACATCACCAGCCTGGATGTCGAGCTGATGAGATTGCAAAAGAAGCACAAGCTCTATCAGATCAACGCCGATGCTTCATCGGAGCGCCTGCAAAAGCGTGCTGATCGGGCGAAAGAGATATCACAGAAGCTGTACACGCAGAACTTGCGACTTGGCCGCTTGCTGGAGAGACTTGGACTGGTGGTGGCGTACCAGGGTGAGTCTATGAGTGTCGAACGCGCCTCGAAGATGGCTGCGAGCACAACCATGATCGACCCATCAATGCACATGAGCCGGCAGGCATCTATGACTTCGCCGTCGCCGACCAGGAAGTCATCCGCAGCCGATAATGAGCCTGGAACTGATCTCCGACTACTGCATTGGCCCGATGCGCAGACTGCTGAGGAAGAAGCATCTCAATATGAAGCCTTCCTTAACCATGTCACTCGCTTCGATCTGGATGTCTTCTCTGATGCCATTACAAAACGTGTCAAGGATTACGAATACACAGCGAAGAAGTACAGCAAGGAGTCGAAAGACTCTACCAAGCGTGCGGATGCGTATAGAGAGCGTGCTCTCAAGCTTAGGAGCGAAGCACACAACAAGATCGCAGTTCGTGATTTCAAAGAAGGAGACATGGCACTCTTCCTTCCGACCAGAGGCGGCCAGGTTAAAGGTGCATGGGCTGCATTCAATATTGGTTGTCCGCACTACTTCCTCGCCGAGCGTGACGGCATGAGACTTGGCACTCGCGACTTCATTGTCGCGCGTATCCAGAAAGTCGAGCAGAAAGTGGTCGACCTCAGTGGTCAGCGTGCAGCGGCCCAGATGGCTGCCGATGGACGAAGCATCGACGACGCAAGCGCCTCCTCCATGCAGGACGAAGACGACAATCCCTTCGATCTGTCAGACGGCCTGACGTGGTGGATGGTTCATGCTGTTGAGGAGCGTGTCGCAGGCGCAGCACCCACCACGCCCGGCCTCGGCAAAAGCACTGTTTCCACCGCCACTGTCGACGCCAAAGGCAGCATTCGCATCAAGAGGAGCAGTAAGAGTGACGACGCCAGCAAGCATCTCAACAAGAGCCTGGACTCCCGTCGCTCAAGCAGTAATTCGAAGAAAGGTGTCACATCCACTGGCGCAACTGGTAGCGCTTCCGCCACTCCTCGTCTCCGCTCCGCAAGCCAAGCATCCTCACTTAACCAGCAACATGCACTAGAGCAGCCTCAGCAGCAACCGCGGCCTCCGCCTGCAGCAGCCGGATCTGGCCTCGGCATTACTCAAGAGCCACATGAACAGGTGCGCCAAGACCTTCTATGGGGTCCATGATTTGCGAACAGAATCACGCAGCAGAAAGCATGGACCTAGGATAGGCTTCCCAAGATACCCATATAGACTAACATTTCACACCACAGATCCGCAAGCTCTCGACACCAGGGCGCCCAGCATCTGCGAGAAGAGAGTCCGCTTCGCCGAGCAAAGCGCGCTCGAAATCACCCAGCAAGAGTGTGAGATCATTGCAGAAACATTTACATGTGGAGAGTCCTAGCAGAGCGCCGAAAGAGTCTGGATGGAAGAGCCTTTGGAGCGCGGAATTCTCGACTGAAAGTCCTAGTAAAGAGAAGAAGAAGTTGGATTGGACATGATCTGATCAGACCTGCGATCACGTACGCCATAATTTGTCGGGAGGAGCATGTGAATGCTGGGGTTTGCATGGCGTGGTAAGCATTGATATCGTGCAGCACAGTGTATTGCTTTTGACTCTGCGCTTTGACCTTGCTTCTTTTGACCACCTCTGTGCTTGTAGTACTGATGCACCTCGCAGCCATATTTGGACTCGTGCGGTACAGTGGCGCCTGTACATAGGCGCCTACAGCGCTATTCTTGACAAGCGCGAGGAAGCGCAGGGCACATCTGCGGCTGACAGCTGACAGGGATTTGTTTGCTTGGTGTACATGCTTAGTGCCCTTATCTGGGGCCAAAAGCATGCAGCTTGCACGAAGGATTCTTCCCATGCTGTCTGCGCCCGCTAAACTCCGACCCAACGTCCACGCCAGCCTGATATTAGAGTCATGAGCTGAGCCACCTCTTTTATGCATATGCTCGTCTCTGGTACTTCCAGCTGAGAACGATATCAGAAGCTCTAATGCCGACTCCTCTCATCTATTTCGCAAGCAACACGCACCAACTGCGACAATGGCCGAGGGCACAATCGACCAGGCACAGTCACAGCCAATAACACCGCGCGGCACAGCCTCACAGAACGTAGTCCCACTACCGTTATCTTCTGAGCAGCTCGATCATGACCATGGACCAGTCTCTCCACTACTACCAGCGTCAGCTCACGAATGGCATGACAGCCACAGCACGCCGGATGTCGAGCTAGGACCGATACCTCGCAGAAAGAGCAGCAGCGATGATTCCGCGAATCCAGCTTCACTCGCGAAAGCCAACATCCAACAACGCAGACCCTCACCAAGGACATCGTGGCCGAAAGTCTGGCTGTGGGAAATCTTGTCAGCAGTTTTCAGCCTCCTTTGTATGGGCGCTGTCATCGCAATCCTGGCATACATGGATAAGGAACTGCTTGAAGATTGGCATTTTCCCATATCTCCTAACGCGTTGGTGTCAATTTTTATGACGCTCGCCAAAAGCGCCATGCTTTTGGTTGTTGCAGAAGGCATTAGCCAGCTCAAGTGGGTCTATTTCCGAGAACAATCCCACCGGCTTTACGACATGCTTCACTTTGACAACGCAAGCAGAGGACCTTGGGGTGCGGCAGAGTTGATGTATAGCGTACGATGGCATGCTACTATAGCATCCATCGGTGCTTTTATTACCATCGTTGCCCTAGCTATGGATCCCTTTACGCAGCAGGTCATCGCCTATGAGACCACTAATCGCAACGTCACAGGAGTGGCCGCGAGGATTCGTAATGCGAGATCATATGATGATCAGTTGCCGAATGTCAGTGGCGGAAACGATATTAGAGGAGACTTCGAGATGCAGCTCAACGTCACAGCCGCTGTCTTTTCTGGAATATCGCAAGCAACGCAGAAGGTTGCTTTCACGTGTGGCACTGGAAACTGTACGTGGCCTATTATAAACACATTGGGTATATGCAACAGCTGCCAGAATCTTACTGGCACTATCAAACCAAAGTGCTCGACGCCAACGTACACTGAAACATGCAACATCACCTACGATAGCCTCTTCGTCTAAGCCTCTAATAAGGAAAGCGAGCTAGGACCTTAGTAGACTATAAGCGAACTGACACTCCTTAACATCTTATCCGAGTACCTTCGAGGCGGTAATAGCAGCTTCAACGGCGCTCTCGACAACATTCTCGCTATCCTCCTAAACACCGATATAGCTAACGCCGACTTCCCCTCCTTAATAAACATCTACTCCTGCACCCTAAGCCTCTACTAAAAATCCTACAACTTAAGCGTCGTAAACGGCACCCTAATCGAAACCCTTATATCTACCTCCCCTCTTACCTTCCCCCTCTATAGCCTTAGCGACCCTATAGAAAATACCTAGCTTAATCCTACTACAAAAATCGAACTCTGCCCTAGCTTCCCCTCCCTCTCCAACCTCCCCTCCTCCCCTACCCCCAAAAACCTTATAGCTCTCCTCACCGACCCCTCAATCTTCTAGGTTAACGCCGCCACAATCCAACAAATGCGTCTCTTCCTCCGCGACCTCATGTCCGAACAATCCACCTCCACAATCACAGCCGGAACCGGTGCATTCTCCGTCGACAAAAGTCTGGCGAACATGTTGTATTTTGCGAATTCGGGGGATTTCGGTCAGACGATGGGTGGTGTTGCGGAGGCGTTGAGTCAGAATGTTTTTCAGACATGGGCCGAATTCTGGGTGGGTGGATGGGGTGGCGCAGGTTCCTGCTACGAGGCTTAGAGTGCTTTGGGGGTGGTTGGCGTTGCCTTTGGGGCTGGTGGTGGGGAGTGTGGTGTTTCTTGGGGTTGTGGTCAGGGGTTCTGTGAAAGATAGGGGATTTGTTGGGAAGAGTTCGATTTTGGCGGCGCTTTTTCGGAGGTTTGAGGGGTTTGGAGAGGAAGAAGAGGAGGAGGTGGTGGGTAAGAGGACGTTGGAGGAGATGGAGAGTGTAGCGAAAGGGTCGAGGGTGAGGCTTGCGGAGGATGGGGATGGGGATTTTGTGTTGTTGAGGCAGGTGGATCAGATGTATGTATCGGCGCCAGGGAGGAGGAGTAGGCGATGGTGGTTTAGATGACAAATGTAGCCTTGACTTAGCCTCGAGGACTCCTTTGGAATCTTTGGCTTCAGCTATGCTACGGCACTTTCATGCTTGAAGTCAACTGCGCTCAATTGTGATACGAGATCTCACTGCTCTGCTCTAAAGATATATTCCCGCTGCCTTCGTTGCTCGACTTATTTAACTGCTCCTTCGAATACCGGCTTAGTACTGAGTATCGACTGTTAGCTCCGTATGATTCTGGGCCGTGTGGGTCCTTTCAATGAATGCTATAAATGGCGCGGTCCACGCGAGAGCATACAATAAGACATCGAGCTGCCAGCATGCTCTCTCGGAGTAGTATATAGCCGAAGAAGAAGTGTTGTTACACGAAACACGAATGAAGTCAAGTAGCCTTAGTTTTGATCGTAGTAATTTCCCATTCCGTTCCCAGCCTCTCTCCGGAGTTCAAATCTTATATACAAATACAAATTCTAGCTCTAAGTAGCAGTCGTCCGCTAAGGAGATTCAAACCACCCTATCTTATCTCTGTTAGAATTTGTTAAGCTTTAGCTTAAAGCAGACTAATACTTATAATCATCTCGACTTCCTTGTAGCCTAGGACTTCCTAGCTCCTTCTTTAGGTCTGAATCCCGGTTACATTGTCTCCCGACCTCGTACTCCGCTCCTAATAATATAGAGCAAGTACTCTATCCCCGTTTCAAAGCGCTTCCTAGTATATTATGCACGTTAGAAGCTGCTTAATAGCGCTCGCTAACAGATACGATAGATTCTAGGGACGGTGCCCGGCTTCGAATGAAGCGGCTATTGTCCCCCAACTCTTTATCCGCATCGTCTCGGAAGAAGTCGCAAACAGTGCCTATACTGCTGCTATTACTTTCCACATTGGTATCCTTATCTTCTTCGGAGATTGAGCTCAATCTGCGATCTGTAGATTGGGCTTGATCCTGGACTAGCAGGCGGACTATTAGAGTCGGTTTCGTTCTGTGGAAGAAGTTGGTAATCTTAGTTTGCGACATGTGGAGTTGTTCTTCTGGATTTTCCAGATTCTGCTTTTGGATACTGCCGTATTGATGACCGTCGTCCCAATGGTGATACAGCTTAACGTGAGAGGGAGGGCGCGAGTGGAAATGCCGGAGTAGGGAGTTGTGTGATGCTCTCTGAGTGTTCAATAGTTGTTATAGACTGGTCCGAGAAGAGGTGTCTAGGCTTGAGGTATGCCTGAAGGGTTTGGTTGTTGTTATTGTGTCGAAGAAGAAAGTGTGTAGAAGACCAGCCTTTAATAGTGCTGCGCGGGCAGTTCCCTGTTGTGAAATACTCCAAAGTAACGGACAAAGCTAGCAAGTAACGAGTATAGTCAGGCTTGCGACGCCTATTCAACGGACTTTTGCGAGGCGGTGGACGCGACTCTAGCTCACTTGTCGATAAAGCGGTCGCGCCTCAAGGTAAGAGCTTTAGGCAGGACCACCCGGATGCCAATAGAGCATTATGTATCGGCCCAGATCTCAGACTCGTCTCGATGGCCGTATACAACTTTGCCGAAGGGGCCTAAAGTTGGTACATCTTGAATCAAGCGGCTGTATTACGAGTCCCCAAGCACTTGCTCGATGAATCGCAGGCAAGCCTAACAGCCCTTGTACCTCGCTTCGACCAGATATCGCCATCTTCCGCTGGGTGCTGTAGGTCGAGTGTCAGCGATGCTTTAGTCCTAAAGTCGTCCCTTTCCGTTTCGCTTCAGGCAATTGGAGCATACAGGTCGCAGATATGTGCATTCATCTTCGTTTTGCAGGACCCACTGACCTTTGGACTGCGTTTAAAGGCCATGCTCACTGCTAGCAGGCAGGAATCATCACTGCCATACTGCCATACCACGTCTAACCACAGCATCAGCAACCTCAAACATCGCATGCCAGCCCGCCAAAGCAGACAGAGCAGCACAGCGAATACAGACAGCTGGCTCGTCATAGCACAAAAGTATCTCTATCACTGCCTCTTCCCTAACAGCAACATCAGCAACCATCTCCAAAAAGAAGTTGACATCCCACTTAAAACGGTCGGAAAAACCCTACATCCGGACTGTCCAAACCACTCTCGCAAGGAATCATAAGGATACTCACCTTCCACGCACCTCTTAGCACCAAGACAAAGCAATACCTCGCCTCCAATACCCATCTCTTCCCTTCCCCTACTCACAACTCCAATTACACATCTACCCTCAAAGCTGTCTCCAGTCAGACCCCAGAATGTTAAACATCCACCGAGGAGACAGCCTTATCAAAGCCCTTACACGTCTTGTACCTCTATCTTCACCTTTGTCCCACCTCTTTACACCAAGCAGAAGAAATGCATCCTCCCCGAAATCTCCTTCTCCTTCTTCACTGCTCACAAGTCTAGAAATGAAAGTACCTGATCTCCTCCCCTATTCAGACTGCGTCTTGACCGAAACAAAAACGAAAAAAAGTCCAAAAGGACCACCCCTCAAAAAGATTCCATTCAATTGAAACTTGTTACAGACAAAAATAACGCACAGGGGTATGCAACCAATACTTCGATTATAGGGGTCCTAAAGGCCCATGCCGGAACTTCATCTTCCTCTCCATCATCCACAAAAACGCCACGCCCGCGTCATGCATTAAGATCCCATATGCTTACGATACCAGCCCAACCCGTCCTGTGACTCCGTGGTGTTGTAAGGCCTGAGAAAATTGTCTAGTACAATGATGTTCACGTTCGCTAAGCTCGCTCAAAGCTCCCTCTCAGGAACCGCGATGCCACTCCTTCCATGTCCAACAGTTAGGAATCTCCTGGTCTCGACGCCAAGCGCCAGCGTGTCGAAGCGGTCGATGCCCATGGTCTATTGTAGCAAAGTTAGCAAAATTCGATGATTTTGAGTACTGCGAAGTGGCGTGGACTTACATCCATACTATTGTACCCAGCAAACCAGAAGCCAACGACTACGACAAGATACGTGAAGATCAAGATTGAACCCTTGAAGTAATTGCTCTTGCCCTCGCCTACGATCCATCCGAATAAGAATACACTCAATAGGACCACGACCATGTCCCATTGCGGGAAGATCAAGGTGAAAGAGTGGTTCAGTAATTGATCCGCCGGGATGAAGCGGCCGTAGATGGCGGTGAAGAGGACCAAGCATGGGACTTGGAGAAGCACGACCTGCAACGCGTATGATGACCCGATCTCCATGGACAACGCGACGTTGCCGTTCACGGCGAAGGATATGGCGTTGAGAAATTCGGTGGTATTGGGGACCAGGGAGAAGAGAGTAATGCCCAAGAACTTTTCGGGAATGGCGATGCTACTGAGGACAACGTCGACAGTGTCCACGAGGATTTCGGCGATGATAGCGTAGGCAATAGTGGCAGTGAGCAGGATGATGGCGGATTTCTTGCGAGACCAGTTGGGTGCGTCGTGACCACCATGGCCGCCTTGTTCTTCGTGGGCTACAGGATGAGATGGGTCTGGAGGGAGGTCGTGGTCGTGTGGATGAGCGGCGTTCGGATCTTTGGAGTGCTCTTTACATGAGGCGTTGCGCGATGCGGCGCCAGGAGCACCCACCGTGGTAGCCATAACGCTTGTTCGGCGAGGAGCTTTGGTAGCGTCGCGAGCAGCAACAGTGGCAGCAGTCGCTGCTATCTCAGCTACCTGTTGCACAAGGGCGCGATTGTCTTCTGGGCTGAGTCCCTGCACTCGAGTCGCGGTTGGAGGACCGCTGTCGTTCCCGGCGCTCTTTGGAGGCACAATGTGTGGTGGACCTTGATCATCGGGCTTGGCAGTGTCGTCCCTCTTCGAGGATGTTGGCGTTGTGGGAGACTGCATGATGCCTGCCTGTTTCAGACTCTGGTTGAGGATGCGCCTGTACATCTGGCTTGATCTGATATCCTCCCTCGCAAGGGTGCCGAGGCCATCTGCCTTCTTTGCTCCACCGGTAGCTTGATGGCTGTCTACCGAGACTAGACCCGCGGTGTATGGCATGCTCACGTGCTGGTGCTGTTGATGCTCGAGATACTTCGCCTTCCTCTCTTCTTCGGGCTCGTTGTTCCAAATCACAGCGGCGTGTGTGCGAAGGGTGAAAAGGAGGCCGACAACGTATGACAGGAATAGACAGACCGTGCAGAAATAGACATACGGGCGCACTGCTTGGTTGAAGAACTCGTCATTGATCTCCGGGACCTGGGTGAAGTAGCATCGCCGGCAGTCTCGTTCCTCCTCCGATCCGCGGGGAAGATCGATACACTGTTTGCAATTGAGGATGTGCGAGCCATAGAATTGGTAGAACAGAGTCGGGCCAAAGCATCCAATGACAGCAAACAGCAGCATCGTAGAAGTGACCCCGGCAGATTTGACATTGAATCGTTGTGTCTTCCGCTTGATCGCACCAAAGCACATCGAGAGACCCGGGAGGAAGAGAATACCTGCGAAGATGGAGCCAATAATGCTGCCCTCCACCAGCTGAGCTTTACCCTCATCCAACGCAACACAGTATAGAAAGACCTCAACGATGGTGCTAAAGAAGGCATTGATCGTAGCTCCCACTCCCATAGACGATTGTGCTGAGATCGAGGCCACGGCCTGTCCGATGAAGTACGCCAACGGAATGATGGAGGCAAGAGCGATGACGAAGACGAATCCCGGTGAAGTGATCCAGACATTGATATGCAACGTTTCGTAAAGGACGAAATAGTCGAAGATGGCGAAGAAGACAAGACCGAGAAGGTTGATGAGGAAGATGTTGGTGCCGTCAAGGGTATATTTCCAGTATTTGATGCCGACGGCGCGGTATGTACAAAGCAGGATGACGCTATCGTTGCTCCCTCGCGGCATGGAGGGTGTGCGTTGATAATGGCTGTCCGTGTGAAAGCTCATGGCCAGAGGATGTCGCCTGAGATGGTAGAATAAGAGTAGGGTGACTTTACCCATAGGTATCGTAAACACCAAAAACCAGCATATGCCGCTAACAATAAACAAGCAAGGAGTGATGAGGAGGTAGAAGGACAGGAAGAAGATGACTCGGCCCAAATTCCATTCTCCACGGCCGAATAAGCGCTTCTTGGTCTTGGCTTGAGCACGTTCAGCAGCAGAACTTGGGCGTGTCCTACCAAGCAAAGGATCGGTTTCGTTGTCTTCCAGGTCGGGTACTTCTTCTCTCCGGCGGCCGATTAGCGACCTGTTGATGTCCGGTGGACCAAAGAAGAGGCGGCCTTCCTCGATGTCGCCGGCTTGCCAACGTTCATACTCGGCAATATCTCGTCCTTCGCCCTCGTCCTCATGCAGATATGCTTCGTCTCGCTCCAATCTAACGTACTTTCCGAATGGATAAAATAAATAATGCGCAAGATTGATGAGCACGCGACCATATTCAGAACTTCCAGATGACCCAGGCTGAAGTAAGCCAAAGAAGAGACATATCACGCCGCCCACCGAAGTGATGATGGCCAGCCACCAGCCGAAGATGAGCGTCCATAGACCATTAAACAACCATAACCATCGCGACACATTGCCACCAGGAGCACTGTGTATGTCGCCTTCTGCGTTGCGCTGTACTGAACGACTCTTTTTGTAGAGCGCTGGTTTCCATATTCGAATTCCGAACGGATGTGTTTCGTTGATAGCCTCTTGTCGGTCTTTGAGTGTGAAGCTCTCAGCGTCGCTCAAGTCTGCAGAATCGTCTTCGTCAGGTGATGGTGTCTCTTCCTCTTCTTCCTCCTCTCCTTGCAGCGTGTCTTCTGAGCTCGGCTCGCCAGCGTCTTGGGTCACTGACGGAGCTTTCTTGGCTGCAATGGTTGCACTGTCTGCGCCTGTTGCCTCTGCTTCCTCCTCATCTTCTTGACTTTCGACTCTCGGGAGAGAAGGTGTCGGTGGAGGTCCGCGCCTCCTCACGGTACTCTCCCTCCGCCGCAACGGTCGTTCCCGATCGCGTTCGCGGTGTACATCGGTTTTCGAATGACTCCGGTGCTGGCGAGTATCTTCTTCGACTTCGTTCGCATCGTCGTCAACGGAGAATATCTCGCCTCGGTGTGGTGCTTGCGTCGACACTTTCCGTCCTCCGGCCGTGGGTCGTTTGGGGGGTTGTTGTGTCACTTGTGGAGTTAGTCTGCTAGAAGTTCCACCTCCGCCTCCACTGGAGCTCCCATGCATCGAGCCTGGATGATGTATTGGTCAGCATATACCATGACGCGTTCACACGATGGATTGTACGTGTAGTATGCTGTCTGCCATACCGTAGTCTTGTCGAGCTCTCGGTCGTCGAAGGGTACTGTCGGCTTGTGACAAACTTCCTTGGGAGGCTTGCATGCTAGCGTAGCTCGACTGCTGCTCTTGATTGCGACTCATGGTGCCGGCGGAAGACACCGAGGTGCGGCGCGTATTGGGGGCGGCGGTGGTGGTGTTGGAGGGCACGGCAGCGTAGTCATGCACACCTATTGAGTACGATCTCTCGTCGGTCGAAGCGCTGTCGTCGGCCATGGCTTCCGCGGTCGATGCGGCCAAGCAAGCGACAGCTCACTAGCGGCTTAACTTCAATTGATTAACTTCACGGCGGTGCAGGCCAAGGCCTTCCTTTATCGCGAACTCCTCCCTTGCATCGGGGTTGTCAGATGTGCTCGATCATCTGCTGCTGCGTGAGGGGAGTAACAGCGGTCGATGTCTGCGGAGAGCAAAGGGCAGCTGGGCTGGCAGGCGAAGGTTTCAGCAGGCAGCGGATCCGGCCAGCAGAAACGCGGTCAACGGCAGCGCGAGAAAGGGCAATGTATTGTACATGATACGAACGCTGCAGACGATGGCGATGATGGAAATGCACGATAGGAATTCCTGCTTGACGATTGCGCAAGCTAGCAAGATAAGTGTGTCGAGCACAGCAGAGGTCATCTGCGCGTGGAGCGGAACAACCAGGATGCTGATCTCCGGCCGTGAAGGAAGCTGCAAGTAGACGAGCCAGTAGAGCTCTGGTGCAGCACACCTAGTCTCGAGCATTTCGCCTCAGATCATGCATCCTCCCTTGGAGCCCCGTCTTTCTCTCCCATCCCGCCGTGGCTGTATTGCTTAGAAGGTGATAGAGAGCGGATCGTGTTCAGTGTTCAGCTGCGAGATGCGATAGGCCAAGACGTCAAGCCAAGCCAAGCTGCGGAGAGAGCGGAACTGGCCGTCCCTTCCCGCCCTCCCCTCCCTCCCTAGCGAGGCTAGCTTTCCCGCGTTCCCGCGTTCCCGCATTTCCGACCATCGGCCGACAGAGCAACATCATCAACTGGACGTGAAGCCAAAGCCGAAGCTTGCCATCGAACATCACTGCCACTTTCTGAGCCATCTCAATCAGAACCAACCCCATTCGACACAACGCCATCAACGCATATAGCTTCGCACAAATACCCATACCAGGCCTCCTCAGGCCACACTTCCGCCACCATGGCGCTCGACACTTTCTTCCACAACAAGATTGAGAGCATGAAGCTCGAGATCATCCAGGGCCAGGCAGTGTTACGACGATTAGAGGCACAGCGCAACGAATACAACAGCCGAGTGCGATTACTCCGAGAAGAGCTGGGTCTGCTCCAGCAACCTGGTAGCTATGTCGGTGAGGTCGTCAAGGTGATGGGCACCAAGAAAGTGCTGGTCAAGGTGCATCCTGAAGGCAAATACGGTAAGATGCGGCAGTCACTCAATGCGCCTGGGAAATACTAACCTCGCGCCAGTGGTCGACATCGCAGATAACATCGACATCTCAAAACTCACTGCCGGCAAACGTGTCACCCTCCTCTCCGATTCTTACAAACTCTCATCGCTCCTCCCGTCCTCCGTCGACCCGCTCGTATCGCTCATGATGGTCGAGAAGGTACCCGACAGCACATACGACATGATTGGAGGGTTGGATGAGCAGATCAAGCAGATCAAGGAAGTCATCGAACTTGGTCTGAAGCATCCCGAACTCTTCGAATCGCTCGGTATCGCGCAACCGAAGGGTGTCTTGCTTTATGGTCCGCCAGGTACAGGAAAGACGCTGCTAGCAAGAGCAGTGGCCCATCACACTGACTGCAAGTTCATCCGTGTCTCGGGCTCGGAGCTGGTGCAGAAGTACATCGGAGAGGGATCGCGCATGGTGAGAGAGCTCTTCGTCATGGCCAGAGAGCATGCACCATCAATCATCTTCATGGACGAGATTGATTCCATCGGTTCATCACGTGTGGAAGGCTCGTCCGGTGGTGACTCCGAAGTCCAGCGAACCATGCTGGAACTCCTCAACCAACTGGATGGATTCGAGCCTACCAAGAACATCAAGGTCATCATGGCCACCAATCGTCTCGATATTCTCGACCCTGCCCTTCTTCGTCCCGGACGTATCGACCGAAAGATTGAGTTCCCACCGCCAACGACCGAAGCCAGAGCCGACATTCTCCGCATCCACTCGCGAAGCATGAACTTGACGAGAGGCATCAATCTCACCAAGATCGCTGAAAAGATGAATGGATGCTCTGGAGCTGAGCTGAAGGGGGTGTGTACAGAAGCAGGCATGTACGCGCTGAGAGAGCGAAGAGTTCATGTGACGCAGGAGGATTTCGACTTGGCAACTGCGAAGGTGTTGAACAAGCACGATGATAAGGAGATGAGTTTGAGCAAGCTGTGGAAGTAGATGAAGAGCGGGGAAGAGCAAGAAGCTTGTATTATACTTACATGCATCGCGTGCACTCCGGATCAGGTAGGTCTGCACTGAATGATAGAGAGTGTACTTAAAGTAAACAGACTTCACGAGCAGCTGCACTTTCCGCTTCAAGTCCACGTGCAAACACCCTAGCCTGTTTCAGATCATGCACGGTCAACTAGCAGATGCGCTTCGCTGCTTTAAATTCTTGGAAGCCTTTAGCTCTACTTTTCTTTGGGTGGGAAGCACCAATATAGCCAAACGTCGACTGTACGATACAGCAGAACAGCCGACCGACACAAGATGGGAGAAGAAGACAACCGCGCAGCCCAGCGCAGACGGTATGATTGTTACCAGCGCATCGTGATCGCTATCGCATTACTGACATCTCCCAAAGCTACGCCAGTAAGATCATCAAACTACACGCTGGTCAAGGTGGCGGTGAGCGCATGGTGTCGATCCACGAGGACAACTTACCCGAGCATTCACCATTTTTTTCGCGCGGCACTCGCCAAAAAGCGCCGGATAGAAGGCCTGACACGCGGACTCGACCTCCCTATAGATTTTCCTGACGATCATGTGGACACCGTCACTTCCTACGCGCATTGGCTGTATCATCGAGAGATCTCAGATGTCAACTTCAGGCGGGATGGCAAGCTCTACCCCGATCACATGTTCTTGGTCTCCCTCTGGCTTTTCGGCGATAAAGTCCAAGACGACAAGTTTTGTGACGCGGCGATCTGCGCAGTCCTTGATACGATGGACGACGACCGGTATGTCTCACTCTCGATTCCCGACGAGGCTGCCATCAATAAAGCCTACGACTCAACTCCATTTGACTCGCCTCTTCGCCGTTTCTTTGTTGCAGTATTGGCAGACCATTGCCAGGAAGAATGGTTCGAGACGAATGACTACAATGCTGAATTCGTGCAAGACTTGGCTAAGGAGCTCGTTCGGCGACGAGGCTTCAAGAACTACAAGTCTTACTCGAAGGAAGCAGTCTCCGCAACATTCAATCACATGAATAATTACATGAGCATGTGAATGAGTAACAACGTCTTCATTCAATCAATTATGCTCCTTCTAGCTTATGTAACTACGTAATAATATCGTTATTCAATCAGTCAATTATATAAAGAATTTAGAGTCTATTAAGTAAAGTTAGTCCGCCTCGTTGTCGTCCTCGATAACCCTATAGTATATACTAAGGGTTAAGAGCTACAGTAATCTATAGGTTAAGTAGACAGTGTAATATAATATCTAGCAGTGTTCTACGGCTCCGAGGGCATATAGATCGCTATATATAGTAGTAGATAAGGCCTCTTCCGAGAAGCTAATTTCCGGCTTTATAGGTCTAGCTTTCTACCTATACTACGAGGCTCTCTTTCTCGATAACTATACCTCTAATAGCATAGTATAGCTTCCGGATCTCGAGAGGTTAGTATTATATTGCAACTTTGTTAATCTAAGCATATAGAATAACAGTAGTGTAATAGAACCCTATCGTTCTCGAAGCTAGTCTAGCAAAGCCGATAAAGTAGGCTAATAGCTTGTTAGAAGTGCTGTAACAATAGGCCACTTCTAGCAGCAAAGACATAGCCGCGTAAGCTAAGAAGAAGGGGTTATATAAGCGCTAGTCCTTATATAAGAGAATGCAGTATCTAAAGAAAAGGTGTTATAAACTAGGCATTCGTATAAGTAAGAAGCTATTAGACCTCCAATTCCGTATGTTTCTATACGGTTCAGACGATAGTAGAAGTCCCGAGGAAAGGCTAGAAATACTTAAAGCTACGCCTAAGATACACGGATTGATTTAGCTATATAACTGTCGATACTAGCGCTATAAATAGTATAATACTAGGTTAGGTTGTCGATTATAAGGTAGTAGAAGCTATAGAAGTTAGTATAGAAGTTTAAGTTTATAAACACAGCCGATTTTTCGACGCGCGTAGAAAGAGTATATATTAAGCTTTCCGCGTATAGATATACGTAAATTAGGCGCGGTTTAAAGTAAATCCACTATAGCTGTATACCTAAAATCTCCGCTTCCTCCTCCGAATTCGTAACTCCTAATTAAAACACTACTATTTAACGTATACCATTATTTTTTATATACTATCTACGTATCTAGAAAATTATTTAATATGCCTCCGAAGTTATTAGGAAAACGACCTGCTACGGTTTCCTCGGCGGATAGCGAACTAGGGCCGTTACGAAAGAAAACACGTCTTTTATAAAGTACTCTCGCCTTTAGCTAATAAACACCTCTAGTAACCTAGACCTTATAGCCTCGCCTAATACAACAATTATAGCGATAGATACGAAGCGCCGAGACAGTAGAAACGCCTATCGATCTATCGAGCGGCAGCGAGAGCGGCGGAGACAACGAGACCGAGTCTACGACTATAACTTCTTCCGCTATAGAACGAGACGAAGGCAGCTTTATTACGGCTTCTTAACGCGTCAAATTTAACGTATTCTACGACCGCCTACTAGGCTAGTTTCGACTACGTATACGTACTAAACACTCTATCGGCAAACGTATATTATAGGTATTTAAGTACGGTATAGAGCTTGCAAAGTAGTGTCTAAAGAAGCAGAAGTATAAGGGTCGTTTCTAGCTCTATAAACAATGCTATCTTAATAACGCCGATAAACAGGTATAGAGCGTAGCTTCTATAGGCACTCCGGTAAGGCACTATATTGTCTACTACGGCTATAAACCTCTAAGCAAACGTAGAGCGAAGAAGATTGCAGATAAACAAGACAACTATCCGAAGAATAATAGCTACGACTAGCTTCCGCTAGAGTACGCCGCTTAGTAGGTTTAAGACTTTATAAACTGGATAGCAAGACGCGATATCTCCTTCAAAGACGCCGCTTCTAAAGAGCTATATAAGATAATATTAACTAGTAGTCTATTAGTTAAGGATCTCTTGCCTTATCCGCGTACTATACGTAACTAGCTCTTCCGTACTTACAAGGAGCGTAAACTGGACGTAAAGGCGGCTATTCTAAAGGCTGTCTCGAAGATTAGCATCTCCTTTAATATCTAGACAATACCTAATAATCTGTCGTTACTAGCTATTATAGCATACTAGATTAACGAGAATAGGCAACTTTAAGTCGCTCTTATCGCCCTTCGACCGCTTCTAAGCTACTATAGCGTTGTTATTGCTCCAGTCCTTTACGAAGTCCTTTAAGAATACGAGATTAAGGATAGAATTGCCGCGTTTCAAACAGACAACGCAACTAATAACGATACGACTATTGCTAAGCTTGTCGCTCTCGGTATGCTACTCTACGAAGCAGACGCTCGCTATAGATATATAGGTTATAGTATTAACCTTATTGTCCGCGTAATACTATTTAGTAAAGGAATAGGTTAATAGGAGAAAGAACTCTAACGTGCGAGCGACGACGACAGTTTCCGGCTATAGCGCGAGAAGGTAGGCAATATTAGACGGCTTTACAACACTATTAAATACATTATACGGTTACTAAAGCGCTCGGCGCTATTCGCACGGTATTAGAAGGACTTAGCTAACCTAGAGTTAGAAGCTAATAACGTCCTTCTTCGCCTTATTAAAGATAGCGGTATACGATAGAATTTAACCCTCCGGATAATATAACGCGCTTTAAAGTTAAAGCTAGTTATTTAACGCTTCTGCCGTCTCTAGAAACCTAATAGTAGCTACAACCTCGCTTAAGACTACTTAACTAACTCTAACTAGAAAGAATTGTAGTAGTACGAGCGACTGTTAATCCCCTTCCTCGAGGCTACGAAGCGGATTAAAGGCAACGCAATATACGGCTTATTTAGCGCTCTATAGGAGATTTACCCTATATTAGACACGCTATATTAATCGCTTACTCGGCGGCAAGAAGAAGCCTATAGCATCGACTGTAACGACTTTAGCGACGTATAAGTACTTATTCTTACTATTCTTAGCGCCTTATACTAAATTTTAGCAGTTATAGAGCTAAGGTCGACGCTAGCTTCTTACGTATAGAACAGCTCTATAACGACCTCAATTCTAGCCGCCTTCTACGTAGCGCCGTTATCCTTTACCCTACAAAGAAACACGACTTCTTTAAAAAGAGATAGGTAGGCTTTAAGTACGGCAAAGACGCGACTAACGAGAACAGTAATAAGAAGACGGCCGTTAAGGAGATTGCTAAGGCAAAGTAAGCAGTAGTAGACTTATATACGGACTTTATTGCCTTACTTCTATAGCTAGAAGATAAGCCTTCTTACTAGTTTCTATTATCTTAAGAGCTCCGTAATAACGAGCGCGATTGCCGCCGGTAAGACAACGACCTCGACTTCTTCGAAGACGCCTTCGCCGACTTTACTTCTAAGGGCAATAGTAAGAGGCGATAGGCGATAGAAAATAAGCTAGAGCGCTATCTAAGCGACGACTTAACAACTTATAAGTATAGCGGCACCTTACTAGACAATAACTTCTATAATACTCGGCCGCTAGACTAGTAGCGAGACCGTAGCGAAGGGCTGTATCTAACACTCGTATAGCTAGCGTTTACGCTGTTTACTATTCTAGTAATAAGCTTAGAATGCGAGCGAGTCTTTAGCTATAGCAAATTAATAGTTATAGACTATAGATACTACCTTACTATATAGGCAATTAAGGCCGACTAGTGCCTAAAGAATTGGCTTATTCGAGGCCTTGCTAATAGATAGGTAACCTAGTTAATAGTAGACGACGATAGCAGTAGCAGTAGTAGTAGACGTAATAGCAACGGCGAGGTTAAATAGCTAGTATTTACTTATTTCCGCTAACCTATATTATTTAGTTAATCAACCTTAACTATACGCTATTATATACAATAGCCTGTCTATTTATTTAACTATACGCTAGTCGCTCGCTATTTAATCTCATTTAAGCGCTATCTACTTAGGCAACCGGCCTATATCTACTCATTTAACTATACGATTGAATGTTGCGGAGACTAGAAGGAAGAGAGGAGCGTATAGATAAAGCACAAGTGAAGAGCTAATTTGCTTAACAAAATCAGAGTCGTGCTCTTGCACTCACGTCTCAAAGCTCGAGCGGCGAAGCGTATAGGCGCTACATAGCGATTGGCATTAGGCCGGACAACGCAGCGCGGCGGGAAATGCTAAGTAGGTAGGACACAAGCGCGATACCGACTCTTGCAGCTGCTTAACTTACGTCCGCTTAGAACACTTGTATCTACTACTATAGTACACAAAGCGCACTCATGTCTCAGACAGTCTCCCGTAACTCTATATTATTCTCTCTCTATAGCTCTAAAGTCCCACTCCCCGTCTTACATTTACTACTAGGCAAATAACTATATAAGAGTATAATCCTTCTTACTCTCCTTGCCTTCCACTTTGCAATTCCTACCCTCTGCGAACCATTTACGCGCGATAGAACTATTTACGTTTTGCAATCTCGAGCTAGACTTATCTACGTATCTAATCCTCATCTTTATCTAGACTTCTAGCTCTAAGTTACGGATTGGGAGCCCGAGGCCGTTAATATAACTAACGAAGAGCGTACTGCAAAACGCAAGCAGTAAATAAGCCTCTACGCAGTTTTTACAAATAATGCTAACAGTAAGCAGCTATATAAGCCTAATTATTAAGCTTATCGTCGGAAAGAACAAAGACGAGCTTACAGTCTACGAAGATAATTTGCGAGAGCATTCCTTATTCTTCCCCGCAGCGCTAGACAAGAAATAGAAAGAAGGTTAGAGTAGTATAATCTAACTACTAGATAACGAGGTAGAAATCCTTACCGCCTATATCGATTAGCTATATAGCTAAAATAAAACCCGATATTAGTCCTAAATAGTTATTCTCCGTAAGCCTCTATATATTCGGCGAGCGAATCTTAGACGACCGGTTCTACGACGCCGTCTTAACATCTATCCTTGCTAAGGTCGATATAGTCGAGAAAGAGGGCTACTACTATCCTAGCGCGCGATTTATTCGCATACTATATATTAGGATTGCTAGTTAAGTCTATACGGCGGTATAAGGGTTCGCCGAGAGGAATATTATACTCCGTTTGTCTTCGATCTAGGGCTAGAGTACTAGTAAGGCCGACGATAGTGTTACGGCTAGCTACCCTTATATACTATAGCTGCCTTAGACAAAGGTTTATTTACTTGCTCTGTTTGCTAAGGCAAACAGTCGCCGTAGTAACGAGGATATAGGCTTCTAGGGCCTTCAACCTCTTCGTAGATTCGTACGCAATTGAGTTGTTTCCTCGCTTAATTACGTGCCTTAACAGATAGAGGTAATCTATATAAAGAAGACTCTATTATCTCGCCTGCTCGACACCTACTCGGACTAATATAGATATTAGTTATCTTCTCGCTAGAAAGCACTTCTATACGTGCTCTTCTAGTATATAGCGTATAAGGAGTTTAAATCTAAGGTTTTCGATACTCTATAAAGGTTAAAAATGTTATCTTAATGTCACTAGAAATGGCATAGGATTGTACTATATAGTTAACTTCTGTCTTCTTCTATAATTAGCCTATTATCTACCGTTGTAATATAGGAGTTGCTTAGAGCTATTATTCGAAATGCCGCTTCGATCGTACCTCGAGATAGCAATGCTATAAGAGTGTCGATGGATTTAGCGACTCAATTGACGCTTGCGTCGTGATTGTCTATCTCGTTGCCAGGACCCGTTCGGAATATACAAGTGTTGCGTACGGGTAACGACATCGGGAGCCATGCGATAAAGTGAAGACCTGCAAGCCAGAGCGTTGGCACAAAGATACATTGGTATTGACGGAGTAGCTTAGGGGCTGTTGGCGAATGCTATAAAGAGACGGGAGGAAGGAGAGCGGTGCATGTAGGGGTGTTTCTCCTTCCTGGCCAAACTATAGTATGGTATCTTGGATGAAGCCGAAGGAGAAACAATCTGATCACTCGAGGAAGGAGCCAGCGGGAATGGGACGCTGTTGTTGCCAAGACTTCGTTCCCGGGCCGACTTCAGGCCATCACGCGCGTGTACAGCTGCACCTCGCATCTGTACCGACCGACCATCTGGCATCTGCAGTCTTGAGTCCTGACTAGCGATGCTACAGACACGGTGGCTGTCTGCATCTTCAATATCTCCGAAACCCTCCGCCCTGGCCGCTTTCCGCAACACAGCGTCGAAAATTTCCACTCGCGGTTCATCCTTCCATCTTGCAAGTTTCTACGGTAGACAGCGACGATTGTACAGCGAGGGCACAGAGCAAAAGCGTCCCAAAAAGCGGTGGACCCCGGAAGCGACGGCGGAGGTGTTTCGTCTGCGCGGCGAAGGACGGTCCATCAAATCAATCGCACATGCATTTCAACTTTCATACAATGCTGTATGGTGCAAGTTAAATAGCTGGTCAACGCCGGCACCGGCTCGTAAGAGACGATGGCTCCCAGAAGATGTAGCGAAGCTTTTGCATCTGCGTGAACAAGGCTTGCCTCTCAAATCGATCGCAGAGAGACTCCAGTTTCCGTACCAACGTGTGGTGCGTAAAATCCGGAATCCACTACCACAGGGACCGCGACCATGGCGACCATGGCGCCCAGAAGATATAGCAGAGTTGTTACGTCTGCGGAAAGAAGGGACTTCTCTGCGTTCAATCGGGGATAGAATTCAACGTTCACACCAGGGCGTATCCAGCAAGATCTACAGGCTTGAACGGCCAGTCAAAGCGCGTCACCGGACTCTGCGCAAACCATGGGAAGAGCACGAGATTGAGAGGCTGCACAAGATCATGGAACGTGTTGTAAGACTTGACGAGATTCAAGCCCTCGCTGCTGAATTGAGGAGGCCTCTTGGAAGCGTGAGGAACAAGTTGAGTGAGGTACGACGTGAGAATAACCTTTCAACTCCGCGGAGACGTACCAAGCCCCTGCAGCCTTGGACGCAGGATGAATTTGATCGCGCTCAGCAACTCGTGGAGGAAGGGAAAACTTGGGGTCAAATAGGCAAGATTCTGGGAAGAAGTTCAGACCAAGTACGACTCCGTTTTTCCCATGCCAAAACCACAGGAAAGCAATTCAACGGCGATGTCTTCATGTCCCCCAGCGAGCTGCACCAGATCCAGAGGTACTATTGCGAAGGTAAATCCGCTTCAGAAATCCAACGCCTTCTGCCCCGTCGTTCGTTTGGCGGAATTAAGAGCGTTATTCAAAGGTCATGGGGACGATATGAGGAGCCTGCCTTCAGAGGCGAGGTCAAGATGCCATGACCAGCGGTAGAACGTGCGAGACAGGCGCACACACTTTCACCACGTTACAGTCCGATGAAGAAATACATCGACTAAGCTGCGCAATCATTCAGCACACGTGGAACCTCTGCTATGTTTGCGCAAGTGAAATTACAGACAGCAGTCACTATGCCGGCTTGTGAATGATCGTCAGCGAAGCAGGGAAGTGGAATATTTTCCGCTGCGCGGACCTTCAAGTCAGTCTCTCGCAAGGATGTCGCCGCCTCACCGGTGTGCTGCGGCCAACGGCTTGCCTCGCATTTGCAGCTAGGAATTTCCACTCACATGTTTCTATCAGCTTCATGAACACGAGGGAAAAGGTGTATACGCAGCAGCAAAGCCCCGCCATACACACTGGGCATTCTGCGAGAGTATTTGAGGGCAAAAGAGTCCAAGGCAGCATATCAGCGCTGAATGTCAGGAGCCTTGCTGACGGAAAGTCGCCCGATCGCATGGATATCCGGAGAAACAAGCTTGCAGTTCAAGTACATATGAGGAGATGCGGCCGCGCCTACAGCTGCGCGATCATGCCATGCGGTCAGGACTACCTAAGATCGATTGAGCCCTGAATATAGGATTGACTCTCCGCCGAATGTAGCTCGGCGTCTCTACAAAGGTCCAGATTTTTGAATCTCAGAGTTACACCAACTCCTCCCACTGTGCGAGTCTTGCACAGCGAGACCAATTCAATCGCAGGGCTTTGCAGTGCAGGGAGGAAGTGTTGTAAGCTCTATACTGTGCGACTGGAAATGAAATGCTCGCTCGGCCGAATTCTCAGAATAGAAATGGACAGCCAGACAATGAATTCAGTACTGAAATGGGAGCGGCATCCGATCCGATAGCTCGACCATGCGGCCTGCGTTTAGTACCTATAGATGTATAGCTAGCGTCAACTCCGCGCCATCAACAGTACAGTAATGAAAGAAAGCTCTGGAATTGGCATGACACGCATCCATCATGTATTTGATTTATATTCATAATTTTCATCATCATAAAAAAGCAAATACCTCGTAAAAACCATTTCATATCTAACATGAAGACTCCGAACTCTCTCGCTTCGGAAAGCCACGGCTCGAGCACTCAACTGCTCTGCACCGCGGAGTCAAAACTCATCTGGCACTACCTACCGTTCGACGTCACAGGATGAAGTGCCGGACTGCCAGGAATAGGACTCCTGCCACCCGCCTTCGGCCTGCCGGAGAGCGTGTCAACAACATCGATAAGGTTCATCCAGAACTCGTCCTTGGGTCGACGATCCTTCCAATCTGTCTCCAATTCTTCGATTTTCTTCATGGCGCTGAATTTGACTCTGGCACCTCGGATGCCGATGACGGCTGTGGACATGTCGTCGTTCGCAATCTCATCCTTAGACTTCCCATAGAAGCTCTCGAGGTATTGCAGTGACTTGACACCAAAACGCACAGCTCTGACACGGTCCATAGGCGATGGGATACCGCCTTGCTGCACGTGACCAGGCACAGCGAATCTGGAGTCGAATCTGCCACCGCTTTCTTCCTTAATGATGTTGGCGATGATCTCAGTCGTGTACGTCTTTGAAGCCTTCTCGTTACGGAGGATGATTTTCCCGGACCGCGTATGGCCCTTATCCAGAGCGAATTGCTTCTTCAAGAATTCTATGTCCTGGTCGAGCATTTTCAGGTGAATGCCCTCTTCTGGGGTGTAAACGGCAAGAGCGCCAATTGAAAGACCGGCGAGGGTAGCGACGTATCCTGAGGCACCTCCTTGCGTTTCCACCACGAAAACGCGACGACGCGACGCGGAGGCACTCTGCTTGATCGAGTCGCAATATTCGATCAGAGCGTTGAGGCAAGTATCCGATCCGATTGAGAACTCAGTTCCTGGCACATTGTTTGACACAGTGGCGGGCAGTACCACCATTGGGATCTTGAACGATTCATACTGTTCGCGCGCTTTCCGAAGCTCAGACACGGCAGTGAAAGCCTCGAAACCACCTACGAGGAAAAGCGCGTCGATCTTGTACTTCTCGAAGCAGTAAGCCGCTGTCTTGAAGTCTTCGGATGGAAGTCCACGGTTTGTACCGATTTCAGAGCCACCTCTTGATCCCCAGTTTTCGGCATCTAGCCAGCTCACCTCCCTAACAGAGCCCAGTGGTTGATCATCGTGATGTCTACAGAGGCCAGGAAAGCCGTTGTGCAAGGCCACAGGTGTGTGTCCCTTGGTCAGGCAGTATGCGACGGCAGCTCTTGTAGCAGCGTTCATACCTCCAGCAGGAGCTCCGACGTGAATAATACCGACCCGCATTCGTTTCTCTGGCGGAAGGAGCATATTGGATTTGTCTGTGGCTGTCGTGATCTCGAAGGCCTGCTGGAACTCTGCAAACTCCGCATCACGACCTCTCATGGCGGCATCGAAGTCCTTGTTGGCAATATCAACTGCGACTTGTTTTGTGAGTCGAATGGCCTCCATAAGGTCTTTCCGTACAATCTTGTTCTCGGTGATGCAAATCACAGGTGATGGTGTTTCTGGGGTGGCATCAAGCACGGCCTTGACGGCCTCTACACCCTGCAGGGTCGCCAACATGCGATCGTAGGCACATGGTGGTCCACCACGTTGCACGTGGCCGAGTGTGGTAACTCTGGTATCGAGGCCAACCTTGTTCGAAAGTAAGTCCTTGACCATGGTTGGCGACACGTGGTTCAAATTCCGATCGTGAGCACCTTCGGCCACGATCACAATGGTCTTTCTCTTGCCCATCTGCCTGTGCTTGCGTACGATGGAGCACATCTCATCTTGCCAGTTTTCTGAAGGTGGGTTCTCTGGAAGGAAGACGAAATCGGCACCACATGCAACACCAGCCATCAGTGCTAGCCATCCACAATGTCTGCCCATGACCTCAATCACGAAAGCGCGCTGGTGTGAGAGTGCAGTGGCGTCGATGTAGTCGATCGATTGGCAAATTCGTTGCAGGGAGGAATAGCAGCCGATCGTTGCATCTGTGCTGCTGAGGTCGTTGTCGATAGATCCAACCAGTCCAACAATGTTGAGATGTCTGTATGGTTTCACATCCTCTTCCTTTCTTTTGCCTGTCGAGACCAGCTCGTCCATAAGGCCTGGCCATTCAGCCCTGAATTTGTCGGCTCCGGTCAGTGAGCCGTCTCCACCGCAAATAATCAGGGCATCAATGCCCCGCTCAATCATATTGTCGGCTGCAGTCAAACGCCCGGCTCGCTCCATGAAGGCTTTGCACCTCGCCGTACCGATGAGAGTGCCTCCTTCCGAGATCCAGCCTCGCACGTCTTCCCATACCATTTCCTTGATCATGTGTCCACCGTCGACCAATCCTTGGTAGCCTTCGTAGACGGCATAGGCCGTGCAGCCTGATGCAAGCGATTGCCTCACTACGGCTCGAACCGTGGCACTCATACCAGGGGAATCACCGCCAGAGGTCATAACAGCGATTCGCTTCCTGCCCCATGGCATCGACGGCGGACTGAGCGTGATCTGCGCCATGTCGTCGCTCCGAGAATTCTGTGAGAGTCAACGCGTTGGCGAAGAGAATCAAGGGCTCGGAGAGGGTGGTATAGCGGGGTCGAAGAGAGCGTGCAGGTGAGGTGAGGCGAAGTGAGAGGCGAGGTGAGAAGACGTATGAAGTGAGTGATCGAAGCTTTCCTTTCGGTGAGTTCTTTTCTTTCCACGCGTTGGCAGTCGCGCCCCACGCTGACTTCACAATGGCAGCCGCTACCCTGCACTATCAGCTGCGATAGGCGGCGTGACTTCGGATGCTGAGCTTTTGAGTGTTGACGGTCAGCAACTGCCCACGAGTTTTTGCTTCTGTGTGCAGCAGATAAGGCCAGTGTCGGTGTAAAAAGCAGCTCTTCGTGGAGACTTGGCCCAAGGTTGGCTCCGAGTCAACGTTGGAAAGAAGCTCAAGAAATCCTGCAGGGAAGCGAAGCTGCACGCTCACGCACGCTCACTTCCGAAAACCCAAATGACGTGGCGTCCCGCGCATGTGATCTCCGCAGCTTTTATACGGAATGGCAAAGCACGGTCACACTAAGTATCATGAGATGATCACCACTCACCCGGCTCGGCCGCAAACTTGCCGGCGACTTCCTCAGCCATGATCCCCGGTCTCCGAGGACAACAACTCACTTGGCGAAAGGCAAGTCAGGAGAACTACTGCAAAGGCCGACGGCTTGCGTGGGGCGCCATCAATGCATGCGCACATTGAGCGTCTGTTCTTGAGTTGCTATTCTAGTTTAGCAATAGGCTGGGCAGAGTTCATCAGAAACTCCTCCAAAGCTCGTACTCACTCCGAAAAAGCAGAACATCCCTTACCAATCGATCTCCAGCAACAATTTCTTTACTGGGATCACCCCAAATTCTCGCAAAAGCCGCTGCGACCAATCAACGAGCACACTGGGAGCAAAAGAAGATGCATCGTTATACGTCTGCGATTGTGACATTATTCACACTGGCAAGTACGAATGCCAAACGCTCCGTCTCTCCGCTAACACCGGCCATAGAGATCACTGCTCAGAATGTGCTTTTGGAGATGAGCGACATTGAGCACTTCCGAGCAATCGAGGAAGAAGAGGCAGTCGAACCGTCGTCGCCAGTATATGACGGGAGTTACCCCATCTATCCATCTCGTGGCAATCCAGTCTCGATGCTGCAGCTCACTTTGGACCCTGTCTTGACCGACTTTGGGTCGTCAAGATCGGCACTGGACGTGAACAAAGATTGGTGGATGCCAGATACTCATCGAGCGCCGGAAATCTTGCTAGGTATACCCTGGGATGCTCAAGTCGATGTTTGGTCGATTGGAATCATGGTATGTCACTGCGGTTTGTTACATTCCTTGATGAAACTAAGTCTTCCAAGGCACTAGAGCTGCTCGAGGGCAGGAACTTGTTCCATCCAATTCACGAAGCTCACAAGCAGTATGTATTGCAGTGAACTTGTCTCTGATGCACGTCGGTCCATACTATTATCCGGCCTTGACGGAGGCGTGCTCGGCGAAGGCGCGGCGCACAGAAGAAATCGTGGCTGCTGGCCAGGTGATCTTTTGATGATCTCCGGTATGATGCATCCTGTGATAGTAGCTCTAATGGCAGCGGTAGTCGCCAGTGGGAGCCATCGTCTCATTGTTGTGGTATATACCGTTTTGGGCGCCGGCACGATGGGACTGGCAATCTGTGATTCGAAGATTTTTGCTGGAAAGCTTTGGACGAGGTGCTGATTGCTCGAAACGGGTATCAACCCCTATACATCGGCCTCTTTCTATCTCCATATCAATACAGCTCTTCTCAGCCTTTCACGCCTGAAGTCTGGGCACTGCCCTGCCCTGCGCTTCGAGAGCACGTTGCTGCCAGAGCGGAGATTTTATCAAGGTCATTTCGAATCCGCAATTCCAATCATGCTCTTACTGACTCTTCATGCCCGTTTTCAATGCTAATGCTCCACGTCCCAAACGCCTCGCGATGCCATCAGATCATATGGGTATATATAATTTGCGCCAGTCGTCAACTGCTCGGTGGTGCTTGTTCACTGCTTGCTCCTGCTTCGCCACTCGGTGGTTTTCGCTGAGTTTGCGAATTCAGCCTTTGCGCCTATACGTTCCCGATTCCAGTCAGCGCATTCTCAACGTACCATGATCTCGCATCAATCTCTGTACAACTTCGGCTTCCATCCTTCTCGGATCTCTTGTTCGCGCTCCGCCGCCTCTTGCGCTTCACGTACCTCCATCTCCAAACGCTCCCGTGCTCGCAAGACTTTACTCTGCAAGTAAAAAGACCCGCCTTTCTTCGGATCGTTCATATCAAACAGGTGTTTGAAGCGATCGTGGACGCGACCTAAATCTGCTTGCCCGGCCTTTGGAGGCGGTACGTTTAATATCTTGCAGGCTTCGTCTAACGTAAGGCCAGCTGAGGATAGGGTGTTCGCGGAGGTTTGGTTCTGTTGGGCGAATTTCTGCACACATTGTCAGGACATTATTGGCTGAGGGGGTTCGACGGTAATCCCACCTGCGACGCTGATGCTTGCTTATATCTACACGAATGTCAACATCCTGCCGGAGCAATCCAAGATCTTTTACACCTACGCCTCTGCAAAAGCTCGTCCAAACACCCTTGCGCCGGTGACCTGCAGCAGTCAGACTCTGTCTCGTTCATCTAGTCTTTCCCAAGCTACTCACGAGCACCTGTGTCACTATACGATGCGCCATGATCAAACGAATGAAATGGAGGCAAAGAGCTGGTATGGAAGAAAGTCAAGCCTCGAAAGATCTCTCGGGGGTCGGCGATCGGCAGTTTTCGGTACGATCCGCCAAACAGAAACCTTGACATGACTTCCGGTCAGCCTTACAAGGAACCGCCACGCCAATATCTCACTCATGTATACTCATCAATGCCTCATATACAGCTTGATTCAAACTGCTGGACTTGAGGATGCCGTGGTGATTCACTCCATCCGCGGCGCCTGGTGCTGGCAACCGCACGTAACACGACTTTTCCCGAGAGATCAGCCTGATCCTCATCGAAGAAGGCAATTCAAGACGCAGACTTTCGCCACTCCAACGATACGCTCGTCATGCTCGGTTGCGCGAAGAAGCAGCGCCTCCTTCTCACCACTGCGGCTGCCTGCGATCTGTAACTGTTGATAAGATCGTGCGTCATCCGAGTTTCCAGAAGCACGCTTTTCCGAGAACATCAGGCATCGTCCCATCACCACTGCAGTTGATACAGGCTACGGCAATTCAATATCCAAGCAGATGCAACGCCCGAAATGTGAAGTGAAGGAGTCTTCGGCTTCGGAATGAAGCCCTAATTTGATCTACTGACGACTACTTCCCGGCGAATTCACGATTCCCGCCATCAAGAGCCTCTCACTTCTGCCTTCCACTGCTGGAACGATGGGAGGCTTCACCGTATCAAACAATTGCTGTCCACCGCTATCGCTGACCAGCTTACCGCCCCAATACGCTCGATGCGCAAAGTGGTATAGCGAAGTGGAATCCTCCACAAGCTCTTCGATGCCCTGGAGGCTTCCTCCAGGATGAATATTGTTGAAATCCACGGTCTCGCAGTAGCGTACGATACTGAAAAATTCCTGTGACAATCAACGACATCTATACGGAGTCCATACGAATCGGAGTAACACTGGATAATCCGGAATCCCTGCATTTTCATGGGTTTGAACGAATAGCGCTGACGTTTAGTGGCTAGCAGTAGTGTTGTGGTTTTACAGCCCCTGAGAAATGGAAGTTGTGTACATCGTATATTATACTGGTATACACTCATGGATACACATCGGGTATGCCCGAATACTAGGATATCCGAGCAACATTAAGCAGCTTGGCGGGTTGTAGGCGGGATATCAGCGTATCCGATAACTCCGCCTTGTGTATACAGTGATACACAACGAGCTCGCCTAAAAGGGTCGTATATATAGTGTATTACAGAGCGTGTACACCATCCATAGGTTGGTGGACCCCATCACTAGCTAGCACTCCAACGCGTACAGGGTGTCGTATGCATTCGCGAAGCCGCTCAGTAGTGTTTCCTTCCCGCCTATTCGTTAAAGGTAGATCCGTTACAACGATTAGGAGATGTTGACACGGTCCTTATCCTGGTCTCCGACCGGCTCCGCGAATGCATATGACTCCCCGTACACACTCTGTAGATAGATCCCCTGGAATAAGACTCCGGCATTCGTCGGCAAAACTAAGATTTCGACTAGAGTGAGTGGTCTGATTGCACGAAACGATCAGATCCAATAGGCTGTGCGCGGAATTTAACAGCAATTCTTGCTCGACTTCAGTTGGTCGGACTTAACCGAGGAATTCGTTATGGGGATCAATGGCCTTTTTGGGACACTATCTGCCACGTTTCTTTCGGGTCCTCGCCATATCGTCCACAGGATATATATGCCTCTTGTATCAGCAGAGCTCTCGCTCAAGTCGCGGTCTTGAAACCAGCCATCCTAAGCCAAAATGCATTACTCGAAGGTTCTGAAGGCTCTCTGCCTTCTTGCGCCCGCCGCTCGAGCCTCTCTATGGGTAGACAAAGCTCCAAGCTCCGTGAGACCATATGTTATCGAACATTATGCGAATGCGAATGCCCTCACCATTGGTTCTCAGACGTTTCGATTCCCGGTCACAGGTCCCTCTTCTGGCAACAAGCTCACAATTCTCATGACGAGCGCGCCAGAGTCTGGGGACCTTAGTGTTCTGCCACACATCCATGAAAAATATCATGAGAACTTCTGCTGCTTTAAGGGTCGCGTTCAGCTCTGGGCACACAAATGCAATGACACTGAAGCACGTCTGCTGACGGCCGGCGATTTTGGTAGCGTGCCCGTCGACACCACTCACACCTTCCAGACTCTAGACCCGGACACAGAAATAGTCGGAGTTGTAGCTCCTGGAAGCTTCGAGGATCTTTTCTACTTCCTGGCCACTCAGAACGTTTCGTACGAGACACAAACACCATACACTCCTGTGGATTCTGGCGGCGATGCTGGCTCTGGCACTCCTGCCGAAATCATCTCACAACTGGCTTCCTTCGATGTACATGCAGCACTCAACTTCACGCCGCCTCGAGACCTCGTCAATGGAAGTCGACCCGCTGGTGCAATTTGGCATGATGGCAACAACAACATTCCATCCTCTTCTGGCTCGCCATACTTTATCGCATTAAACTGGGGGCCGAAGTATCTCAACAACTCCACCGGCGCATATCAGATCGTACAGCCTTTCGTAACCCCAGTCACAGGCGAGCAAACCTTCACGGAAGGGACCATAACGCTGGGTCGAAGATTTCCAGATGCTGTTTCGCCGACGTGGAACTTGACTGATCATTTGGTGCTGATTATCGTTGAGGGAGCCATTGACCTAACTATTGCAAATGAGACTGCCACATTGTTGGGAGGCGATGTTGCTTTTGTGCCGGGCGGGACGCCTTTCAGCTATGGCTCCAAGGCTGCTTTTTCGAAGTTCTTGTATGTCTCTGCTGGAGTCGAAGGGCTTGACCAACAGCTTTTGGCTGATTCAGGAGAATGGAACTGGCCTGTGTTTCCTGTCGCATCTCCTTAGGTTCAAGTGCGTGCCAGCCTCTCTTCCTACATCAGATACACCTTCTTCGGTGAGCGAAGAATCTCTGATCCAATCATGTTTAAAAAGGCCCAGGAAATGCCATATCTATAAGCCTTCATCAAAGAGTCACTCGGGATTCATCCTGCTACTGGGCAAATCATTGGACGTCTTCCCAGCAGGAACGTGCGTCGGTGCCAATGCCAGTCCCACCCAGAGCGATGGCCGGGGCCTAAAGTGTAGACTTCGAGATTGGATGGTATGTTATTCAAATTTTGACAGGGTCGAGTACATGTACTGGAAAGAACATATCGTACCGCATCTGGCATTGGGATCAACCTATTAATGTCTCTAAAAATCGTTCGAGCAGACAACATTCGGAAATTTCGTACACTCATCTCCATTAAAGTTTCTTGTCAAAGCGAACGTATGCCGCCGCTGTTGATGTTGTTGTGGTCGTTATGGCGCCTGCTGTGGCGTAGCTCAATGCGATACAGGTCTGTGGAAGAACACACCAGCAAACCTGTCATCATTTTTCACCACAGTTGGTGACAGCCTTGGACAAGCGTATGAGCCAATCGTCGGGAGCTTAATGCATATGACAGCGAAAGTGGACCGGAACTTGTGGCGAGACACATCGAAAGATCGAGGCTGTCAGGTGAAGTTTCCTTGCCGCACGGACAAGGAAGGAATTGACCAATCAGAAGTGAGGTAATCACGGCTCAAATCGGTCTACATCATTGAGAACAAACAGCATTTATAGCGACTCACTGGCTGCTTCCTCTTGCATATTCGACATTCAACTCGACCCAGACAAACACTGGATCAAGCACATCGATCAGCAATATCACCCTTCGACACTTCAATAACCCAACATATCAACGAAACCACCACACAATGTCTGCACCAACAGCCGCCGTTCCAGCAACATGCTGTGGCCGTGAGGGAGGCTGTATCTGCGCCAAAGAGGCAACGTGCTCCTGTGGCAAGCAGGCTGCTCTGCACTGCAATTGTGAGAAGGCTCAGACGGAGAACAAGGTTGTCGGTGCTCGATGCTCTTGCAGTAAGTACGAGCCAAGATCTTTTGCCAACGCCAGTACTGACTCAATGATAGACCAACGTCCAGCCGGAGAGTGCACCTGCAGCCGCAAGCAAACTGAGAATGCGAAAGTGAGCGGATCGACTTGTGCCTGTGGCAAGCGAGCTGCCGACTCTTGCTCGTGCGGTGGAACCGAGAGTGCTGCCAGCGAGCTTGAGACCGACTTCACCACTCGCCGCCCTTGATTGAGGTTTGCGAGGCACGACTGTATAGTTATCATTGGACTGGCGTTGAGGAAATGCTATGACCCGGCTCCGAAGTGAGAAGCCCGATGGAGTTTGCTGTGGTTTTTGCGATGATACCATGAGGGAGGATGGGTCCATCAAATCAGCTCATCAATTCACAACTGAATACTTGATTGAACCACTTTTCCTTCCGACTTGCGTGTACACCGTCCATGGTGACTCAACCTCATTTCTCGCCGCCATCAACTAAAGACACCGCTTATAAGAGCAAGATGTCCAGATGAAGTCGAGTTTGAGTTGACAGGCATAAGTTGACGTGCAGCCAGGACATTGATGGCGAGATCTGCGCGCTACGATTTCTCTACCCGTACCAATGATCCCACTTTCCTACTCCACCTCCAAATAATTTCAACAACCTCCTCACCACAACCACAATCATGGCACCTTCACAAGCAGATCTCAAGACCCTACAAGACCTCATATCCACCACACAATCCCTACTCAAACAATTCTCCGCCACCCTCACAACCACCGAGACCAAAATCGACCCCATCGAAAACCCTCCAAACCCACTCGACGTCCTCCGCGACTCCGCCAAACTCCTAAAAGCCCACACCACAAAAATCTCCCTCCTCGCAATCAACAAACCCTTCACCCCCACCGCAATAACAAAAGTCCTCCGCGACCTATCCTCAACATGTCTCCCCGCCATGCTCTCCGCCTCACAGATCTGCACGCTGCAAGAAAAATCCATCTGGGGAACGACAATCTCTCACGAACTCCGCATCAGAATTAAACGCGTATTCCTAGAAATCCAAAATCTCCTCACCGAACTACATTCGATTTCGAACGGGAATGATGCGGGATCTTCCACCGCGAGAGATTCTTTGAGTAGTACAGGCGTAGTATGGGATTCTTGCGATGCTCTGATCGCTTTGAGTCATATGGGAATTGCTGGGTTGGCGGTGCAGAAGGCGGAGCAGTATCGCGATACGATCAAAGATGCGATTGCGGAGTTGCAGGAGTGGAAAGAGGGGACGGATTTAGACGCTGAGGGACATGATGGGGATGAATTGTTGGGGAGTGATGATGAGGGGGTCGATGGGGAAGAGGTGGATAGTTTGGATGAGATTTTCAATGCGGCGAATTCTATGCCGAAGGATCGGCCGGAGTTGAAGGAGTTGGTGGAAGTGGCGGAGGGCAGGTTGAAGAAAGTTGTGTTTTTGTATACGGCGCTTGGGAAGAGGAGGTTTAAGGAGTATAGGGTTGAGATGGGGAAGGTGGAGGTTGTGGATCGGGTTTTGATGGGGTTGTCCGTGGTGCAGAACGGGGTTGATGAGTTGATTAGTAAGTTTTATGATTTGGATGAGGATGGGGCGAAGGAGGAGTTGGAGAAGTGTGTGAGGGAGGCGAAAGATGCGGCTGCGTTGGTCAGGTTGGATTGGAGTGGGAAGGAAGATGAGTTTACTGCTTGGAGCAAGAAATGGGAGGAGGCGCTTGAGTGAGGAAGGCTTTCGACAATCTATGAACAGCCATTGCAACCCAAAGTGAGGAAAATCATGCAGCGCTACATCCAACTACGAAACGTGGGTGTTTACAAGACTCATTTGCGAGGGACAAATTCGCACTTTTAGCGGGACATGTGTCAGCGTCGCCGCCAGTATCACTCCTCCCAGCGCCTTCTCTCAAGACTCTAGCCTCTACAAAGCCATCCAAGCGACACCTGCAAGACCCAGCATACCACACGAGATGAGCAGTTTGAAGCTCTCGAAAGCAGCCACGGCAGGAGCAGAACCTTTTTTGGAAGTGGATGTTGAATTGCCAGCATGGCCGGAGGTGGTGTCGTTGTGACCACTAGTCGCATTTCCTCCACTATGTCCAGCAGTAGGACTTGGTGTCGAGGTTGCTTTCGAGCTTGCCGTCGAGGTTGCTTTCGCGGTTGCTGTCGAGCTTGGGGTCGAGCCACCCACAGCACTGTTCAAGGACTTGCACATGGAAGGATCGAGAGATGTAGACTTGAACGTCTCGCCCTTAGCTGCCAGTGCAGCGGTACAGATTTTCGTGGTAGCGTCAGCGGCCTCTGTGAGACAATAATTTAGCTAATGCAGTCGATGGGCTCTGAGGCACTGTGATCTGGCATACTCATCAATTCATCAGAACTGCAAGTTTTGTCTGCCATGGCATTGCACAGACATGGTATGACCACTTTGGCGACATCTGCTGCTCCGGTTGTGCATTGACAGTGCACGTCAGTCGGGCCGCATGTCGTGGCGGTAATGCCCTGAGTGAAACAGCTAATAGCACATGCTGGAATCAACTTGATGGCCTGAGTAGTGTCCGTCAAGTCTTGAGCGACAGCGAAGGCCGCGAGGGTAAAGATCGAGGTATAGATTGCGTGCATTGTGAATGATCTAAAGTCGAAAGGCTGGAAGATGATCTATCTTAGATGATGTGTCTTCGAAAACGAGCGAAAGAAGCCTAGAATAATAGATTGGTCAAGAAACAGGAGGTGATCTTCTCGTTCAGAAGAAGCTATCGGAAGGGAGATGAAGTGTTGTTCATCTCACGTTCGGGAGACTCGGGACGGTGCTGGCATCGAATCATAAAGACGCTGGAAGTAGATATAAGTATATCAACCTAAACAAGGGTGTAGATCGCGCCGCCACGGCGGCTAGGTTTGCTACGGCGCTTGTCCACTTCTATGGTTATTAATAGGCTATATATAGACCGCTAAGAGGTCCAATTTCGAGCCAATTTGAAGCCTTGTAATAGCATAGTATAGGCCTGCTTACAATGAAGCCAAACTAGACCTTATCTAGAGACCATTTCCACCTATTTGTTTATCGACCTATTCTACCTCTTCCTCGTATTACGTGCCGCCTTTGTTTTAACCTTACTATCGCTAATTCCACGCTCTTTATTATGTATAAGCCTTCGTACGCTAAACACCTATCGCCTAAGGATGTAGAGTTGTTGCTTAGTAAGCTAGAAGTTAAGCGGCCGGTACGTATATCTCGTAAACCGTAATAATCTCGTACTAAGCGTATTGTTGTAGTTTGAGAGCCCGTTTCTACTAAATCTGTACGATCGAAGGCGCCTATTCTTCTACCCTACTAGTAGTAATAAGGGCATTCGAATAGAAGGCTTCGAATACGACGAATACCGCCATTTCGTATCGAACGTGTAGTACTGCAAGAACCGGCTAAACTACCTGTCGAATAATAGCAATAGGCGACTATATCGACGACTTAGCTTTAAGTGTCGCATCTATAAGCGCTATATAGACTATTAGCGCGCGGAAATGGCTCTAGAAGTCGTTGTAACTGCTTAAATGCGTAAGAGGCCTTAGCGGAAGCGTATAGCGTATACGAAGCCTTGTTTCGACTATCGCGCGAAGTTAACTATTATCGAGGTCTACGAGAAGCGACTAAGAGCCGAATTTAGCGAGTTTCTCGATAACTGCGTACTACGTAGTCTACCTAATAGTTTGACGGTCGTAAGACCGGCTTACGTAATGCTTTTACCGCTAAATAAGTGCTATTCGTATAGTCTCGAGTTTGTCGATAGTCTAGTAGTTAATGATAGTGTAAAGGCCGTATAGAAAGAGATACTCGATTTTCGAGCTAGTAAGTAGATTCTTAGCACCTTACAGACCTTATATTAACCTGTTTCTAGGCTCAACGTTAGTCGCTTAGTTAGTAGAAGAAATGAGACGGCCTAAACAGAAGCAAGTATAGCACGACGCTAGCGCCGTAGCAATTACTCGAGACCGCGTTAGTAACGCTAATCGAGAAGTCCTTTATCGATTAAGTAATAAGCGAAGAGATAGTGCGGAAATAGGGGTTATAGCCTAACTTTAGCAGGTATACGACTACTTGAGCGCTAAATTCAGCGGTAGACGAGGCCTCGTACGAATAATTAAGTCTCGTAGACTTAATAGAAAGCTATATAGAGGCCTTGTTTAGGCTTCTAACTAGCAACTTCGAGCCCTTCGCAACTATAGGTCTTTGTTTCTATTAGACTCGACCTATTGTACGAATAAGCTGAAATAGCCTCTGTCGATAGTCTACGTCCGCAATAACTACCTTAAATAGCTTCTAGCGGCTCACTTCCTTCTAGACTACGAGCAGGTATACCTAATTGAGATAGCAATCTCAACCCTTTAAGAAATAGCTCAATCCGACTAGATTAAGAAGGTTAGCGAATACGATAGATATAGGAAGCACTTCTACGTTAACGACGGCTGTTCTAGTAAAGCTAAAGATTAAGACGATTTAAACTGGACTAAACAGTCTTCTTAGATACCGCTATAGTCGATTACTAACGACTTAGCGAGTAAGCAACTCGGTATAAGTTAAGGCCTTGTAGATTGTAGCATTATTTAGCGCCTCTGCTAACGCCATCTTATCAAAACCCTCGAGAAGCACTTTAAGCGCTTTCTAACTACCTTTAAGGCTATAACCAACGCATTGTTTATTGTAAGAGACTAAGAAGAATGCTAGCACTTTATTGAGACTGTATAGAGCGACCTACTAAGCTATAATACACTAAAGGCGGTCGAGAAATTGGACTATTTAAAGAAGAAGTGGATAGCTTCTAAGAGCGATCGATAGGCGACTTAGGCACGGCTCGGAGATCCCCTTTTAATAGCCGTTCGAACAACTAGTCTACTAGAGGGCTATTACGTACACTTAAAGCGCCGAGATAAGCGTTAGATGCGTAAATAGAGCTTGCGAGGTGCGTATTCGTCCCCTATTTATAATGTTGTCCGAATTTATATAAAAGAAGCCCTCTTCTGCATTTTTTAGAATAGCTAGAATTCCTTAGAACGGCTCCTTCGACTACATTCTTCTTCCCTTCTATACTACAACTACTAACAACAACTGACTGTTTCTAGGCCTTATAATACACCTATTCCAACTCGACGATTATATCCGCGAGCGCGTACGACAAAACGGTATTGTCGATACCTACGGTTAGCTGCTAATATAGCGGAAATACAACACTCCGGCCTTCAAACACCTACTACTTTCGGTGCAGAAGAAGATAGCTAATAAGCTTATATAGTATTATAAGGATATAGACAATAACAAGCCTGCTTAGCGGATGGCTCTACCTGCTTTATACGACGACGTATGCACTAAATGCTTCTGCTACTTCTAGTATAGCTATCACCTGCCTTGCAAGCATATCTAGCGCTTCTATATTACTAGTGCGAGTGTTCTTACGCTACGACGTTGTCAGTTATATAAGAGCCGCTTTCAAGGTCTAAATAGCAATCTTATACACCCTAAGTAGTATAATACTAGGCTTGTTATCGATAACGACAACTAGTTAGGTAAAGCGACCTACGTTGATATTAATAAGGCTCTAGGAGTGTTACGAAAGCGCCGAGTCAAGGAATACTTCTATTCTATACAAGAAGCAGTTATACAGGCCTTCTTCCGCTTCTACGATGCGTAGGCTTCCAATCTAAACGACGCTTAGCAATACGAGGCCCTCCTATAGTAGATAACTAACCACGCCTTAATAAACTAGAAGTTGATAAACGATCACATAAACGACTGGTTTAAACGTGGCGCTAAAGAGGCCAAATTAACACCTTATCGTACTTCTAAGTAGCGAGGTGTTAACGATAGGCCGTTACGGCAACTAGTCTTCTATATAGCCGCATTGCTAACTCCGCCTCTATCAGTTGCCTCAACTAATACTAACCTTCTAGATATATATAGGCCTCGCATTATTGTCGAAGGCTATTCTTTGCTAGTCTACGGTCTACCTAATAAGAACGGCTTTGTTGCTTAGGTCGAAGACAGTAAAGAAGACGCACTATACGAGGTTAAGGATGACCTATTTAATAGCCTCTTAGATACAGACCTTCTACAATTAACGCTAATTAGTCGATTGCCGCTATCTTTGCTAAAGGACGCTAGCAAAAGTGATTAACACGATAACGACGAGGCATCAAGGCATTAATAGCCGTTGCTATCCTCCTTACTAGACGATTTGCCCTTACTAAGTGAGCTATTTCTACCTTCTATAGTAGAGCTACCTTCTATAGCAGAGCTACCTTCTATAGCAGAGCCACCTTCTATAGCAGAGCCACCTTCTATAGCAGAGCCACCTTCTATAGTAGAGCTACCTTCTATAGCAGAGCTACCTTCTATAGCACTATCTATAGCTCTACATTCTTTACCTATATAGTCGCCTAGTAAGGACACTTTAATTGATCTACTGCAGCTATTAGGTAGCTCTTATAAACCTCGTCGTTAGAAGCCTTTAATCAGTAAGCCTATAACACCTTCGAAACGCGCTCGTAGAAGGTTATACGTAGGTGCACTACCTAAACCGTACCGGATAGATCAATCCTCTCGTATACTATCTCCTATACTAATTAGACTACTAAAACGACGGATCTAAGGAGAGGTTGTCGCTTCTAAGCGGTAGAAGTGGTAGTGCTAAGGTGCAGGCGTAGACTTAGTCGTTTTCGAGCGATTACGGCTGTTCGGAACGGTAGAAATCCGAGGTAATTGGGTTGCACAAGGGGTGTTTACAATACCCCGATTTGTACACTAATTTTGGTGGTTATAGGGCACTCTGCAGGGTGGTACGGAACCCATAGGGTGTGCTTAAGCTACCTCGAATTTACTTTCTAGGTTGATCTACTCGCATCTGCGAATGGTCTCGTGCGCTTTCCCCTCGGAGTCGAATGCCAATGCGTCGGGCTGGGACTGGGGCGGATGATGCAAAATCCTAAAAGACACTCGACCTTGTGATATGGGTTGAAAGCTGGGCAACTGTACCAACAAGAGGCACCGGAAGCGATGATGGCAGAAAGGGCGCAACGATTGACGGTCGACACAAGTGTCTGAAGATCATGTCGGAAGGCCGAACGCGCGCCGTCGAATCCGCTGTGTTCTTTGGCGCTGCAATGGCGCAGGTCAAAGTGACAGGGTAGATGATGTTTCAATTTTATAAGGCACGCAAGCACGGCGCACGGCACTGGAGCTAAAAATACCGATGCATGCTTTTGGTCCTCTGCAACCATAAGTTATACAGTATCCTTTCACGTTTCATGGGTATCCACAACCAACCCTTGCTATAACAAGGCACCCTGCAATATCGTGTTCAAAAGAAGGCATACAAGCGAGGCAATCTCGTCCAATTAAGCGTCTGTCTATTAACTATATGTCCTGTTATTATATTACGTAAAGATGCTAAAATCTCTATAGTAAGGACTAGACAAGCTATTCTAGCTTAATAACCGAAACAATAACTACCTTTCTTTAGTATCTAGTATAGTGTCTACGCCGCTATATAACCCTTACTATTCTACGATAGAATAAGCCTATAATCGCCTCTACTTCCGCCTCTATAATCGAGTCCTAATAGTCCTATATTATCTCTTAATGCCGCTAGTCGCTCGAAGGGTATCTATACTAGCTATTAAGCCGATATTTTATAAGAGCCTATACGTTCTCGATTAGGTTAAGATTAGGCGAGTTTAGTAGCTATATATCTAAGCAATAGTCGACGTTAGCTATAGTAAGAGCATCTCGAGTAATACAAGCCTTATAGATTAAGGCGCTATTAAGGATTAGTAATAGCTGCTAAGGTAGTAGTTACTAGACAATAGTAAGTAGATAAACAAGTAGGTTAAAGGCTTAAAGCTATCTTTTAAGAGGTCTTCTTCTACCCTCTACGTAGCTATCTTTATAGCTACTTCCTCGTAGAAGCGGACAACCTCTAGCAATATATAGTTAATAAAGGACCGCGTACTAATCTTGCCCTAAGTACGGTCCTAATAGACTATTCGGCTCTTCTACTTACTAGCAATAAGGGCGAAGTAGTACTATGTCTTAATACGCCGGAAACGAGGTCTAAGGCAGTTAGGCTCGTATGCCTTACTAATAAGATGCGTTATAAACATACGCGAAGATCTACCTTATCTAAAGGCTATACTATCGAAGAAGATTATTGTCCTACTAGCATCTAACTAGTCGAGGTACTACGTACTAAATTAAGGCCTTAAATCGATTATATCCGCGTCTAATAATAGAGCCCTTCTTATAACGCGTCTATAGTATCTAAGCTCGTTTAATTAACGCCTAATAGTCGATACTAAACACTCGAGACCGAGCTTTTCTTTAATCTCGGCGTAGCTAGCTCTACGACCTTCTACTAACTCTATAACGAAGTTAATAATACGGTTAGCAATAGGTACACTAAACTAACGTAGGCCCTATGTAACGCGTTAAAGGGTTAGTGTTTCCGGCTTGTTAGTAACGCGTTACACCGTCGAATACGGCTTATTAAGGAAGGCTAATATCCTCGTTAGATACTAACTAAGAAAGCGGCGAAGAAATTTAATAGCGTAGCGTATAAAGGCTAGAATAATGCGATAGCGCTAACGGCCGTTCTCGAGAGCCTCGCGAGTATTCTAAGGTATACGTTAACTAAGTAGTATAGAAGGTTTATTAGTCGATAGTTGCTAAAGCTATAGAAGTCGTCGTCGACCGATAATCTAAGTAGATTAAGAAGATTAAGAAGACTAAGAAGGTTAAGGAGTCTAGTAAGGAGGCAACTCCTCGATAGGCTCTATTATAGTATAGTAGTTAATAGATTAATATCCTATCTATAGTAGCTTCTATACGCCTTTTATAATCTCTAAGTACCCCTTATCGCGTCGATAACTACTACTATAGGGACGCGGAAGTCGCGGTTCCTTTACTGTTTCGCAATTCTCGTACCTAGCGGCTATCTAGCTATCTTAGTCGCTTCCGCTAGGGCACTAGCCTCCTTTTATACTAGTCTTCTACCTATTTTATAAGGAACTAAGGTTATAAAAGAGGCCTACAACCTATATAGTATAATAAGCTTAGCAGACAGGGCTCTATAGAAGAGGCACTATAGAAGCGTAGTTTCGAGCTAATTTAGGGCTACTTTAGCGCTTAGTCTAACCTATAATCGGACAAGTAGCTATCGACTACCTTGTTAACCGATAGACATACCTTGTAACAACCCCTGTCTACCCTTGCTAACCTATATAAACCCACATAACCTCTGCTAGTGTAGTGGCCATTCAGTCTATTCAGTGGCCATAGACCCTTACAATACCCATCAGATCTGGAAGGGTACTGTATCGATACAAATTCTCCTTGGCCTCGCTTGGAGAAGCTTCGCCTCCATATCGCTCTTGGAGCTGCACCTCGACATCCTCTGCATTCTCATCGCCGTCATTTCTCTTGTATGTTGTCCCGGACGATGGTCTACGCCGCCAAGTGATTATCAACCGTTGAGATCTTTTAGTGCCGAGCCTATGCTGCCGGCGAGAGAGAAAATACAATATAATCAATGTTTGTTGGCCTCGTGATATTTCACGAGGTGGCTGTACAGGCTGACAACTGAGCACACAATCGCACGAGTGCATCGCCCGCGTTACACAGTGTGAGTGGCAACATGGCTTCACATATATTGATTCATGCCTCTTGGGGTCCGGAACTATCTACACGAACCCTGACCGTTGGAGCCAGAGACGAAAGGGTGTACTTTCAGCCTCGCGGAAGGCCACATAAATTCCAAGATTGTGCTATGCTGCAGCCTGCAGTCTCCCCATCCAGCTAGCTAGGCAGCCTCAAGTCGTCGGCTCTCCTTGATGCTGCGATACATGGCGCTCATCACTTCATCCGGACTTTGGCAAACGCAAGCTTATTATGCCCGAATGGCGATCGCCAGCTGCTATTGCATCTTGATTTTATTGGTTGCCGCCAAGGGATTTCGTTGATATCTGGAAAGCCGTTGGCTTGTTGACATTTGCTGACGCCGCCCGGCCATGCTCGTTCAAACGTTGTGGGTCTTGGCGCGATGCTTTTGTTGAACAAAAGTGGCATACGGCGATATCTCCTGCTGACTCAGACCTCCATAGGAAAGAACACGAGGACTATATCCATATGCACAGTGGCACTGTGCAAGTTGGAGTCGTATATGCAATGCTCGCAACGGACGAACGTTCGGCAGTCGGCCGAAGTCGAGTCGGCAGCTACGAATCTCTGTCTCGGATGGACCTTGGAATCCTTCGTCTTGCCGCTAAAGCTTACAACTTGTAAGCAGGATCAGCTCCATTCGTATAACATCGCTCCGAATACTTGGAGGAAGAGCGTGAACATCAAAAACGGACACCTATTTCGTGTGGCGCCTGTCAGCTCGAATCTTGAAGAAGGAAGGTATAGATTGACAAAGTGCACACACAACAAAGCATCCAAAGCAAGCAAAGAGTCACCAGGATCCACATCTTGACACTCGATCAGGTGCACAAGATCACAGTGGTGCGATAAGCCTCTCTATATCCAAACAGCGGAACCGTAAACCCAACTTCCAAAAAAAAACACCTTAGCCCACAATGGTCCTCATCCACACTCAAATCGAAATCGCAGCCCCTCCAGAAAAAGTCCGGGACATCTTCCTCGACTTCCCCAAGCTCTCAGAATGGCACAAGGGACTCTTCAAGGCCATCGAATACGCACCAGGAAAGACGACCGCAGATGTCGGCGATAAGCTCAAAGTCATCGGTGAAGGCATGACATTTGAGCCAATAGTCTTGGTATGTACAAAAGCACGGCGGGAAGAATCCGCTGTATTGACATGATATGTACAGGAGAACTCACCTGCCAAACTCGAGTGGAGGGGAAGCTTACCATATATCTTTACTGGGATTCACTCGTACCAGTTTAGACCTAGTCAAAAGAATCCTGGACATACGACTCTTGTGCAAGAGGAGAATTTTACTGGACTGCTTTCGCCTCTTATGTGGACTTCATTTGGCTCGAGTACGAAAGCTGGGTTTGAGAAGCTTAATGCGGATTTGAAGGCGAAGGTGGAGAGCTCTTGAATTGCACGTGCTGGCATGAAACAAGTTCGTCATGCGAGCGATTTCGCAGCCATTCTATAATTGCTTCCTTGTCTACAAAGCAACAGGATACTCCGTCGTCTCAATCTTCTCGGGATACACCATATCATTCTGCTTCCTAACCTCATCCATCACACGCATGATAACCAAGCTCTCTTCCAAACTCTCATATTTCCCCTCTTTCCTCCCGTCTCTTATAGCGTAAGCACACTCATCCGCCTCCCAGAACATACCATGTCCCACACCTTCTGCATTCCAATGACTCTTAGGACCAAATCCATTCTGCCATCCACTGCCCTTACCCGGACCAGGGTGTTCCCACTCCTTCTCTTCAACCGTTCCGTCATTCAGCACAAGCTTGGTCTTAGTAGGTCTGAAAGCAGGAGAAAAGACCTGAATTTCACCCTCCGTACCCTGAGCCCGAACCGCAGGAGTGTCCCTAACTTGCAACGCAGTCCTGAAGCCCGTCGTAGCAACGCCATGAGCATTAGGCAGACCGTCTCTTGGGAAACTCAAAAGAATTGTCGTCTGCTCATCAACCCCAGTCTTATACTTATTCATGGTACTGAGAACGCTCGGAGCCTTCGGGTTCTTCTGTGTATCGTAGAGAGTCTGGAAGAGCCAAGTCAAAGTATAGATTCCGAGATCGAGAAGTGCTCCACCTGCGAGATCCATATTGACCATTCTGTGCTTGCCGTCGGCGAAAACTTGCTCTGGTGGTAAACCTATGCTCAGATCTGCTTGTGCTCGGTAGACGGTTCCGATCTTGCCGGATGTGATGATGTCTCGGACATAGATGGAAAGAGGGAAGTATCTGACCCAGACAGCTTCCATTAAGAACAAATTCTTTTCCTTTGCGAGCTTGATCAGAGTCTCTAATTGCTTGGCGTTGGTTGTGAAGGCTTTCTCGCAGAGGACATTCTTGCCCGCTTCCAGACAGAGTCTGGCATTCTGGTAGTGGTGGCTGTGCGGTGTTGCCACGTAGATGATGTCCACGTTCGGGTCGGCGACCAGCTCTTTGTATGATCCGTATGCTTTTGCAGACTCTGGAGCTCGCACCTCTTTCAAGAAGGCCTTGGCACGATCTGCTGAAGAGGACGAAGCGGCAGCTACGACGACGTGCTCAATATCTGTAACGCCTCTTGTCTCTGGATTGACCCAAAGGTCTCGAGAGAAGGACTCGGCGATGCCGCCAGTGGCTAGAATGCCCCATTTGAGCTGGTATTTCGACATTGTCGGAGGAGTTGAGGTAGAAGGCGTTGACTGTAAACCTACAGAAAGGAGGCGTGGTCCAACATGATCAAAAATATGCTAGGGCCAGGAACAGCTTCCCAAGCTTTGCAAAGCTCCGCCTATCGGGGCATCGCGGCCGCGGCATCGGCAGGGCAGGCTCCCGTCTCATGCGATGTGAGCGGAGCGGGACTGCAAAAGTGGTGCACGCCGCCGGGGCGCCGGAATAACACGAGCTCTCTCATCTTCATCAGAAAAATCAGCCTTTGTCAGTCGTCGAGGTCGAGGCGGGGTGAAGTGGGGTGACAAGTGAAGTGGGGGCGGCACGACTCTGGATTCTCCTTTCTTGCCTGAATACAACGGCGATACGGTCCGATATGGCCGCTCGACGATACCGTATTGAGCAGGACTGTGTCGTAGAACTGCTTCTAGAAACCCTATGAGGTTCATTTTAGGAGGAAGACGATTCCAGAGACATTCGACCCTCTACCTCAGGCTCTCTAGAGCGTTGATCCGGTCAAACAGAGATATGAGAAAACCCAGAAATCTTCTGAAAGCGGCGGCGTCTGTGGAGGATGGCCTGGCTGATAACTGGCTAGTGTAAACATTAGCTCGATTGACGCAATCAAGCCTCGCTATGTGATGCTAGTACGCTAAAAAAAAGTCCCAAGTAACGAATGCTGCACCGTCTCGTGATCCTGTTGCTGTCGTGCCTATGCTGAAACTCCGCCAGCGCCTGTCGCTGTAAATCTCTGATAAAGCAATCGCTGGTATCTCCCTAGAAGATTCTTCAATTGATAAAATGATTCATATGGCCGGGTACCTTCATCCGGCACTTCTCGCAGTCTGCTCGAAAGCCCATCACGAGGCCTCGCTTTGGTCCGATGCCCATATCGCTTGGCCCAGCACGCACTGGTGAATCGCCGCTGCTAAGGGCTCCGCTGCGCTGACGCTGCTTCCTGACTATGATACGGTCTGGTGCATCATCCATGGGCTCCAAGTCGAAGGCTGAGTCTAGTTTGTTTGTGTTTCGGCTTGATGATCGAACAGGGTCGATCGAAATTCTGGGTAGAGATCCGTCCTCGTCCATATCCATGTCGCTGACACTAAGCATCGACAATTGTGATCCAGCGACCTCCGCTGCACTAGGCGGCGTAGGAACCTCGTCTTCATCGATTGGTGATGGTACTTCGAGGAGGTCTGAGCTGGGGAAATTCTGTTGTGGGTGGCGGGACCTAATATGATGATTTATGCCAGTCCGAATGCGCTCTGGACTCGCACCTGGCCTCATCGGTACCGCCGGAGTGGGCACTCGGTTGGTCATATTCAATCGCTGGCCCCATGGACTGGTTCGTGAAGGTTTTGGCTGTGATGTAGAATTATATTCAGGCGAGTGAGCAAAGTCGAGATTCATGTCATCATCGCCTGATTGCATGGATGCATCCTGGGGACTGCCGGGCTCAGAGAGCATCGAAGAAGCCTCATCATTGTCGCTATCGTACTTTGATTGAGCATTCTCTCGGGTGGGAGTGTTCAGAACAGAGTCGTTCCACCTGTCGCTGTCTGCCGAGGCTACTGTGGTCGCTCGAGCTCGCTGCCGAGTGTCAGTGGCAAGGCGTGGGTACATAATCAGAATGCAAGACTCCACCTTTCCAGATGGAATATCCTCCGCCTGCACCTCGTTTGTGTCGTCTCTTGATCGCTTCTTGCTGGAGAACATGGTGGGTGTCACAGAAGGCGAGCTCATGCCAACACAAGCCAGCTTAGGTAGATTTCATGTTGAGTGTAGAGCGAATTTTGGAAGCCTCGCTGGAGCTAGAAAAAGTCGAACAAAGCTCTTGAAACACACGTTCGAGTGAACGAGGCAGTGATCAAAACAAAGCCGATGGAAAGTAGAAGGTGTGGTTGCTTTGCCAGTGTCCTCAGCCAGGAACGGTTTCGCAGCAACCCCTCTACCAAAGTCTAAATAGGGTACTGTACAGTATGTGGTAGTCTCAGGTGACGCTCAGACCGCCTGCTGAAGAGGGCTTAGCGCTTTCTCTAGGGGGTCTAAGGGAGCATCTAGCTATTTTAGTCGATATAACCTAGCAACGATAAGGACAACAACATTCGAATATTAGTATTATAATACTTTTAAGCTGCTATATCCCTTACAAACTAGTACCAAATTTAATTTACTAGATAAAACCTTATATATATAAAATAAATAGCTAGTAAGATATTTAGTAAACGTAGTCTTTACTCCTTACTAAGATCTTGTATTATTTAGCTATATTTCTCTTTTATTAGTAACTATCTAAAGATATATTTTCTAGTAATACTTATATAGTATTTTCTCTTAGGTAAAACTTTGTTATTAGGAAAAGATATAGAAAATCCGAGATAGTTTATAGATTTAGTATAAATAGGGGTATATATTGTCTTTATTCGTAAAATAAGTATAAAGCTTTCTATAGTATATTTTACTTTTTTTTAAAAAAAATTGTATCTTACCACCATCGAGATGCTTCCTTAGACTACTTTTAATAAAGCTCCCGAAGGGGACTAGCGTAATAATGCAGTCTAAACGTTACCTGAGACTGGGTATCTGTGCTCACTGCTCACTCCGGCTATGCCCCTTCCTCACACGCTGAAGCACTTCTCATAGCACACAGCTATATTTATTCTCTTCTACGATCTGCAAGCAGCGCAGGAGATGCTTTTCCGTGAAAGGGGAAGGGCATGCGCAGAAGAAGTGCTACAGGACATGTGCTGGCTTTATTGTGCGTGGTTCGCAAAAGACTAACATGCGGAGAGCCGTGGAACACATGATTCTGATCTCTCCGGCACTGGAAGAATACCACGACAGCCCTGATGAAGACGACTGACGAGCGGTGGGTGGATGACTAAGGACCATAACCATGATTGTCAAAATAGCACAACGAGGCGCGTCCGACAAGCCAACATGCTGATCAAAACGTCACAGGAGCATGTGACTTCGTTCCTAAGTTAACGGAAAATTTAGAGCCACCATCATCAAGGGGGTCGGACTGTGCCCTCTTCTCCTTACGGCTATGATTGTCGACTCAGAGATCCGGATTCTGATACGACGCCAACCCTGGCACTGGCACTGCCAGCCAACCGAGTTCGCCTGACGCGTTTCAGAGGAGTTGCCCAAGAGGTTAAAGTCTGCCACCCAAGCTTGCGCCTCTAACCTCACTCCACCCATGCCTTTTCATTGCCTTTCTTTGTGTTCTTAGCAGCCGAAGACATGCCAGCACTAATTGAAGAAGAGAAGAAATGTCTCGATATCGCCGTGATAGGTGCAGGCATTTCTGGACTCTCGGCTGCCATATGTCTGCGACGAGCTGGCCACCATGTGACGCTGTACGAACGAAGCGAGTTCAAGAATGAAGTGGGCGCAGCAATTAATATGCCTCCTCACGCCACACGACTACTTCGAGAATGGGGCGTAGCTGGCCAAAACCCCTCCGAAAAGACGGGACCATATCTCGACAATGCTTGCGGGAGCTTGCTCCATGGCACTCGCAGACTGGATTCGGCTACCGCAGAACTTCTCCACAGCTCCAGCTTTGATGGAGACGAATACCGTTATGGCGCTCCATTTGTGTCATACCATCGTGCAGATCTCCACTTAGGCCTCCGAATGGCAGCTGCGAACATTGGCGCAAAGACCGTGCTTGGAAAGATGGCCGTGAAAATTGACTGCGAAAAGGGCCAGTTCACAGTCGTTGATCCTCACAGCCGGACTGGAAAAGAAGTCATCCAAAAAGACCTGCTCATCCTCGCCGATGGCGTCAACAGCTTATTTGTGGAACATGTGACCGGATCCCCAAATCCCCTCCATGAAACAGGACGCAGCGCCTATCGCAGCCTGATACCCATGGGCAGGCTCCTCTCTGACCCGGAAGCCCGTTCCCTATTCACTTCAGGTGGGGAGCGCGGCATCACAGGCTCTTTCAACGCGCAGACCGGCGTCTTCCTAATTGCATACCCCTGTCGCAAAGGCGAAGAGATGAACATCGCGATATTTCATCAAATGCTACCTGGAGAGCGTCGAACCTACGACTGGGACTTTCCAGCGACAATCGACCACGCCCTGGCTTCCATAGAAGGTTTCCACCCAGCCTTCAAAGCCCTGATCCGCTGCGCCGAAGACATGAAAGTCTACACAATCCTCGCCCGAGACCCGGCAAAGCGCTACGTAAACCACCGCGCCATCATGATCGGAGACGCCGCACATCCCATGCTCCCAGCCCTAGCCGGAGGCGGCTCCACCGCTCTCGAAGACGCAGCCAGCCTGGAAATCCTCTTGAAATCCCTCACAGTCGACGACCTACATTCCGGCCTCGTCGCAAAACGTCTCAAACTCTGGCAAGCCCTTCGCATCCCTCGAGACGTCACAACGCAAGTCGTGAGTAAAGGCATGCTCGTGCCTCAACCTGCGAGTAATTTCGCGAAAGAGGTTTCACATGTGTATTCTGGTCCTTTGCCGGAAGTCCCGCTGTCGGGATGGATTCGTGCTACGAGGGAGTTTTTATGTGGCTATGAATGTTATGGGACGACGGAGAAAGCTTTGAGATGGGCGGAGAAGGAAGGGTATCCGGATGATATGATGGGGAGGTTACAAGACGAGGGTGTGATTAAGCATTTTGGAGTTGCTGCGAACGTGCAGGACTGACCAATTGCTTACTGGCTCTTGATTTGATTGTAAGCGTTGGTGTTTGCGGCGTTGTTTCGCTCCGACGTTTTGGATGACGCTGGCAATGAACATTCTTTCTGCTTTCATGCTTATCTCATGCTTATCCATATCTGTACAATCGAAGTTTGAAACGCTACACAAGTGGTATCTCAACACGCTCCCTGGGCACACTCCTCCGATGCTTACCATTTCGCAATAATGCATGGGTATTGGGTCATTGCGGAAATGGCTGCGTGAAGCGTTCTACCATGTGCTTCAGCAATACCGGCGGCACAGCCTCATCCGTGGCTCGGATAGTAAGGCGATACATCTGCAGGACTAAGTTAGTAACCAAATGCTGCCAGTGACTGGGTGCTCATTTGAGCTCACCTTGTTCTCCATATTTGGTTCCAGTCTCAGCAGGCATCCATACTTCCCTCCGTTTGTGTGCAGGACCGTCGCGCCTACAAAGTTCTTCGGATTCGGATCCACGCCGTCCAATATGCCCCATTTAAAGCCTGTGAGCAGTCTTCGGGTATTGTCTCCCGACAAATCGTATCCCTGGAAGATCTTCTGTGCCTCTCGTGGAGCGCCGCCTATTTGCTTCCAGCGCTTGAAGAAGTCATCGGAGCTCAATACGGCTCCATCCATGTATTTGTGGAGTGTCACAGGGAGCTTGAGTGTCAGCGCTTGCAGTGCACCAGCCATATATGAGATGCGTATCGTGGGCGCATCGGTGAATGGTCCGTTTGCGGTGAGAATGATCATCATCTGTGTCTGTTCACCGGGATGCACTCTCGTCTCAGGCAGACTCTTAATGTCTGCTTTCAAGTTCTCGGAGGATGGGTTGTCAAGTGTTGCGGTGAAGGATTGTATCGCAGCCGACGACTTGTTGCTGAAATAGAGGATGATGCAGCCTACTTCACTTCGGTACTCACTTCGAAGGCCGATCTGCAGCTGCACATCTTCGTACAAGATGCCTTCAGTTCGCATCAGTAGTCGATTGAATCCTGGCTCCCAATCAGGCGACAAATATTGCGCACTAGCAAAGTTGGGTGCCAGATCGAGACCCGCGAGCTCATCGATAGGTGCCTTCGCACCACCGTTAGCATGGGTGCCATTTGTTCCATTGACAACATTCGAGCCATTCGCTGATAAAGTGGCAGTCGCCGAGTTGGAGAAATTGCGCTTTAGCGTTGCACTCCGACCGACTGTAGGCAGACCATCCTTCGCTGTGATTGCCCATGTTCGCTTGTCACCAGCAGTGCCACTCTTCTTGTCAAGTCGGGTGAGCAAAGCAGACTCTCGCTCTGGGAAAGGCGGCATCTCATCACAAATTGTTCTCAGCATCTCGTCCGAGGGCATGGTGGCGATAGCCAAGTACTCGCATGCTCTCTGCTGAAGCTCGGAATCCAAAGAGTGGCTATACGTCCTGAAAGCTTGCAGGAGCTGCGGCCGAATCTCGGGAAAGAGGTTGACAAACTTGATGAAGGCCGATAAAATCATAGCTCGCGTAGTGGGAGGTGATGAGGCGAACTTTGCTTGTAATGCCAAAAACTGTTCGATCGGACTGCAGCCTTTCGTGTCTGCGATAAGATGTCCAAACTCTCCCAGAATGTAGCTGCCAATCTTGACCAGTGTCTCATGACAGAGCTCTGCTTTGCAGTACTGCAAAATGTTTTGTGCTGCGTAGACTTGCAACTCATCGTTGTTTGTCACAATCTGAATGATTCTTTGCCAGACCTCGTCGCTGACATGATCACCAGCCATTGCGATGAGTCGCATGGATATATCGACGTACCACTTCACGTCTGTGGCGTACTTTTCCGTAAGAATGGCGATCTTGAGCACCATTTCTTCCCGAATGGCATAGTCGGCAGATGACAAGTACTTGAGCAGTTCATGCACAATCTTCTGCGAATTTGTAGAGTCGCACATGCTGTAAAGGAGATCGAGACCTTGCCGTCGCACAGTGATATCTCTGTCTCGCAGCGAACCAATAATGATGTCCTGATGCTTCTTGATCGGATCGAGGGTCTCTGCTCGCACAGCGAGATGCGTCATGGCCTCCAATCCCAGATATCGCACATTGGTCTCTCTAGATCCAATGAACTTTCCGAGCTTTGTTGATATCTGCACCATCAAATCTCGTTCTGTATCCAGATGGATGATGAGGTTAATCGCTTCAAAGAGCACCGCATTCTGTGCATTGTTTTGCTGTACATTCTTGGATGATTCCATGGCATTGTCAAGTATGGCCTGTAATGAGTCACGCATGAGCTGTCGTAAGTGTGAGTCTTCTGATGGAGGGAAATATTGCATGAGTCGCAGGAACTTGACCTGGAGCCATGGACAAGGGACCTTGTAGTATACGTAGTCGCCTGAATAGTCGTGGTCGATGAGCATTTTTCGAAGTCTCTGCGCCGCTTTCACGTAGCTTCCTCTGAATGCATCGGGGTTGTCCTGCGCCAAAGCCATGACCAGAGATGTGACGGACAGGGCTACTCCGAGATCTGGATCGTCCATGATGGCTATTATGCGCTCCGCCCATTCCGGCTGCACAATGGTAGGCACTTTCCGGTAAAGTCTCAGCAAGGTCAGCGCAGCCTTCTTCTTCACGAATGGCTTGCTCGCTGGCGATATCAGCAGTCTGTGGACCTCTGAGCAGAGCGCCTCTCCCATTTCCTTGCCGCCCACGTTGGCGATGGCATGTAGCGCCAAGCAATTATTGAGCTCATTATGATCGGCAAGATCCTTTCGTATGCTGTTCACGACCAGGTGTAACAGCTCGTGCTGCTCGTGGAGAAACAAGGTGACAGCCAGGTAGCCGATCTGCTTTTCCGAATACTTATTGGCCGAAATCAGATTCACAGCCTCGAGGTGGCCGAAGTCGACATTCCAGCCCAGAATATAGATGTACAAGAGCTTGCAGACGTATTTCTTCTTGTCGTAGCCTGTCAGATTGCCGGCCTTGAACTTCTGTCGAATGTTGGCAAGCTCCTTGTTGATGCGCTTCTCTTCCAGCTCTCGCGCTCTTGCATTTCTGAGATCTGCTATGAAGGACACCAGCCCTCGCATAGTGTTGTCCTTCCCGGAGCTGCCGCCCCTACTGAACAACGCAGAAGCTGCGGCCGACATGGTCGCTGATGGCGGATACGCAGCGCCTCCAGGGCAGCTACGTGCTAGGGCAGGTCAGCCAGTACGGGAGGGTGCGTCGTGGCGCGTCGAAGGTCAAGTCGTCCAACGTTCCCAATGCGCCGAGGCGTGGCCCAAAGCTATGCCGGGCTGTGTTCGAGGTGCGGAGCGGAGCGGAGCATCGAGAGAGCTTGGCGGCACGTCGCTGATGGCTGATGGCAGGCAGCGCGGATCACAGATCGGATCAGGTGATATGCGTGACGACGACGCCTGTTTCACGCAGTGCAGTGCTGAATCGTAAGATGGCTGAAAGTGGTGTCGGTGAGGAGATGTACCTGATTATTCATCGCTCCGTCGCCGAGCCTGTCTCACCTCCCCCACCCCACAACCAACCAGCCAACGCGCGGGCTGCGACGCGGGTCCTTCTCGGGAGACATCACATCAGGCCGAGTCTACTTTCCAGCGATTACGGCATAATCTGTCTATATAGCCGCGTAGATTATAGCCCCTCTTCTAACAACTCGTGCCGTCTTATTATAATCGATTGTAATATTATAGATGTCTCGCTATACTCGTAATCTCGCTAAGATTATACTATATATAGTATAATTAGCAAAACTAGGTTAAGAGGTAGTTTTACGCCTATCCGTACGCGAATTAGCCTTCCGCCTAGCGCCGTAGTATCTACCTCTTTCTAAAGTCGCTAATTCGATAGTATAGTAGTCGAGAAGATATAGGAGGGTCGGAAGAGATAGAAATAGAGCGCCTACTAGTAACGGTGTTATCGGTAAGCGCGATTTCCGCTACAATACCGCTATTACTAGAAGAACCGCCCAAATTGCGCCGCCGCGCGGTATATCGACTACCTAGACGTCCGACGGTATAGGTAGAGCGTAATCGGTTAGAGAAAGAGGCGTTTCGAGTATTAAATAGACCGAAGAGATACTATTACGAGCATACGAGGTTAAGGCAACCGGTACTACGAGCGTTAATCTACGAGTTAAGGAAGTATAGACTAGAAGGCAAGAAGTATTTAGTAGAGGCAAGAGTAGTCCTATTTCTAGTCGCAATAGCGTATAATTAGAGCTTAACTATCCTTGCTAATAACTTTAGTATTACGAAGGAGACTCTAAGAAGGATAATCTATGCCTTATCGCGTTACTTCTATCGTATAGCAAAGGACTGGATTAAATTGCTATAGAATAAGGACGATAGGCCGCTATAGTCTAAGGGTACCGACAGAGGCAAATTCTAGCTATACTTTAAAGGTGTTATAGGCGCTATTAACGGCACTCTATTACAGGCTAGCATACCGAAGATTAAGGCTAATATATAGCGTTATAGGAAGGGTTACATTGCGTAGAATATAATAGCGGCCTATAACTCTTCGTTGCGCTTTCTATTTGTTATACCTAGATACAAAGGGTTAGCGACAGATAGCACTATATTAAGGAAGGCTTATTAGTTAGGCTTCGACGTACTAGAGGGCTACTTCTATCTCGCCGATAGTAGTTATTCCTTCAAAGATCTACGGCTTCTCGTACTATATTAGAAGACTCGATATTACCTTCGTAAGTAAGGCGAGGCGGAAGAGCGACCTACGAATTATAAGGAGTTATACAACCTCCGCTATACTTAGCTCCGCAACTATATCGAGCGGGCGTTTAGTATTATAAACCGGAGGTTCTAGATTATTAAGGAATGTCTAAATACCTAGCTAATTGCTTAATAAAGTCGCTTTGTTATCGCCTACTATATTATCTATAACTTTATCCTTTCTAACAGTCGACAACCGCTGTCTTCTAAGCTAGGTCTCGTTCCTTTAGATTAGGAGCTAGAAGCCGCTCGAGAGGCGGATTCGACGGCGGAGGTTTACGTCGATAATAGGCGCTATACTAAAGAGGTTAACGACGAGAGTTACGCCGATTATCGTAATAGGATATCGAAGTAGATAATAGCTAATTACGAGACGTATTAGTCGAGAATAGGGCTAGATATAAGGGCGCAGAAGCAAGAAGTGCTAGTAAAGGTATAGCGGAGGATGTAATATAGTCGTCGCATATTACTAGGAACAATATATACTGCTTTTAGTAAGGAATTTAGTAAGGAAGCTGTTTCTACGATTTAACCGTTATATTCGGACAATATTGTTACCTCTAGATAGCCTACCTCGAAATTCTCGTACGTTAAAATAGCGGGGTCTTAGTAGTACTTCTATAAGGTTAGAGTTCGAGTTAATAGGATATGCCTTTTTTGCATATAATAGCACCCCGTACGTAACCGCAATTTGTTAGTAAAAATTAACAACACCTCTATACAAATCAATAGTATAGCCGTTAGCGTATATTTGCCCTAAAATTCTGCGCCTAATCTACGAATTCTTATATCGAGTTAGTACTAAATACATACTTGTCCTACTATTTCTAACTGTTCCTCTAAATAATAACCTATTGTCTGTATCCTAATAGTACGTATCTACCTTCTATCTACTGCAGATATGTATTCTGTCTGATATTAGACTTAATGTCCGTTAATACGGCTAGGAAGTACTCCTCGAACTGCTCCTAGTTTATACTCGAAGCGACCTTATAATAGTCAAACTCCCTATTCTTCTTCGCGACTTCGTGTACTAATAACATCCGATTAGCCGACGGTATGTCTAGATCCTTAAAGGTCTTCTTATCTAATAGCCGCTTTGTAACGTTGCTAACAATTGAACTAGCATTAGCAGCCGCTAGCGCATTAGCGCGTTGCTCGTCCGCTAGTTTCTTCGCTAGAGCACGCTCTTCCTTACTATCTTTTACTACCTCCGCGACTATTAATACTATAGGCTCGAAGGCCTTCTATAACGACTTTATAATAGTTAGATTCTTCTCGTTTACCTCGTCCGCCTTCTTATAAACCCGATTAGCCTCCTTCTACATCCTCTTCTAGTACTTTTCCTCCGCCTTCGCCGTACGTAGCACTATTAGCTATTCTTCCGTAAAAGGCGTAGCAGCGACGTCCGTAGCGGTTACCTTAACCTCGGACTCCTTACTCGCCTTACTCTCTCTAAGAGTATCGTTAGATATTATATAGTCGCCTATAGCTATCTCCGAGCCGATTAGCTCTTCTATAATATTATAGAACTTAGGTAGTTCGTTACGGAAGCTAGTACACCTTAGATTATCGTCGAAATGAGCGTCTTCTACGTCCGAGTCGGCTATCGGAGGCATACTATTCTAGCCGCTTATATACTTTAAATAAGCAATCTATATACCCTAATCGCGCTTAATAGAAGACCACTTGTTCTTCAACTATTTAGCTATACGGTCTATACTATATTTGTTATTAATTAACGTTACTACGTCTCGTAGGTCCGGCAACTAGAAGTTATTAGCCTTAGTGCTACGGCCGACCTTCTTTAGCTTATTCAATTGCTCGAGGAAGTACTTAGTTTGCTCCGGAGTCTAATACGAAGGCGTCTTCCGCTACTTGCTATTACTATTATCGACAATTAGTATCGCTATCGCTATACGCTTCCGAGAGGCCTTCGCCTTAGCCTTAGTCTTAGTTATAGGCGTCTTCGGCGGTAGCTGCTAAGAAGCCTAAGAATCGCTTAATTGAGACACTATAGTATTAGTATTCTAATAGCTTTAAACTAAGAGACTAACTGCTCGACTAACTATATATTTATATAGTAGACTATACTAAGAAGCACCTCCGAACGAGCGCTCGTCCTTACCGCCCTTCGTACGCCGATTTTCTATACCGTAGCTATACACCGCCTCGTTTCCTTTATTAACTACTGTAAGAGGTAGATAGTAGACTATATTATTAAAGAGCTATAGAGCCGAGCCGTATACGCCGCGGCGGCTTATTATATAGGTTATAACACCTAGCATTGTCTACTTATAACCGGTTATTAAAAGCGTATAATCTACACTGGTTATTGTAGCTTCTATAATCCGACGGATTATGCTATAATCGCTGGAAAGTAGACTCGGCCTCAAAGCACCCCCCCCCCCCCCCCCCAAGCAGTCTCGGCAGCAACCTCATCACCCTGACACCCTCACACATCAAAAGCCGTCAAGAGGCCTTGTGAAGTGAAGAACGACACGCCTGTGAAAGCGGCAACGGCCAGTGCACGAGGAACGTCCTACTTATTGGGGATTCTGCAAGCAACAGGCTGAAATGGACATTTGTTCCTACAAGCTGCCGGCCTTCCTATACCACACCACTCTCAAATTGTTCACTCTTCACTACTTCACTAGAGCGACAGCGACACCGCCCAACATATACCCGCTGTTCTATCAAATACGGACACATCACCACTCAGCAGTCCAGCTTCTGCTTTCTCTCGCCTCTTCTTCGTCCCAAGATATCCTACAAGCATGGACGTGGCGTCTTCCATGATTTGGCCGATCGTATTCATCAACACCTGCTTCGGTCGTTCAGCTTAGAGAGAGTGGCCTGCTGCCAGTGTGTGCGGCCATCTGGAGCGCGACGCACGCCGTTTCCACGCGGCGTCAATGAAGCAGAATCCTGAAGACTGACACCCATCACACTGGCCCTTACCGCAAGTTGCTATGACAATAAGGTCTAGTCTAAGTCAGGCACCAAGAATGTCTGTTGTATGCACCCCAACACGGCATGCAAGTCGGCGCTCGATATTGCTCGCAAATGGTAGTCACATGACCTACCTACATTCAAATGACCACGCGAGTAAGTTGCCCAAGGTGTCGAAATGCTTCCGGGTCCATTGTTATTAGGTATTGTTGCCAAAAGCTTCGTATCTTCATGAGAAGCCATCGTACTGCAAATCGATCCGCAGACTTCTGTCGATTTTGATAGAGCCTTGCATTTATTCTGACCACCCCTCTCTTTTCTTGCAACGTATCTGGAAATGCTCGAAGGTTTCTCAGCTGTCAATCTCTCAATCGCTTCTCTCGTCCGAGTTACTGAAGGAACGATCGATCACCGCGTTCACAGAAGGTCGAGCAATGCCAGAGCAGGATCTTTCTCTCGAGGAGTCCACCGCCGCATATACAGTAAGCGGGAGCTCCTGGGCCTCATCAAGGCTATCCTCGTCCCAACAGGATACTCGAGTTTTAACTCCACATCTTATCACAAGACACCGAAGACAGATGACAGAAGATGAGCGCCAGGAATTTGACTTCGAGCCTCCTGCAAATCCTTGCGCTTCAACGCGGGTCGCACATGGGCACGACAAGCACGATTATTCTTCCCAGAGCTCTTGACTGGACCTTGGACGTTTATTAGTCTGTCGGAAAAGAAGAGACGCGCCGAACTCGAGACTACTCTTCAACCATATTCCGGAAAAGGTCGATGGAAGTGCTTGGCCCTGACGGATTCAAACAGCCATCCCTGAAAGGCGATAGAATACATTGAAATGATTCGGACAGGCATTCTCGGAACTTCAACCTTTCAGTCTGGTGACCCAGGCTGAGCAACATTATTCTATTATTGAATGTTCACTTCGCAGTTGCGTGGGAATAAGATGTGGGAGCCTTCACCATCCGGCTGCAGCGATCATGAAGTCGCTATCATGTCAGTTCCGTTGCTTCGGCCATGCAGTTCGGCGAGAACAAACGGTCCAAGTAGATCAACCTAAGAAGTAAATTTCAGGTAGCTCCAGGGCACTTCGAAGGTTCCGTACGACCCTGTAAAGTGCCCTAGAACCACGTAAATTAGTATACAAATTGGGGTACTGCAAACCCCCCCTATACAACCTAATTACCTCGGATTTCTAACGTTCCGAACAGCCGTATTCGCTCGAAAACGACTAAGTCTACGCCTACACTTAGGCACACTACTGCACTCGCTTAGAAGCGATAGTGTCCTCTCAAATACGTCATTTTAGTAGCTATCTTAGTATAAGAGACGGCTTACGAGAGGATTAATCCGTGCTAGGCGGTAAGTAAGGTGCAACTATATATAATCTTCCGTAGGCGCGTTTCGAAGGCGATACTACGTTATTAAGTGAAGGCTTCTAACGACGATAAGGCTTATAAGAGCCACCTAATAGCTATAGTAGATCGAGTAAAGTGTCCTTATTAGTATATAATAGCAATAGCGATAAATATTAAGCTAAATGCCTTAATGCCTCGTCGTTATCGTATTAGATACTTTTGCTAGCGTCGTTTAACGAAGATAGCGGCAATCGACTTAACTTAGTTAGAGCCGGAGTTAAGTAAAGAAGCAGTACTAAGTTAGATAGGCCTTCGAAGAAGTCCTTACTGTTACTCTCGTACGGCGCGTCTTTATTACTATCGATAGTAATAATGCCGTTGCTATTAGGTAGACCGTAGACCGTTAAGGTATAGCCGTCGATAATAATGCGAGGCCTATATAGCAGGGCCCTTAATAGCTCCAAGTTAGTTATAGAGGCAGCTAATAAGGGTAGAGTTAGTAATAGAGCCGTACGGAAGATAGGTTGTTGTAACGGCTTATCGTCGACCTATTGCTACTTAGCTTTACGACGAGGTGTCAATTTAGCCTACTTAGCGCTATTGTTAAGCTACTATTGTATATCGGCCTTTATAGCGGTCTAGTTGCTAGTTATATAGTTAGTAACCTACTATAGAAGGGCCTTATATTACTAAGCGTCGGTAAGGCCGGAATACTACGAGTTATAGAAGCGGAAGAAGGACTATACAACTGCCTCTTATATAGAATAGAAGTAGTCCTTTACCTAGCGCTTCCGAGACACTCCTAGAGCCTTATAAACGTTAACAACCTATGCTAACTAATCATCTTTAATAATGAGCTTAGTATTATGCTATTTAGGGTAGACGAGGTTACTATTTAGTCCTTAGAAGCGACTAATATAGAGCCTATAACGGTATAGAGTAAGGCGACTGTTCCCTTGCTTATAAAAGCGCTAGATATACTTGCAAGGCAGGTAATAGCTATGCTAGAAGTAGCAGAAGCACTTAGTGTATATATCGTCGTATAGAGCCGGTAGAGCTATCTACTAGGCAGGCTTATAGTTGTTAATATCGTTATAGCACTATATAAGCTTATCTGCTATCTTCTTCTATACTAAGAGAGGTAATTGTCGGAAAGCTAGAGTCTATTCTTCTCGCTATATTAGAAGCTACCTATTCTTATTAACTACGCTATTTTAACGGACGCGCTCGCGGATATAGTTATCAAGCTGAACTAGGTATAGCACCGTACCTATAATAGTTAGTTATTGTTGTATAAAGAAGCTATAAAGTCGTAGAAGAGTAAGAAGATTACTAAGCGCAGCCGTAACCGAGAATTTCGGCCGTTCTAAGAACTATAGGGAGAACGGCTTTTATATAAAATTCCGTTAGTACTATAAGAAGGGGACGAATACGTACCTCGCAAGCTCTATTTGCGTATTTAACGCTTGTCTCGGCGCTTTAGGTATACATAATATCCCTCTAGTAGGTTAGTTGTGCGAACCGCTATTAAAAGCGGGTCTCCGAGCCGTGCCTAAGTCGCCTATCGATCGCTCTCGGAAGCCTTCTAGTTAGTCCGCAAATAGGCTAATTTCTCGCTCGAATAGATAGTATTATAGCTCTTTAGGTCGGCCTCTATAATAGCAACAAAGTGCTAGCATTCTTCTTAGTCTCTAGCAATAAATAGTACTTTGTTTATTGCCTTGAAGGTAACTAGAAAGCGCTTAAAGTGCTTCTCGAGGGTCTTAACGAGATGTCGTTAGTAGAGGCGTTAAACGATGCTACAGTTAGATAGGGCTTAAATAACCCCTAGTTACTTACTCGCTAAGTCGTTAGTAATTGACTATAGGGGTATCTATTCCGACTGCTCGGTCTAGTTCAAACAATCTTAATCTTTAGCTTTAGAAGATATACCGTTGTTAAAGTAATAGTGCTTCCTATAACCGTCGTATTCGCTAACTTTGTAATACTAGTCGAATTTAGCTATTTCTCGAAGCCTAGAGATAGCTGTTTCAATTAGGTATACCTGTTCGTAATCTATAAGGAAATAAGCCGCTAGCAACCACTCGAGATAATTATTGCGTACGTAGATTGTCGACAATAGCTATTTGAGCTTGTTTATATAATAGGTTGAGTCTAGTAAGAATAAAGAACTATAGTTGCGAAGGGCTCGGAGTTGCTAGTCCGCTGCCTAAACAAGGCCTCTATATAGCTTTCTATCGCTTCTACGAGACTTAATTATCTCGATATAACCGCTTCCGCTACTGAATTTAGCCTTTAAGTACTCGTACGCCTACTTCAGTTGCTTACTAACTGCTAATCTAGCACCCTCTCTTCGCTTATTACTTAGTCGTTTAAGGGCATCTCGATTCTCGCTACTAATACGGTCTCGAGTAATATTAACGGCTCTAGCATTATACCAAATTTGGCGCTATTTAGGCCTTCTTATTTCATTAACTAACTAAGCGATAGTTGCTAGAAATTGGTTAGTACTACTAAGCGTATAAAGTGCTAAGAACTTACTTACCGGCTCGAGAATCAATTAGATCCTTCTATACGGCCTTTACGCTATTATTGACCTTTAAACTATCGACAAACTCGAGACTATACGAGTAATACTAACTAAGCGGCTTTAGAAGCACGTAAACCGGCCTTACAACCGTTATATTCGTAGGTAGAGCCTTCGGTACGCAATTATCGAGATACTCGCCTAATTCGATATTAGGTCGCTTCTCGTAGACCTTAATAATCGTTAATTTCGCTATATAGTCGTGTTCTAGTAGTGTGTACGCGACACGCTTCCGCCGCGCCTTCCTACGTTGCTTACTAACAACAATACCCTCCGAAATGCGATCTGCGCGGTTATAGTCTATATAGCGCTTATAGATACGATATTCGAGGCCGAGTCGTCGATAATATCGCCCTTCCGAGTTAATAGATAGCTTCTTCGGTCGGTTCTTATAGTACTATATATTCGATACGAAATAGCGATATTCGTCGTATTCGAAGCCTTCTATTCGCATACCCTTACTACCGGTAGGGTAGAAGAATAGGCGCCTTCGATTATATATATTTAGTAGAAACGGGCTCTTAAACTACAATATTTAGCATTATATCGACCTTACGAGCGATATATATATATACCGGCCGCTCTACCTCGAGCTTAGTAAGTAACGCTTCTATATCCTTAGAAGGGAGGTGTTTCTTATATATCGTAAAGAGCGTAGGATTTGGCGACAATAAGGTCGAAACAAGCGTAATACGTAACCGCGAGGAAGAGGTAGAACAGGTCGATAAATAAGAGGTAGAAATGGCCTCTAGATAAGGTCTAGTTTGGCTTTATTCTAACTCCTCATTTATAGGCCTATACTATGCGATTATAAGGCTTCAAATCGGCTCGAGATTGGACCTCTTAGCGGTCCATATATAGCCTGTAAACAACTATAGAAGTAGTTAAGCGGCCTTGCAAACCTAGCCGCTATGGCGGCGCGATCTACACCCTTGTATAGGTTGATATACTTACACCTACCATTCGCACGGGCACGGATACAGTCGCGTGCGATTGCGCTCGAGAGGCTGCCAAGTTTCCGGTTCTCGAGGCTTATTCATTGCTCACCCAGAGCACTGCCACTCGTTCCTCACAAAAGCTTCGGACATGGAGGATTAGCAGTAGAAGAGGAACTCGAGAGTCCACCATCCTGGATTACTCGCCGTGAAAAAGCTTAGCCTCCTGGCAATCGTCGTGTTTCGACACAGAAGACCGGACCATGGCGGCTGTTGCGACGGATCAGAGAAGCGGGCAGTACGATGCAGGCTTTGGGCGGCGCGACAGCAAAGGTCGAGGTCGACCGCGGGTGGCTTCGCTGAGCAACCGGAATGCAGCTGGCGACGTGACACAGCAAGGCGACCGAAATCACGGAGTGCAGCTTCCTCGTGCAGCCTCCTACACGTATTTGCCGGACGCAAAAGAGCAGCACTTTGGAGGCTCGGCGGTGCTTGAGATCAAGGCTGTGGCAGATCGCGGATATGCCACGCACTCGGATGACGAGACTGCTGAGCTCTCGCCGCCAGACACGTCGCCGCCAGACTCTTCTGGGTGGAACACGCCTGACGAGCATGGCCTAGATAACCTACCGCCAGAAGCGCGCGATATCGTAGCTCAGTTGGAAAAGAGCGGACAAATGAGATATCGAGACCAAGACTGCGCAAGGAGTAGCGTGTCTACAGTAGCATGGTCAATTCTTCAATCCAGAGCAAGCCTGGAATCGAATCGAACCGCGTCCACGATCGCGACCACACCTGCGTCGAGCCAGCGACCATCGCTGAACAAGTCCTTCTCGAGGCGCTTCTCCGGGCGATCATGGTACCCTTCGACACCCTCCTCGCCGTCTCGTTCGCCTTCACCTACCAAGAAGCATAGCATCACTCCCCCGATTGCGGAAGCTCCGATTGAAGTAGAGGCGACTCGTCAAAGCTCCGATGGAGGTCGTAGGAAGTCTTTCATCTCGCGCAGAAAGTCTATCAAGTCACAGTCACAAAAAGATACAAAGGCGAATCGGGAGCACGACGCACATCACTCAAGTGATGAAGGTGAGCCGCAGAAGCCTGTTACGGCAATTACACGCAAAGGTACTTTCCTTCGTAGAAAGGCTACGCGTGATGCTGGGCTCTCCAAAGTTGCAACCAACGACGGCAGCAAAGGACATCTTCTTCCTTCGGTGGGGTCGGTGCCTGCTGTACCAGCTTTGCCAAAGTCATTCTCTACCGACCGGTTGCCTATGCTCCGCACGCAGACTGCTTCCACTGATCGATCTGTCCCTGTCCCTAAGGTCACTCACGAAAAGCAGCTCATTAGCCCTCTCTCCGTGTCACAGAAGAAAGATGAGCTATGGAATCAGTTTCGTACACTCGATGCAGACTTTTCCAAGTTCTCTTCAAAGTCAACATCCCTCAAGGCGAACGTCGTGCGCAACGCTTTGATTCCCTGGTTGCGGACTTATGCCAATCATCCATCCAACAAGACGCTACGTCCGGAGGATCTGGATCGAAGGACCAGCATTCTGAACAAGTGGTGGTGTGGCCTTATAGAAATGCTCCATGGCAGGAACAACCAGTCGATATCCGGTACAGATCGACCAGTGATCCTCGACGGCATATCCGCAATCATGGAGCGACCAGAGTGGAGACTTTCGCCCGGACCTTTCTGTCCTCTCATTGAACGCGTCAAGGTCTCGTTGAGTACCGGCAGTCGATCGAACACCTCTCTCGGGTCTAGTTCCTCCGACTTTCTCGCAGACTCTGTTCATCATAATGTGCGCAACATCTTTGTTCAGAACTTGAGCGCGCAAATGGCCTTCGTTGTAGACAAGATGTCTCTACGGAACGCGTCTGCGAGCCTTGTAACTTTCTGCGGCAAAGCGTGTGCCTACGCTTTCATGTTCGTCCCCGGCATGGCAGATGTAATGGTCAGGCTCTGGGACCTGCCGATGGATATCATGCGGCGCGTCTTGCAAGAAAGCGGCATTGGCAAGTTTGACAACATTCCGGACCTCACTTGCACCGAGATTGTTTCCAACTTTCCCCCCGCGCTACATTCCCTAGGCTTTGTATCTTTGATGAAGTACATGCGGAAGATTCGAACGCCTCCGCCACTGCCTTTAGGCACGATGAATATTCAGTGGTGGGGACACTGGGTGGAGCGCTGGAGTGGTCGCGAAAGTGACCTATTTTACGTCTTCGTAAAGCACTTTCACATTCTTGCCACGGACTTTCTACCTCCAACAACCACGAAGCGAGAGAGAATGTGCTCTCCGGGAATGCTGCTTGTACATGCTCAGATTCTTGCCAACTTGGACGCGACTATTCATCGAGATGCCAACCAGGCGCAACCCGATACAGCACATGCTACTCCGTCACCTACTTTCGACGATGTCTTGAGCAATCCGGATGCACATGCGAATGCATTACCCATTCCTCCCACTAATGCGACACGACTCATGGCCGAGAATAGGCTAATAATGTTAATACGAGACTTCCTTTCTGAGCGCACAGCCGACCATCCTATAGCGAGGGAGCTGTTTGCGCAATCCTTCAACGACCTCTTACATGCAGCCACCCGGGGTACTTCGATGTTTGACCACTCGGCTTGCTACACGCTTTTGGACCTTCTGGAAGAAGCCCTGGCAATCATGATCCGTTATGAGAGCCTCAACACGAATACGCCCCTGGTTGACTCGGATTTCTGGCAAACGGTCTGCAGAAAGATGATTGACAGCGAGAACACCATGACTGAGATTCGGCTGTATGCCTTCCTTTTCACAATCTGGAACATGGTCATTGCGGACACTGGTAGAAAGATAGACCTCTGCGTCAATCTCCTGCTGGATCCCGACGTCTTTGAGAGTAGATTCAATCATTGGTGTCCGATGGTCCGGGCCTACTACATGCGTCTACTGTGCTGGAGAGTTGGCAGGTTTGACGGCGAAGAGGGCAATTGTGATCTCACAATTTTGGAGATGATGCAAGATCGACTGCAGAAGGCATGGTCGCATTACCTCTACTTGTCAGATCAGGCAAGTCGCATGAATCATATGCAACCTGATACAGGTCCATGTCACCCAGCGCCGGGCCGAAGACTTCTCATCGTGCGGACGGACAACATCGTAAGCCCGGGAGGCTCCTTCCTGACCTTCGATGGCCTCTTGAGAGACTCTCCCATGCACATGGCCAAGCATTCATCCCCTCATTCTAAACTGGCAGATTCGATTGACGCCAGGCCCGAATCGTCGGGTTCTAATATGGATTCCGATACTGACTCAAGCGGCAAGGGCATTGGTGGCTTCCTTCGCAAAATGATCGGTGGTGGTGGCAACTCAAAGACTCGATCGAAACCACACGGACCTGTGCCAAAGCGAACCGACGCTCCAGCACCGGGTGCTGCGAACCCTCTTGGCCTCAACCGATTCGCGACTGACTTCGCCTCTCCTCCGACGGGAGAATGTAGCATAGCTGCACAGCCGACACATCGTAGTCTGTCCTTCAAGTTCTCCCTCGAGTTCCATCCGAGTTGCAAGCAGCATCCGCAGATGAGGCTGTTCCCACCGCGCCTTCCTGGCCCAGCTCAGCGTCTGCTTGAAAGCCACAACAAGTCCAGGCCAGCTGCTGCGATGGGCAAACCACTTCAACCTCGCGGCGAGAGCGTAGCGAGAGCTAAGTATTCTGGCAGAGCGCTTGCCGAATGGACGATGGTGGTCGGCGAATGCCAAAGTTTCTTCGACAGACGAATGAAAGAAGGCGTCACGAATCGAAAATGGGTTGAAACTCCGACTCTTGGTGTTGAGGTCTTTAAACGACCTTCTTAAAAGCGTATCGCATCCTGTCTTTACTGCTGTGTTGCGTTGTAGCGATTTCTGTGACGGCATTTGTATTTCGGCCTCATTTGATGGCGGTTTCCTTGACTCCCATGGAGGGAGGGTGTATGATAAAATTTTCTCTCATACAGTTAGTTGATGGCATGGTTGGAATGGAATGGACATAAGATAGAAGCATGGCGGTATTGGGTATGGGCATGGGTATGGATATAGGTATTGGCGCCGAGATTTCCCCTTCCCTTCTTGGGGTGCAAGTTGGGGAGGCGGGTTGTATGTATTTGTATAGAGGGAAGCAAAGGGCGGCACAGGTCAAGATACTGTGAGACTTGTACTCATATCATGATCCTTCCAGGATGACAACAAATAGCACCTCGCCTTATCCTGAATCTGTAGGGGTATCTGCTCTCCAGACATGTCATTATGCGTGAGCGTGGGCCTCATTGGTGGATGTATAGAAGCGTCATATTGCAGCGTCACTATCATCCTCCTTGCCACGTCGACATCTTGTGGGAGGAGAGTGTGCCGTCAATGGATTTGCAGTTTGGACGTCAGGTCGTTGGAGGCAGTCGATATCTCAGATGATCTTGATGGCCAGCCGGTACGCGGCACGACCAGGGTTCACGGGGTGTATGGACCCATCCTAGACGGAAGCGGTTACGATATTCTAGTGCTAGTCGCGACTGTTCGCTCCACGTCCGGAACACGTCTCATGCCACGTCCGTCGTTTGGAAATGGCCTGTTTCGTGGCGTGTTGGGCTCGAGGAGAGGTGCTCGCTTTGAGCGACCAATGGCGTGGGTTGGTGATGCTGACTGCGCAGTGCTGATTGACGCGATATCGATATGCGTAGAATTGGTGTAGGAGTAGGAGTAGGACTAGGAAGTAGAGTTTGCCAATCGTATTCTAGTCGCTTGTCTGTTCCACTCCGCCGACCCTTCACCACGCTGCCGCCGCCGCACTGCCTACTCGCGTACACGACGCTTCTGTTCAGAGCTCCAGGCTGCGGGCGCTGCATCCCGGCGCTGCATGCGACACAAATATCACATCGCGAGATCCATTGACGCCCGCCGTGGTCCGCTGTGCCTCTGCCGCCCAAGTCCTGGACTGGACTGGAGAAGCGGGACCGAGCTTTACGCGCTCACCTCGTCATCGCGGAGTCGAGCGTTGGGCCTCCACCACCACCGCGACCGCGACCGCAAGCGCTGTCGAGTCCCCACGCGGTTCCCGAGAGCGCGCTGTGCTGTGCTGTGTTGTGCTGAGCGCCGCAGCACCGCAGCACCGCCGAAACCACATCGAGTGTTGGAGCGCGCTAGAATAAGCAGTGTCGTAGGCCTCCCTCGCTCCGCCTCCGCCGCGCTGGGTCAACCTGAGAGCCTCAGAGCCTCAGACCTGACCTGAGAGTTGTTGTTCGCCTCGCCGCCCGCATCTTCAATGGAAACTGCTCCTGCTCCCGCTCCTGCTCCTGCTCCTGTCCCGACTGCTCCTGCTCCTGCTCCTGCTCCCGCGCCTGCACCTGTATCTGCACCTTCTGACTCGTCGCTTGCGGATCGATATGACAGCAACGTAGCAGGAGCAGCGCCCACGCCGTCTCACGGGCACATCCACACCCACGGCCAGAAGCAGACCCAGACGCAGCTGTCCACGCCGTTGCAGACCCTCTCGTTGCAGTCGCCCTCGACCACCTCCGCCCCACCCCCAGCAAGCACTGCTCTGCCCGACCGCACGCGCAACGCAAACATGGAGTACAATGGCAGCGAAATGGACATTGACACCGACGCCGATCCCTTCAACCAGCAAAAGTACTCGCGCCCGCCCAACACCACCAGGCTGTCCGCGCAATATCTGCCTGCCCACCCGCAGCACGACGACGCCTCTCAGCGATTGCGATATTCGCCCATGAACACCTCGCCCAATACGTTTGCGAGCCCGCCTCAGCACCACCACATCCCCTCCAACCACTATACCTCATACACCCCGCAGCAATCCGCGCGCCAATCTCCCAGCAGGCAGACTCAGTATGCTTCGCCCACGCAACAAGGCAGATACTACGCTTCCCCCGCCTCTTCGTCGCGAGCACAGAATTCGCAGCTGCCGCCTCTGCAATCTGCAATGTCGCCTGCCTCATACTACCCACAATCTGCGACACAGCAGCTGAATGCCGTTTTTGGAAATGAGCCAGAGCCTGAGAAGAAGCCTACTTCGGCGCCAGGGAATGCGGATATTGTGCCGCAGTTTCAGAGGGTATACGACACGGCGGATTTGGACGCGAGAGTGAACTCCCAACCGCCCTTCCGAAGAGCGAATCCTGAGGGAGGCTTCATCAGTCCTCTTCAAGCACTTACATCGCATTTGCCAGCGACCTACCGAATATGTAACCCATCGTTCCAGTACGAGAGCTCGCGAAATCCGCGCCGAGTGCTCACCAAGCCGAGCAAAGGAGTCAAGAATGACGGATACGACAACGAGGATAGCGATTACATTCTCTACGTGAACGATATTCTCGGCTCGGAGGAGACAAACCACAAGAACAGATACCTGATCCTGGATGTGCTAGGCCAAGGCACGTTCGGGCAGGTGGTGAAGTGCCAAAACTTGAAGACTCAGGAAGTTGTGGCAGTGAAGGTGGTGAAGAACAAAACAGCATACTTCAATCAGAGCATGATGGAGGTGTCGGTGTTGGATCTGTTGAACGGGAGAATGGATAAGAATGACGACCACCACATTTTGAGGCTGAAAGATACATTCATCCACAGACAGCATTTGTGTCTGGTGTTTGAGCTCTTATCAGTCAATCTTTACGAGTTGATCAAGCAGAATCAGTTCAGAGGCTTGAGCACGACACTTGTGCGCGTGTTTGCCCAGCAGCTACTGAATGGCTTGTGTCTACTCAGCAAGGCCAAGCTGATACATTGCGATTTGAAGCCCGAAAACATTTTGCTCAAAAAGTGAGTTCTTGAAGTTTGTCGACGAGCTGAACTAACATCACGCAGCCTCGAGAGTCCAATCATCAAAATTATCGATTTTGGTTCTGCTTGTGACGAACGGCAGACCGTGTATACCTACATCCAGTCGCGCTTTTACCGATCGCCGGAGGTGCTGCTGGGTCTTCCCTATTCGGCTGCGATAGACATGTGGTCACTTGGCTGCATCGTGGTGGAGTTGTTCCTCGGTCTACCACTATTTCCTGGTTCTTCCGAATACAACCAAGTCTCGCGGATAACAGAAATGCTAGGCCTTCCGCCAAACTGGATGTTGGAGGTCGGCAAGCAATCTGGCGAATTCTTCGAAAAGGTGCACGATGAGTTTGGACGTAGAACTTATAGGCTGAAATCGATGGAGCAGTATTCTAGGGAACATGGCACCAAAGAACAGCCGAGCAAAAAGTACTTCCAGCAAACTCGACTCCCGGACATCATTCGGGCTTATCCCATGCCAAGGAAAGGCATGAAGCAGAATGAGATGGAAAGAGGTGAGCTGAATGCGAATCCACACATCTCCAACATCACTGACACGCCATAGAAATGGCGAATCGTGAAGCATTCATCGATTTCGTTCATGGTCTCCTGAACCTAAACCCGCTCGAGCGATGGACACCGCAACAAGCACGAACACATCCTTTCATCACACAGCAGAAGTTCACCGGACCGTTTCAGCCGCAAGCACAAATGAGTCTTAAGAATAGCTCAAGATCACCGGCACCTGGTGTGCAGCAACAGCAGCAAGCGGAAGCATTATCGCGACAACGAGCACAGCAGGCACAGGCCGCGCAAATGCAGCAATCCGCTAATGCAGCATACGCTAATGCCATGCACGGCATGAGTCCAGGTTATCCGACGACACCGCAGGTTGCGCAGCAGCAACAGCAGCAGCAGCAGCAAGCTGCGATGTACTCGAACATGTACAGTCCGAGCCATCAAGGCGCACCACCGCCATACCCCTCAAACCCACCCTCGGCATCAGCGTACGGACAGCAAGTGCCCATGATTCAACAGCCACCTCCAGCGGCCGGCATGCATCCTTACGCACAGCCACAACAGCCTAACCTATACGCGCAAGCGACCACGCGTGCCGCAGTCGGTCGACAAAGAGCCAGCACAATGGACGGCAATGGCATTCCGCCTGCATTACAACGGGTTGTTTCGCATCTCGATCCGTCCCAACCGATTAGATTACAACCGTCCCCGGCATATTACCCTCCTCCAGCAGAAGGACAAAGCGCGTCGGACGTAGCATCTATCGGCCGAAGGAGAACGAGTCGTGCCGGAGGCGGCAGCAGACACGGCGCACAAGGACAGGACCGTAATTTCGTCCGAATGCTGGAAGATCGGTCTTTGGAAGAAGGTTGGAATGGTCAGGGCGCTCAGGGCGGTGGTTGGAATGGTAGTGGAGTGTGAAAGCGGCAGGTGCACGAAACGAAAATTTTGTCCCATGTGACCTAACCTACCCGACCTGATAAAAAGTGATGTGTGTTATTATGCAGACAGGAGCAGGATATTCCTAGTGCTTGCTACGATGACAAGGAGCGCCGCCACCGGAGTGGCTGGACTGGACTGGACTGGACTGGACGCGCCGTGTGCGCTACGCCGGCTGGAGTGGATGGAAATTCACCGAGGGGAGGAAAAGAATCTACCTCGCTAGGTATGCCGCAAGCCGGCTAGGTACTCCACGCAAAGGCGACGACAAACTGGAAATGGGACGGGATGAGACGAGACAGATGATTGCAATGGTCCACGGCGGCGAGGCGAAGAGAGATGCTCGCTAAGTGTAACATATGTGATGTTCTTGTTGTTGTTGTTGTGACTTACTTCTTGGTGGAAAATCAGGAGCATAGCGGTTTGGGTCGGAGTGGGATACCCTGTTCAGCAAGTCTACGTCTTTGCGAAAAGAGAAAAAAAAACTTCTCATCATTTGGAGCAAGCTATCATTCCTGTTATATGCTCGGTGCTCTCTATATCTACCTGTTCTTTCTGGGGCTGCTTTTCTCAATGCTGGTGGAAAGCTCTACTCGCAATGCCCTCCCTCCTCGTGGCTCGTCTGGAGGGCCTACTTCGCATAAAGCTGTAGCACACGGCTGTGTCCAGTATATGCTGATATACTCGTGTCTGTCTCCCGACGATACGAGGTGTCGATGACCGATAGACATGTCGAGTTCCTTCTCCCACCTTCCTGTCGCGCACATCACTGCCCACCACGCCATTTCTGATCATATGCCTCCCTATTCGGAAGCCTCACCACGGGTCGTAGCGTATCAGTGCCCCAAGACTACTAGGCACTGGGTTTGCTGGACCCTGGAGTCTGTTCAATACTCGGCGTGGCAAGCGGCGTAGTAGCAACAGGCGCAGTCTTATGAGTCGCATTCTGAGCACCTAGCACAGGAGTTGGGATCGGTATGAGTTGCGGCGGTGGTGCCGAAGCAGCGCTTTTCGCTGCAGCCGTTGCCCGAGCTGCTGCTGCAGCATTGGTAGGTGCTCCAGTCGTAGGTGTCACGGTGACCGGTAAGATTTCCGTCTTGAGTTCTCTGTTCTTCTTTGGCTTGGGGTCAGGCGCTGTCGACAGAATAGCATTAGTGAGTCATCTCTCTCATCTAACTCGATTGCATGCCTGGCGACACACGTACCTTTCTCATTCTCCTGGACATAGAAGCGCCTGAGCAGCATGATCGCCTCCTCTCTGAACAGTCCACCATAGCAAGGAAAAGTACTATCAATTCCCGGATCCGAATGGATGTTCATTACGCCTCCACAGCCCCCAAATCTATCATTCAAGCAGCCGAAATACACGGCTCGGATCCCGTATTGTCGCAGTGCGGAGGCGCACATGATGCAGGGCTCCACGGTCACGTATAAGTCGGTCTCGTGCAAAATCGATTGTGGATGATGAGCCATGATCTCAGCGAGAGCGACAAATTCCGCGTGGCGGGTACCCTTGGAAGGAATTTCTGGATTAGTTTTGGATCTGGATTGGAAGAGACTTTTTGAAGAAGGAACTCACATTCAGACTGGCGTTTGTGCCATTGATACCACGTCCGATGACTTCTCCGTTATGCACGAAAACGCATCCGACCGGTGTCTCGTCGCTGGCGAGGGCGAATTGTGCCATTTCGATGGCTTTCCTCATGAAACCTTCATGGTACTCGCGGTTTGGGATGGGACCGAAGACCATTTTGAGTCGTATGCGCAGACGAAAATGGCTTGTCGGTCTCGAGGTTTTGCTTCGTTGCTCGCGTTATGGAATATGGCTGGCAGGGTCGAGGCGTTGGTGAAGGCAAGAAGTCATGTTCAAGTTGAAGTCCAGGTCAGAAAGCGCTGGTTGGTTGGATGGTCAAAGCAAGTGCGATTCACTCTGCATCGCAGCCGACCTATTCACTTAAGCTTTTGAGGTGGAAGGCGTGAAGAAGAAGTGGCAGGGATTGTGGAAGTTTAAAAGTCAAATTTCTCATTTAAGAAGGTGCGGTTGGCGTCACATGTCAGCCTTTCACAATATCACTGATCACACCACAGTACGTGCTATAGTCTTCGGCATGGCAAAAGCCGCGCAAGAAATGGCCAGGCCTTTCCTTTCCTTTCCTCTCCTCGAAAGACCCGAACACATCCTCACTGTACGACACACCACTGGAAAATGACACGCCCAGTAAACCTCACAAGGTATAGCATAATTGTATGCTCATCAAAGCTCTTTCTCGGAACTCGCTACATGCGCGCCAAGATATGCCAGTCCACGTCCAGAGTATACGGTACGTGTGGTCTCACTCACGAGTCACTCACTATCAAACACACGCAACAAAAACTCCGCTTTTCGTCAGCAGTCGAGTTCCAGAACAAAACAACAAAAAGAACACCAGCTCCATCGCTCATTCCCATGTCGCACTCTGCGTTTGTCCATGCCAATATGTCCTAGTCTGACTCCCAACTCCTGTATTCGGTCTTGCAAGAAACCAACAAGAAAAAGTGAAAAAGCTCCGGCCAGTGCTGTGCGATCGTGTCAAGATCTGAATAAAGAGAATAAAATTGCAAACGCCGGCATGTAAGTCGTTATGGGGAAGGTGAGTTCGAGTGTCATCGCCTTCGCTTGGTTGGGTCGTCCTCGTCTACGCCGCTCATCCATTGGCAGTGGCAGCTCCCGGCGATACCTCTCTTAGAGTTCGTCGAGGCAATGCCAGCGCTCTCGTAAGCGGAGAAGTTCGGATCGTCCTCTTCTAGGTCGATGATGATCGGTTCTCCATTGTCATCGCCGACCCAGTTCGCATGTCCATTGTCCAGTATTTGGTATTGCTGACAGTATGGAGTGATTGGGTTATTAGGTAACCTCCTTTCTTCAAGCTTGAAGAGATATGGGAACACATCCAATTGACTCCAAAGATCATGTGGAGCAATGTCTGATGCGCGTTTTCGATGGTCACCCCCACCCGCAAACTCTTTCTGCTTCTGTGCTTCAGCGCTGAACCTGCTTCTGTAGCCGTCAAGCTGGGATGCTGGCGCAGTGACGGTGGCAGTAGTCCATGGGAAGGACATGGTTTTTGTGACCAAGTCCGTGGGCTGCGTGGGTGAGACTGTTGGCGTTGGTGTAGGCGCGCCAGATACTGGTGTGGTATTGGCAGATGTCGGCGGTGGACCTGACGATCCTGGCGGTGGTGCCGTGGATGAAGAGTTGATTGCCGTGGTCGTCGACGCTGGCGGCGTATATGTTTGTGTCACATAGATGAAGCCTTCCAGGAATGTGCCATTCCAAACGCAGAACCAAGGTTTCTCACCAGGACTGGCAAGTTGCTTCCTAGCACGAAATTCCTTCGGCACCGCCCAATTGGGTGGAGGCACAAACCAGCCTCGTTTCGATTTCTTGTCATTGTCTAGCGCGATAAGATTCTCTGGAACGACGACGACCTTGTTGTAGAATTGCTGGAAGTAGAATGCAGGGCCGTTCGCGGGTGCATCATTGTCCTGAACTGTCAAAAATTTGGAGAAGCTTGTGTTCATGCTGGAAAGCTGTGCGCCATATGCAATCGTCTTATCATATGAGGCATCAAATACCTGAGCACCCAGATCTGGTCCATCCTGAGGCAGGCCGATGACGATACCTAAAGCTGAGTTAGGTGACAGGTCGCAGCTCCATGCGGGTTGCTGATTGTGGTGAGGCAGGCAGTCATGTTGAGTCTCCTGAGGCGCGCCCAGAGTCAGTCCAAACGTGCCAGTCGGTGGAGCGCCGGACGTCGGTGAGGCGATTAGGCTAGCATCGTACAACGACGTTACGACCGTGATGGTGGGGTTTCTGATATATCCATGTTAGTGTATGCTCGTGGCAGCACGACGGGAGAGCAACTCACTTATCACGGGCATGTTTCCCACCAGCAACGAATCCGCCAATTACACCTCCAAGGACAGCACTGATGAATACTATCACAGAGATGCCGAGCAGTATCACCCAGAATGGTATACCGCAGAAGGGCGTTTTTCTCTTCTCCTTCCATGTCTTCTCCTTCCACGACTTTTTCGTCATGCTCGTGCTATCTGACGAGCCTGAGTTGATAAGGGCTTGTCCCGATATGCGTGACATGCGTGTGTGTTGTCTTTCTAATGCAGACTCATCTGTCATCGACTGTGGCTGCGGTGTGGGTGACGGCTCTAGCGTGGTGTGCATTAATGGCATTCCAGGATCAGTGCCGGCCACAGGCGCTCTGCTATGCAACGCCATAGGCAGCAGAGGCATCTTCTCGGGACCATCCTCAGGATATCGACTGTATGGCGGTAGTTGTTCTGTATGTCCATCTTCACCTATTAAGTCTTGATCCTCACCATCTGGTCCTATCCGCCGCGTGTAATTCTGGCCAAGACCAGGGAACCCAACAGGCACGACAGGATTCTGGTTGTGTAGGGCAATATCGTCATCTTCGTCGTCCATGTCATCGTCTACGCCTTGCGGGTACATGGCATACGGGTGGGCAGGACGATTCTGCGAGTATGACTGTCGCGCATTGGGCCGTATCGTAGACTGTGTCGCCAGGCTTGGTGTGCGCGCCGCTGTGCCCTGCGGATAAATGCCATACGGATGACTCGGTCCCGCGCCAAATCGTGGTGTATTCGTGGGCGCAAACTGTGAAGATGATGCCGATGAGACGGATCGCCGCACGGCGCCATCTGGTTCGAACTCGAGACTATGATGCCGTCCACCAGGTGACGCAGGCTCATCGTCGTCCGGACTTGCAAAGGGATTTGCTTGCGACCGCGATTTCCGTATCGAACTCCTCGAAGGCCCACTCGCCATCGCTGGCGGTATGGGCGATACCGGGTTTGTTGCGAAATGTGCGGATACACTTCGAATGGGCTCATCTACAGAGCCTTGGCGGTTGTGGGAGACCCCCTCTGCGGCGGCATTGAAGCCGTCGGCAACGAAGTAGTCAACCTCGTCGTCGATCTCGAACTCGTCGCTAAATACGTTTGCGCGCTCCTGTGTCGGTGTCGCATCGTCGTCCAGCAGTGATCTCCGATTATCCATCATGTCGTCGTGCTGTTGCTGCCGGCCAGTTTGGCCTGCACAGCCTCCTTCAAGGCCCTCTCCCAAATCTGCCCAAAATGCTCCGACCAACCACCTTTTGCGCGTCGTATGGAATTCCGCACCACCAAATAGGAAAAATAGCGAGTGTAACGGGCGTCGGTTGTTGTGATGCGTGGTATTGGGGTGTGAAGATGGAATCAGCGCTGACCGTCCCCTTCCAGATGGCAAGTGCGGGCTGGGTAGCGCTCTCCCCCATGCGTAAATCTCAGAATGTCTCCTCTTGCCCAAAGAGCGCCACTGGAGCCTTTTCCCTGCTTTCACTCGAAAGCCTCGAACTCTACAATAACGTTAATGCGACCATACCGCTTCCTCACCTGACTTCTCAGTGATGAAGACAAGGCGAGAGAACATTCGAATCGCCTTCGCCTGCATGCAAACCAGTCCTCCATCCGCGGAGCCGGCGCGGCGATTTCAGAGACAGTCAACATGCCTCCTCCTTGGCGCGGCATCTCTGACCACTCGTCGTTCGCAAAGCCTGTGCCAAATGGGTGCGCCAAGTCCTTGTCCTGCAGACGAACAGTCACGAACTAGACAAGGACTTGTTGTACGATTGGAACACTGTACGATTTGACACGAGATAAGACTACACAATTGGGGTCTCGTCTCTCGAAAAGTTCTTCCGAAGTTTCTGACGATACCTCCTAAACGAACAAATGTCTCAGAAAAACAGGCACTTCAATTGTGCCATCCTGCTGCGAAGCATGCAGCTCGAGGCCGATAGCAGCTGTTGAGCATGTCCTCATTAATAAGCCCAGTGACATCTTTCTGCATATCCTGAGTCCTTCGATGTGTACATGTGTGCATGTATCTCAACGCTTCAAGCTTCACCAGCTTCAAGGTTGTGAAGCATAACATGAGAGTCTCCGTCCTGATCGATGACAAATTCTTGACTTCCCGACATAAAAGCTCCTATGCCGTGGCATACGGCGCCTCCAACCCTCACTGCAGCGACTCGTAACGCGATCGTACGTCCTGAATTGTTCGTAATTCTTAGGCGCGTGTTATACAAGGCTGCAGCCATTCCTGGAGCGATATAGTCGAAACTGGGTTGGCGAAATAGTCGAACCTGGACGTCAGCGTTCCCAAAGAATGCGATCGGGGGAATTACCCTCATTGGATCTTGGCCTCGTCGGATTTCTTGAGCTGGAAATCGTAGCCATTGGCGTCTAGGATAGTTAAGAAGTGCTTGCTAATGCCTACTATTATAGATACCTAGAAGGGTCGAGGTAGGTAAGATTAAGTATAGAGCGCTTAGTAGGTAGGAGGAAAGAAGCATTATAGCTGTCGATATACTAATCGTTTATTAAAATAGGAAGACCTTCTCTTAATAGATATACTGAATATCTATACGCGGTTTAGCACCCTCGATACCACTATTCTTAGGATGTAGAGCTCTTTCGTATATCAGATAAACATACCATTTCTAACCGGCTTCTCCGTCTTATTCTTATCAAGTGTTCTTGCTGCACGGCAAATACTACGGCTAGAGCAGCCGTACGAGCCTATAAGCACTTCGAAACACGGCACGGCTGGAGTTGCGGCATAGCGTAGAAATTCTCTTCTTGATCGATCCATCCTGCAGTCTCGTACCTCCGACAGTCGGATGGAAGGCCTCGGACCTGGTGTCATTGGTGTGGATACGGGAAGGATCTTGTACGAATACATGGGAACATGCAAATCTGATTGAGACTTGTTGCAGTTCAAAAGGTATCATTTCAGTATAGACAAAAATACTTCAGCGGGAGATCAGCGGCAAAACTGTCACCTAGCAGAAAACAACTGCTATCAGAAGTTTAATATTCTGCTAAAACGCCCAATCCATGCTCGTCTCGCACAAGCAACAGATGCTGCTCGTGTCTCCGGCTCGCTTTCGATCTCATCTCAAAACGCTTCAAAATGCGAGCACAACTCTATTGAGCAATCGCGTATTTTCTTCGGAACATGTCGTCCACCTCAGTGAGGTAGTATGTGTTTGGAACAAGGGTCTCGACGTTGCCTTGTGGCTTGTAGTCCTTCTTCAGGTGGGCCTTCTCTCGCAGATTGCACATCTCGTCATAGACCTCTGGTGCTACAACACGGCGTCCCTCGAGTCTCTTGTGGAGGTCGATCTTCTCGGCGATCTCCTTGGTGCTGCCCTTGACCTTGAGCGAGAACATGGACGAGGCCAGACCAGATCCATACGAGAAAATGGTGACACGCTTGCCTTGGAGTTCGTCTGAATCAACGTTGCTGAGAAGAGACACCAGCGATGCGTAGACGGAAGCACAGTACATGTTTCCGCACATGGTTGGCACTTCGATCGATGGCTGCACACGCTGGGCAAATCGCTTCTTAGCGAGACCCATGAATGTCTTCTCCACAGTCTTGTCTGTGATAGATGCTTCGTACGAGAGATCCTTGATCTCGGCTGGAACCTCCTTGAAGATTGGGTTCTCTGGGTCCTGAAGGTAGTCGTTGTAGAGCAGTCTTGCGTAGCTCTTGGACACCAATTTGCAGGTTGGCGCGTGGAAGCACATGTAGTCAAATCGGTCGAGAGGAGTCTCTGGCTCAGCATGTGTGCCATTCGCGTGTCCATTAAGCTTGCTCTTGATCGCCTTTTCCCTCTCATTGTAAGCCTTGTAGCAAGCATCGACTGCCTCAGTGTAGCACTTGATGGAGTACTGGCCGTCAACGAGTGGATATTCGCTGGCGAGATCGGCCTTGTAGAAGTCGTATGCGTGCTTGATAAAGCTGCCGCGCTGGCCAGGCTCAAAAGCCAGTGGGGCGTCTGGGCCCACAAGCATAGCAACAACACCAGCACCACCGGTTGGTCTGGCAGCACCCTTCTTGTAAAGCGCAATGTCTCCAGCAACAACGATAGCGTTGCGGCCATCCCATGCCGAGGATTCCAGCCAGTTGATTGTGTTGAAGAGAGCATTGGTACCTCCGTAGCAGGCATTGACAGTGTCCACACCCTCAATGTTGGTGTTGCCCGACTCCTCGAAAAGTTGCATCAACACGGTCTTGACTGATTTTGACTTGTCGAGAAGAGTCTCAGTGCCAACTTCGAGTCTGCCGATCGATTTCGGGTCGATGTTGTATTTGCGGAAAAGGGAGGAGACGGCTGTGAGAGCGAGCGAGTAGATGTCTGGGGGTGAATGTTAGCAGAAGTCACCAGGTTGACTGCTTGGTGCTACATACCTTCTCTGTCGTCGCAGAAGCTCATCTTCGTCTGGCCGAGACCAATGGTGTATTTGCCCTGGCTAACGCCATCGAACTTCTCGAGCTCTGCCTGGTCCACACACTGCATGCACAAGTCAGTCCTGAGTTCCCAGTTGGGAAAGCCAGCAGCTAGGCACAAGCACAGGTCTCTGGTACTTCCACATCATGTGCATTCGTTATCGATTTGCAAGCGACCGGTTGCATAGCGTCGCAACCCGAAGCGCGAGCGAGGAATCGTTCCCCCAAAGGGCTTTTGCTCGTGTTCTCAAAACTTGCTGGTAGTGCCATTGCGACGTACCTGGCTTGGAAAGTAAAGCTCAATGGCCTTGATTCCAACATTCTGAGGTCGCTCCATCTTGTTCTGCGTCTGCTGTGTGCGTAGGACGAAGCGGTCGCGTGTCGTGGCAGTGGCAGCGAGTCGGGGTGCGGTGAGTGGAACAATTAGTTGTGCAGCGTTTCGCGGGAACTTCTCAAAGAAAGGTCGTTGCGATTGTTCTCACTTGCGGCTGTCTGAGGCGAGGTAAAAGGGGGAGGAATATAGAACAGTGAGGAGAGGGTGGCAGAAATTTGCTGAGTGAGGCAAGGAGAATTTATTACACCTGCCTCATGAACCGTCGAGCGCATCTGCCCACAAATTATTAGAGGACCCTGTTCGTGCCTGCTCGCATATCTTCGACCTTGCACGCATTGGGTCAGGGATCGACGAAAAATGGGACGAGTGTGGCTGGTGCTTTAACAACGCAGTTGATCGTACGATGACCTCTCGATCAATGCCATCAATTGGTCTTGGTTTCCTGTGAAGAGATCGAGGATTGCTTTGCGAAGACCTCTACGTAAGCTAACGAGAACCTGTCTCTCAGACGCTCCTAGACTCGACTCTAAACCGAGCCCCAGCTAGCCGACCGAGCCCTAGCATAACCCGAACTTTTGATTTAGGATTTCAGCATATACTAACAGCTTCACTCTGTACAACGCCTCGAATAGTGCTCCTCTCTGTCTATAGAAGCAAGGAGCGACGTGCCGGCGTAGGAGGCTTGCCCTCCGAAGCGTCGCCGGCACTCGAGCGGGCCGTAGGGCTGACGTTGCTGTCCTCCGAGGTTTTCGAGGTCTTTACCGTATATTGATGAGACATTGATTGGTCGCTAGGGCGCGGTCGGCTAGCTAGGGCTCGGTTTAGTATCGAGGTCAGACGCTCACCTGATGGAGCGGAGCCTCATCGGAGTTTCTTGGCTTGCCAAGGGCTCCGCCGCGAGGCGCAGCTTGCTGCCTTGATGCCTTACCGTGCGAAAGAGGCTAGAGGTAAACGAACGGAGAGCACAGACCAACTAGACTAGCGCCGACCTTGTTGCTTCTTCGCCAAGAGAAACAACATCATCACGCTAAACGTCGATTGGTCATTTCCATCACCATCTGCCATGGCAGAGTCTTTGAATGCGGCCTTTGATCGGCTCTCACTATCCTCGGACCAGCTGGACAAGGACATCGACGATATCTTGGACCAAGGAAAACCACGCAAACGAATACGGAAGTCGCCAGACGAGGTCAAGGCTGATCTTGAGAAACGATTTCTAACACCTTCAACATCATTCAGTCCAGAATGGCTTGACAAACTGCAGCAGCGATGGGATGCTCCCACAAACTACAACGAGCTCTTCGCCCTAGGACCAACGCAGACCAGGACCATTATCCGTTTCACGAGAGAAGGTCTCGAAGGCCGCGTAACAGGATACAAGGAAGTGACCGTACCTGCAAACAGTGCCACCGCAAAGAACTCGACTTCACTGCTACGTAAACCGGCAAACCGAGCAGAGTTCGTGAGAGGCGCTTCTGGATTTTATCCTTTTGCGCCTGGTGGTCTGGATGCTGTCGAAGCCACTGCAGCTTACGAGGATGAATTACTACAGAAGCAGCAGCCAGACGGCAGCTCTAGATTCAACAAGCTTGATAAGGTCATCAACTTCGCTGCCGAGGGAGGACTTCTCGAAGTACCACCAGGCTTCACCCGTGGTCTTCGTGTGAGCGAAAAGCCAAAGCAAGATGATCAGAATGCCAAGGAGATTGAAGACGTCCTTGGCGAGGAATCAGACGTCCCCGAAGCCATGCAAAATGGAGTGCCTCTGCCGAAGGAAGATGATGATACCAAGGATGAAGAGGAAGCTGAAGGCGAAGAAGAGCTCGATGCCCTCCTTCCTGTCGAGTTCCCTGCTTTAGCCGCTCATGGCCCACTTGCTCTTGCTAGGAACAAGCAAGGCGGTCGTGAGTGGGCCCACATGGTCGATGTCAATAGAGATATCACAAACTTTCGCGAGCTGGTGCCAGATATGGCTCGAGAATGGCCATTTGAGCTCGACACGTTTCAAAAGGAAGCTGTATACCATCTCGAGAACGGCGACTCTGTATTTGTCGCCGCCCACACCTCCGCAGGTAAAACTGTTGTTGCCGAGTATGCCATTGCGCTGGCTGCCAAGCATATGACCAAGGCAATTTACACATCGCCAATCAAGGCTTTGAGCAACCAAAAATTTCGAGACTTTAGGTCAGAATTTGACGACGTTGGTATCTTGACTGGTGACGTGCAGATCAGACCCGAAGCAAGTTGCTTGATCATGACGACGGAGATTCTGCGGAGCATGCTCTACCGTGGCGCAGATTTGATCAGAGATGTCGAGTTCGTCATCTTCGACGAAGTTCACTACGTGAACGATCTAGAGCGTGGCGTCGTGTGGGAGGAAGTGATTATCATGCTTCCAGAGCACGTAACATTAATCTGCCTATCAGCAACGGTGCCGAACACATACGAGTTCGCTTCCTGGGTCGGCAGAACCAAGAAGAAAGATATTTATGTCATTTCTACACCGAAGCGTCCAGTCCCTCTGGAACACTACTTGTGGGCCGACAACAGTGACAAGAAGATGTTTAAGATCGTTGATGCGAACAAAAGCTTCATCGAGAAGGGCTGGAAGGATGCAAATGATGCTCTTACCGGACGCGACAAGATCATCGCAGCCGAGCAGAAAGCGAAGGAGAAGGAAGAAGCCGCAGTCGCTGCAGGTCGTGGCGGCAGAGGAGGCCGCGGTGGTCCTGCTGGACGAGGCGGTCAACGTGGTGGTGGCAATCAGCGTGGTGGACCGCAGCAAAGAGGTAGAGGACAGCCTGCAACACGCGGTCAAGGCAACATTGCGCGCACGGGTCGCGGAGGTGGAAGAACAACAGCAGCACAAGACCGCAACACTTGGGTGCATCTGGTACAGCACTTGAAGAAAGAAGAGCTGCTGCCTTGCTGCATCTTTATCTTCTCTAAGAAGCGCTGTGAGGAGAGTGCCGACGCTCTGTCAAATCTTGACTATTGTACAGCAGCCGAGAAGAGTGCCATCCATATGATTCTCGAGAAGTCGCTTGCCCGACTGAAGTCAGACGACCGGCAGCTGCCACAAATCCGCCGTATTCGAGATCTGCTGAGCAGAGGAATTGCTGTGCACCACGGCGGTCTACTGCCAATCGTCAAGGAGTGTGTCGAGATTCTCTTTGCCAGGACCTTAGTAAAAGTTCTCTTCGCTACTGAGACATTCGCCATGGGTCTCAACCTGCCGACCAGGACAGTAGTCTTCTCTGGCTTCCGAAAATATGACAACAAGCAATTCCGAGATCTATTACCTGGCGAGTACACGCAGATGGCTGGCAGAGCTGGACGTCGAGGACTGGACACAGTAGGCTATGTCATCATCGTCACACCAGGCGCAGACGAGGCACCGCCAGCAGCTCGACTTCGACAGATGATGCTTGGCGATCCGACCAAGCTACGATCGCAGTTCCGCTTGACCTACAACATGATTTTGAATCTCCTACGAGTCGAGGCGCTCAAAATCGAGGAGATGATCAAGCGCTCATTCTCTGAAAATGCAACGCAAGCATTGTTACCAGAGCATGAAAAGCAGATCAAGGTCTCGGAAGCAGATCTGGACAAGGTTGTGCGAGAACAATGCGACATCTGTGACAAGGATGTCGAGACTTGTCACGACGCCAGTATAGATTTCCAGCGGCTTACAGAAGCGCTTCACCTCAGCATGCTTTCGACGCCAGTCGGCAGGAGAATGTTCCAGCCAAGACGAGTCATCGTTTTCAAAGGCAGAAATGACGCTCGCACAGCAGGCGTACTACTGCGAGAAGGTGCCAGCAAAGGTTCGCCGCCCACTTTGCAGGTCCTGGAGGTTTTACCAAGGAATAATCGAAAGAAGCAGAACGAGGACTTTCTGCCATTCCTGCCACACTTCCGCCGTCGCTTCATCGCTCTACCGCAGAGCGAGGGCGAAATGCAGCTACGAACAGTGACGGTTCCACTTGGTGATATTGAGGCTCTGACCGGCACGCATATCAAGATGGATGTCAATCGTGTCTTGCAGAGAGAGTTAGAAGCGATGAAAGAGGTGAAAGCGGAGCTACTCGCCACCTGCTCATCGTGGACGTCTTCCAGCTGGAATGAGTTGGACTACTATAAGTACTTGAAGGACATGAACATTCGTGCCATAATGGACGAGCGGGCCAAATTCGCGGCCATCGCCCAGGACCGCGAATGCATTCACTGCCCAAACCTGCCGAAGCACTTCGCCATGGCGCACGATCAATGGGTGATCAAAGACAAGATTGACTCAATTCGGCAGCTCATGTCGGACCAGAATCTCCAGTTACTGCCCGACTACAATCAGCGTATTGATGTGCTGAAGAAGCTTGGATTCATCGACGAGCAGTCTCGTGTCGAGCTGAAAGGCAAGGTGGCCTGCGAGATCCACTCTGCAGACGAGCTCGTTCTGACGGAATTGGTGCTTGAGAACGTTCTTGCCGATTATGAGCCCGAGGAGATTGTGGCTCTGCTGTCTTGCTTCGTCTTTCAGGAAAAGACGGACAACACGCCAAACCTCACTCCAGCTCTCGAAAAGGGGATCGAAACGATAGTCAAGATCTCTGAAACGGTCAACGCGGTCCAGACTTACTACCAGGTCATCCTGTCGTCAGACGACTCGAATGACTTCGTCTCTCGACCTCGCTTTGGACTCGTGGAAGTGGTGCATGAGTGGGCTCGAGGGATGCCGTTCAGTCGCATCACGGACCTAACAGACGTGTTGGAGGGGACTATCGTGCGAGTGATTACCCGATTGGATGAGACGTGCAGAGAGGTGAAGAATGCGGCGCGGATCATTGGAGATCCTACGCTTTTCACCAAGATGCAGGCGTGCCAGGAGCTGATCAAGCGGGATATCTGTGCGACGGCCTCCTTGTATTTGTAGTTAGTCATCGAATAAGAAGCTGCGCGAGGGAGGTTCATCGGAGGTTGAAAGGTCGGTGGGAATGTGATAATGCATAGGTCATCAAAGACTGTCTCGCCACATGGGATAGATCAGGACATGTTTAGAACATGGCGTGCTGCGCCACGTGGTCGTAGTCGTCAAGTGGCTCCGGGTAGGTAATCAGAATTTGCCATGTCTGCCCAGCGGTGGGATTGAATGTGTGATGAGCCTGCGGCAGGTTCTTGTGCTTCCCATTGACCTTCACGCATTCCCTGACCATTTCCATTTGCATTGATCGTTGACACCCTGGAGTCGTCTCGCAAACTCTGGTGTCTTGGAAGGCACGGCATCTTATTTAAAGTTATTAATCAATCGGTGCGGAGGGTGCATCGCGCCTGCCGCTTGCCGCCTGGCTTGGCAGGAACCTGGCCTACTTTCGCAAAACTGCATAATAATACCATCCTCCCCAGCACAAGCTTCTTTTGCTGCTCCTGCGGCATTGTACACGCGACTGAGCGCCCGGCAAGTCACCAGCCAGCATCTGCCAATACACTCACCCAAACCCCGTCCGACCCTCGAGTCCCGCTTGGCGGCGGGAAGGGAACCGCGAGGCAGAGCTGTCTCTGCGCTGACTGACACATCCACCGCGCCGCCTGCTCGCGCTCGCGCGACGACTTCGACTTCAAAATGGACGCCGCCGCGCTCCGAACCCGCATCCATGCCACCCTTGACGCAAATGCGGATGTCCGGCGGCAGGCAGAGCAAGAGCTGCGATCGGTATGCTGTCCTACACCCGTCTTTCGTGCTTCTTGTGGGGAAAGCAGGCCGCGGAGGAGAACAACAGGGCCTGAGTCAGGATGCTAACAGGCTGCACGCGTCTAGGCCGAAGAGCAGACTGGCTTTCTCGATGCACTGCTCAACATCCTCGAGCAAGAACAGGAGAATGGCGTGCGCCTGTCCAGTACGTAGACCCCTCCCTACCCACTACCACTATCACATGCAAGATCTGCCTTCGGCAACGCACGTGGCAGCCCAGATCCGGAGGAAGACGGGAAGGACCCACTAACATGTGCTACAGCTGCCGTCTACTTCAAGAACCGCGTCAATAAGGGCTGGGCCAAGGTCGAAGACTCGCAGACCACTACTGCTACAATCGGTGACGATGAAAAGGCCGCTGTCCGCGCGCGACTCGTGCCTGTTATTGCTAAAGCCCCTCCAAACATCCGACCCCAATTGATCGTCGCCCTGCAAAAGATCTTACACTGTGACTTCCCCAAGCAGTGGCCCGACTTCGTCAGCGTTACCATCAACCTCCTCAACTCGAACGATGTGTCTGCAATTTTTGCTGGTCTGCAATGTCTGCTGGCCATCTGCAGAACGTATCGATTCAAGCTGGGTGACTCGCGAGGCGACTTTGACAAGATTGTGGAGGCAACATTCCCGCAGCTCCTCAGGATCGGAAACAGCCTGGTCGATGAGACGAACTTGGAGGCAGGAGAAATGCTGAGAACAGTACTCAAGGCCTACAAGCATGCTATCTACTTCGAACTGCCGATGCAGCTACGATCACATCAAGCCATGGTCGATTGGTGCACGCTGTTCCTGCGTGTCGTCGCAAAGCCACCTCCAGAGAACTCGATGATGGAGGATGTTGATGAGCGAGAGCTGAATCACTGGTGGAAGTGCAAGAAGTGGGCATATGTCAACCTCAATAGGCTCTTCGTGAGATACGGCAACCCAGCAAGTCTACAAAAGGGCAACGGCGAGGACTATACACAAGTGGCGAAGAGCTTCATCTCCACCTTTGCACCTGAGATTCTGAAAGGATACCTGGCACAGATTGAGCTCTGGGTGCAGAAGAAGATCTGGTTGAGCAAGCCATGCCTAAGCTATACTCTTGGTTTCCTGGATGAGTGCGTCAAGCCGAAGGCCATGTGGGATCATCTCAAGCCACACATGCCTATCCTCATCGAGCACCTGCTCTTCCCTGTTCTCTGCCAAAGCGACGACGATCTGGCACAATTCGAGGAAGAACCAGCAGAGTATCTGCACCGAAAGCTAAATTTCTACGAAGAAGTCTCGGCCCCGGATGTTGCGGCCACCAACTTCCTCGTCACGCTGACCAAGGCGCGCAGAAAGCAGACGTTCGAAGTGTTGTCGTTCATCAACAACATTGTCAACAAGTACGAGGCTGCTCCAGATGACCAGAAGAATCCGCGTGAGAAGGAAGGTGCGCTTCGCATGATTGGTACTCTGGCCAACGTCATCCTGGGCAAGAAAAGCCCAATCGCCGACCAGGTCGAATACTTCTTTGTGCGACATGTATTCCCAGAGTTCCGCAGTCCTCATGGCTTCCTCCGAGCTCGTGCGTGCGACACTCTTGAGAAGTTCGAAAGCCTCGACTTCAAGGATCCTGGCAATCTCACCATCATTTATCGCAACATCCTCGAATCGATGGCCGACCCAGAACTGCCTGTTCGTGTTGAGGCTGCTCTCGCCCTTCAACCTCTGATCAGACACGATCCTATTCGAACAATGATGCAGCAGAACATCCCGCAGATTATGCAGCAGCTGTTGAAGCTTGCCAACGAGGTCGATGTCGATGCGCTCGCAAACGTCATGGAAGACTTCGTTGAGGTATTCGCTGCTGAACTTACGCCATTCGCTGTAGCGCTTAGTGAGCAGCTGCGCGACACGTATGTTCGTATAGTTCGCGAGCTCATCGAACGCAACCAGTCCAAGGACGGAGATGGCGACTACGGCGACTTTCTCGACGACAAATCCATCACTGCGCTTGGAGTGCTCCAGACGATCGGTACGCTCATCCTTACTCTGGAGAGCACTCCAGATGTCTTGGCCCACCTGGAGACCATTCTCATGCCTGTCATTACCATTACCCTCGAGCATAAGTTGTACGACCTTTACAATGAGGTCTTCGAGATCATTGACAGCTGCACGTTTGCTGCTAAGACCATCTCGCCGACCATGTGGCAGGCATTTGAGCTCATCCATCGCACTTTTAAGTCTGGTGCTGAGCTGTATCTCGAAGACATGCTTCCAGCTCTTGAGAACTTCGTCAACTATGGATGGAGAACTCTTCTGGAAAACCGCGCATACCTCGATGCTATCGTCGACATGGTACGCACCATCTTCAAAGATGACAAGGTTGGTGGCGTCGACCGAATTTGCGGCTGCAAGCTTGCCGAAATCCTCATGCTTAATCTGAAAGAGGGCATTGACAACTATGTGCCCGAGTTCATTCAGCTTGCCATGAGCGTCCTCGCGTCTGATGAGCTCAAGGTCAAGTCGTATAGAATACACCTGATGGAGATGGTCATCAATGCCATTTACTACAATCCGCGACTATCGCTTAATGTCCTCGAGGCAAATGGCTGGACGAATAAGTTCTTCAGCTTGTGGTTCTCGAGCATTGACAGCTTCACGCGAGTGCACGACAAAAAGCTTTCGATTGGTGCGATCACTGCACTATTGACGCTGCGAGCTGAGGAAGTGCCTCAAAGCGTACAACAGGGATGGCCAAGACTGCTTCAGGGCATTGTCCGACTTTTCCAGACTCTACCTGCTGCACTCAAGAATAGAGAAGAGGCGCAAAGAGATGAAGACTTCGGTCTCTCTGGTGACTATGATGACGATGACGAGGTATGTTTCCACGCCAATCGTTGACGTGCCATTGCTCACATCATAATAGGAAGAAGAGGAGTGGGAGGCTGAAGATTGGGAGGCCGAGGAAGAAGCCGAGACAACTGACATCAAGGACGAATCCACAGCCTACCTCGACTTCCTCTCCCAGCAAGCAAGCAAGTTCAACGCCGCTGTCGGCGAAGACGAAGGTGATGATGAGCTCGAAGAAGAAAGTCTTCTGGAAACGCCTCTCGACTCCATGGAACCGTATGGCCTCCTCAAGCGGACACTCGAGAGCATGTCGCAACAGCAGCCACAATTCTACCAGCAGCTCACTGGTATGCTAGGCCCTGAGGAGAGCCAGGTCGTCAAAGCCGCCCTTGAGCAGGCAGACAAGATCCAGACTCAAGCGCAACAACAAGCCGGTGCTGAAGGAGCTGCTGTTATACCTGCCCAGCAGGCGAACGGAACGAGTTGAGTAGCCTCGAACGCTCCGTGTGAGCTACCGAACCGTTATGCTGGGTACGGAGAAGACGTTGCCAGAATGAATAAACAGCTGCAGCAGAGACCTCACTCGGCTGTATTTGATAAGGCCGTACGAAGTGCGAGAGCGCATGACGAACGACGGGCGGAGGAGCGAGCACAACTTGACGCTGTCTTCAACCTCCGATGAACCTCCCTCGCGCAGCTTCGCATTCGATGTCTGCTACGAGTGCTCGCATTTCGACAGTGGGCGGCCATTACTACTTGCGCTTGTTGTTTTAAGATAGATTGATACCCCCCCATCTTTGCGGCCGACTTGGACTTGGAATGGTCTTGAGGATGACGCCTAAATTTCCCCTGGCTTGGCATGATGAATGAAAAAAGGAAAGACGGAGGTATTACATTACATTACACTGCCCTGTGGATGATGATCGATGTTGATGCAGATGGAAAGCGAACGAGTGAAATAGCATTGGTCTTGGAATGAAGGTGACTCGTTGATGAAATGAGAGCTTTGCTTGCGTCATTGACTACTACGGTTTCTTTATCGTTGTTGGTGATGATGTGAAGAGTGTGAGTGGGAGATTGGTTCGGGTCTGAGTACCCTCTTTCCCACTCGCTATCCTAGCTTGACACTATGCTGACGCTGACACGCTGTTGTTGAGTCTCCTCCCGTCGCTGTCCTCATACTTCTGCCATTACGCTACACCTCGTTGACTTGCACGCCAAGAAGTTCATGAAACATAAGGCCAAATTAGTCACCTCGTCGACTTTCAAGCCAAAAAGTTCAACATTGAAGCCAAATTAGTCTCCTCGTCGCTCTCTTCCAGTAGCCATGAGGTCTTCGTAACTCCACAGCTTGCGAGCGCTGACACGGTCGTATTTCGCATGGCCCGACTCTCGCTGCACGACCCTGATCCGATCATTCAGCTCGGCTAGCCATTCTCTCGTCTTGATATCCAGTCCATCCTCAAAGTCGCCGAGATCCCAGACCCACTCTGTTAAGTTCTTTATCTCTCTCTTCCAATCAGCCGTCGAGGCTTCCGCGTTCATCTCCAGCATCTTGATCCTGGACTCCGCATTTCGCAACTCTTCAACTCTGCCGTTCATCGCGACAAGTCTCGGGCCATGCAACGAGACGAGGGTCTCCTGTGCGCTGACGTCTGACTCTAGGCGTTCGACTTTCCTGGTCAAGTAGTCATAATCGGCAGCGGCAGTCGACTCAAGCTGGTTGACTTGTCTTTGAACTTGGGACTGGAGCTCGAGAAGTTCGACGTTGCGGCTTAGTTCCGTCGTTTGTTTCTGCTTCTTCTCAAGATCTGCCACGCGACTCACGATGCGGTGGTGCTGGGTCATGCTGGGACGTTGATTGCCGCCTGCACTCTTCTTCATCTTGGTCTTCAGCGCTTCGAGCTCGGACTCCAGCTGCTCATTGCGCTTCTCGGATTTATTGAGCTTCTTAGTCATTTCCTCGAATTTGATGGAGATATCTCGAAACTTCTCATTTGTCTTCTGTTCAATCACAGTCTCCATCACTCGAACATTATTGGCCGACATTTCGGCGTTCCCGTCGGCGCCCTTCTGAGGAGTATTCTCTTTCAGTTGGAGGATGCGTTCGTCGATGGCCAGCTGCTTTGTCTGGAAATCCAGGACTTTGGTGAGGAGTTCGCGCAACTGGGACAATTCGCGGTGACCGTTCGGATGAGTGTCTTTGCTGCCATCGACAGTGATATCACCGAAGTTGCCACCGCTCAAGCGACTCGTGATGTCCTCGACAGGAGCGGATGTGACACTGCACATTTTGGCGCGCTCGAGGTGCAGCTTGGCTTTGGCGGCAGGCTCTGCCTTTTCGCTTGTTGCAGGTGCAGCGGTGTCAAATATTTCGACAGTACCGGTGGCTTCTTTATCAGTCGTGTAGTTCAGTGGTGCCTGGTACGACTGCTTCTGCTTGCCTGAGACCTTCGTCATTATCGTGTTGATCACTTTTGTTAGCGTGATTTTGCTGGTAATACGCTGAATTGACTCAACTCGCTCGGCTTCGGAGTGGGTGCAAGGTTGGTACGTAGCACTGTCGCTGTCGTTCCCGCTGATTTGTCAATAGGAAGGTGTAAGACGAGACATTTGGCAAGAGAGAGCAAGGCTCAAAACAATTTGGCAGGGAGTACCAGCCTGCAAGAGAAGCTCCGATCCACGAAGTCCAAGATCGAGAATATGGAAACGGACACCGACCTGGATGGAGGAAGTCGTGGACTTCAAGGACTGGCGCCAGTTCATTCGTGAGGCCGATCTGGGAAGAGATTCCAAGGCCAAAAAGCAGCTGGGTAGGCTTGGTCGTCGTCTCAGAAAATTCGCTGGGATTCGATCCATCTGTTCTCCACGCTGCTCTACCATGAGCATCTTCTTGCTCTTCCCTTTGAGAGATTATTGCTTCCAGCCACCGATTGCCAATATCTCGATATCTCGATGTGGCTCGAGTGGCGCATTCTATGCCGTGGCATGTCCTCCAACAAGTTAGATCTGCAGCCGTCGAGATTTGCCGATGTCTTCGCGTGTTGCGTCGTGTGGCCGGCTGTAGGTCTCGTGATAGCTTTCCTCTCGGGTGAAACGGAAAATCTGTCAACAGCATTCTCCGGCCGACGACTGCATACAGTGCAGGTCATTTCAGAATGATCTGTTGGCGCTGAAGTCGGTATGTCTTGGCGCTTTGTGTGCCTCGACGTTCCTCCACTTTTGTGACGACCTCCAAAATGAAGGTCACCCGTGGCCCCGCGTACTCGTCGTCACTCGCTTGGATACGGTTCTCGGGCAAACCGTCGACTCTGGGTGCCAGGCTCATTGCCAGGTCCGCTGTCGCGAAGAAGGAAACCACGTCCTGAAGGCGACTGTCTGCTGTCCTGGCGTGGTGATCGTGATCTTTGGTAGTGCCGTGCTGGGGATGCATATCTATCCGACTGCCGATACAGGGACTCGGCCCTGCTGCTGTAACCGGATGACCGCTCTCGAGAAGGAGAACGGCCTCTCCTGTCACGTCGTAATGGTGACCGCGATCTTTGAAGGCGTTGGTCTGGAGATTGTGCTCGCTAAGGCTGCCTGTATCTGGTCAGAGACAACCGTGACTAGCCCGGCCGTGATCACACTCGGATATACCCATGTAGTTCTAGACGCGTGCGAGGCGTGTAGAGAGTGTGATGAGGAAGCAGAAGAGAAGAGTAAAAGCGACGAAAAGATTTTTAGATGGCATCGGTCGTGCCACGTGCGGTGGCAGGCAGGCAAGAGGGAAGGTGCGGTGCTCGTTCCAGCACGACGCGATATCTTCGTGCAGGCCACTCTTTTACGCGTTCATGTGCGATGATTCAGTGATCTGCAAAGGAGGCAGCTCCGATGCTGGTAGCGGGACGTCACCTTCTTCTCTAGAACTAGAACGACCGTTCCAATACATGAAAAATTGTTCTGTGTCGCACGCTTATGCACGATGAATTGCTGGCCGGTCGACGTTTTGCCGTATCGACCGCCCTACTCCAAGATCGAAAGACGCCTGCCGAAGACGACAGCGAAGAGGAGGACAGACGCTATGCTATGCTCCGAGCAGTGAACATCGCGGCAGTGGAGGCGAGCAGGAGGTCGTGGCCGCGGCAGAATCTGGCGCGGAGCGAAGAGTTCACGCGGTGGTGGTGCGCCAGGCGGTCGTCGCGAATTTCTTCCGCCCGTGAAACTTCACATGCGCTATCGTTCGTGTACTTCAATGAAGAGGCATGGCCTGGATAGTGCAATGCTTAGTAAGGACACGAGAAACGCTTTCCTTTCATGCTACAGCCATGATACTCAGCCTTCTCCACCCACCATCTTGACCCAAAAGTCGACCCCGTCACTCTTTCAGAATTCGAGGTCATCCTCATACATATCCGGTGCCCTCAGCAGTCCCGCTCTCGGGAAATCTTCATGACCGAGTTGTGAGTCCCATACGACGCAGCCTCTAATTGCGACCCTCTTGTCAACAAAAGATTCGGCGTTGCCGCGCGACCGTCTCTTGAAGATTTTGAAGCTTCTGTTGAAGATCTTGAAGCTCTTCTGCCAAATGCCTAATGTCTCTCCTCAGGTCTTGGAACTGATCCCTCACATCTAGCAAATCGAGTGCAGAAGATGCGTGCTTTCCATTTTCGAAGCGGGCTTGGAGCAGAGAAAGCTGACTCTGCAGTTGCTTTTGCTGCTGTCGCAGATCATTGGTGGAATTCTCTTGCTTCTGAAGCTTTTCCACCTTTTTGGAGAGGTCGCGGTGCTGGCCCAGGCTGACGCTATAATCACTCTCAGTGTTCCTGGTACCCTTCTTCTGCTTCATCTTGAGATCGTCGAGCTCATCTTTCAACTTCTTGTTCTCGGTCTCCGCCTTGTCTTGTCGGCTAACGGCGCTATCAAGCTTAATAGCAAGGTCGCGGAATTTTTTCTCGGTGACTCTCTCAACGACGCTCTCCATAGCTTTGGTGCTATTGACGGACATCTTGCTGGAGCCCTGGGAAGTCGGGAGCGGTGGGTTCTCTTTCAGTTCCACCAGGCGAGTGTTAATGGCGAGCTGCCTCGCTTGGTCCTCTTGGATCTTCAGAAGCTGCTCCCTCAGCTTGAATAGCTCTTCGTGGCCGTTTGCCTTGCTTCCCTCGATTCGTAGGTCGCCAAATCCACCACCGCCAAGTCGACTTGTGAACTCAGTGAGGGCGTCTGCCACAGCAGAATGCAGCTTGGCCCTTGCGATATCTTCAACTTCCTCCATCGCTTTGGGTGTTGTTGTCTCCTTGTCGCCGCTAGTAGTGCCTGATGACATGTTTGACAACTTGGTGATAGAGCTGTCAAATGAAAGCGGAAGCAGTGGATAGAGGCGAAAGAAGAGAATGATGAGTCGCATGGGAACCGGCAAGCGCGAGCGTTGCTTGGAAGACTCTGGGTAGGGCCGTTTTCACATGTAACGGTCGCCACAGCAAAGCACAAACATGTACACTGAAGTTCCAATGCGTACCTTCTCCTCTCCCGCTCCTCTCGCTTGATACACGATGCTCGCCGTCCAGCTTGCGAATGCTCCAGACACAAGACGTTTTCATGATCCTCATTCGAATCTCTCAGCCAGCATAATTTCCGCATCCATTTCGCGCAAGTTACCAGTCCTCGTAATCAACATATTCATCCTCGCTTCCCTCGCGGCTGTCGCTGTCCTCAATATCGCTACCTTTGCTCGAGAAAAAGCCAGCGCACTGTAACCCGTCCCACTCATTGGCAAATGAGTCCTCGTAGTCAATGCTTCCCAGAACACTAGTCCTGACCTGTGCAGTATCATTATCGATCTTCTCTGAAGCGACCACCGCCTCGTCCCGATAGTCCAGCTCTGCAATCTTATCCGCCAGACCTTTCATCTCGGCTTTCACGTCCAACTTTATTAGATCCTCCAAGCATGTAAATGCATAGTTGAGGCTATTTTGCATGTCGGAGCATCTAGCTTCGAGAGGATTGGGTGTAGTACGGTGCGCCTCGCACAGCGCCATGTCATGCTCCAGCTTTGAAACCTTATTCATCATCTGGTTGTGCTGGTTCATGCTTGGAAAGGAGCCCTTGAGACCACTGATGTTTCTCGTCTTGAAGCGAAACTCGAGGTCTTCAATCTGCTTCTTCAGAGCGGCGTTCTCTTTCTCGCTATCCTTCAACCGTTGAGAAAGTAGACTCATATCGCGGAACTTATCCGCCGTAAGTCTTTGGACGACTGCCTCGATCGCGGCAATATTGTTGGTGCTCAGACCGCCGCTTTTTGTAGTGGCTGCAGCAGCTGCTGCGGCTTGCTCTTCTCTGATTGCAGCAGTGCGAAGGATCTTCTCCTGGCCAGCTTTGACTTCCTGAAATAGCTGTCTGAGCTCGAACATTTCTGAGAGCTGCTGGTGCCGATTCTTGCTCGAGGTGCGACTCTCGTAGAACTCGCCATGCAAGCCGCCGGTTAGAAGGCCATCGACCTTCTCCGCAAGCTTTTCGACAGCGGCATTGGCATGCAGCGGGTCACTGCAACTATTGGTGTCGTCCTCTTGCGATGCCATGTTGAGGTCGAGTGACGCTGGTTGGCGAGGTTGAAGTGATATGTCGCAGAGTGAGGACTAAGCATCAAAATAAACAGGCTCGCTTATGCAGAGTTCAACGGCTATAGCATCTCCGAAGGCAAGAGCAGCAGTTCTCACATTCCGTTTCTTGGCATGGACGCACCTTTCATTACATCACTTCTCGGTCCATATCCCACAAGACGACTGTACCACGGGATTTGCAAAGAGATTGCAGAAGTGCTTCGACAGGCCAGATCTGCTTTCGGAGGAGTACGAAGACATGCTGGAGCAGCAGCTGTTTGCTTGGAGACGGACTGTTGAGAGTACGTGGCAGCCAATGGACGAGGGAGACTGGTCCCGGCTCGAGAAGAGCCCAATTGAGATCAGGGACGTTGTCGAGGAAGATGAGAAGTGGTTCTTGCAATGATTGTTCGTGATTTGTCCTCCAAGGTGCTCTCATAGCTCTTTGGTGCGAGCACGATTGTGTAATATCAACTTGTTACGAAGTGTCGACATTTTCGAGGTCTAGCAAGTATCCTTCAATGCCAAAGCGCAAAGCTGCTCCTTACAGCCATATCAGTCCTCCCGCTGCAAACTTGCCCGTGCTATTCCTTGTCGTGCTGGACTCTGCACGTGCCCTCATTCTTTCCGCCTGCCTTGAAGCAATCAAGACACAAGGCGAATTGTATCTTGAGCGCGGCAGCCCTCATATTCAGTGTCGCCGTCGAACCGGAAGCAAGGACTACCCGAAAGGCGATCTCAGTATGACGTGAACAATATGAATGTGTAGTGTCGTTAGGCCATTGGAAAGCCATGACTGCTTTTTGGAGTTTCCATAGCGTCTGAACCTGAAAGATAGCTGGCCAAACACCCGCGCTGGCTAGTCTCGAGAGGCATTTGCCCACATGATCTGAATAGAAGCTACAGATCTCAGGCCCGTGATTCTGTGTGTTGCTCTCTTGCAACAATACGAGGCTGTTTGGTTCGACGCCAAAAGATTCGTCCTCATAGTGTGTGTATCGTGGATCGAGCTCAGACAGGATGGTTCCGACGAGGGTTATGATTGTGGTCTTGAGGGCTCCATAGCACTCGTTCACGCGATTTTGGAGACTTCCTGTAATTGTATTAGTGGGTCGTTGCTCAAGCGATCGAACGAAGCTCATACTCATAACTTCGCTGCCCTCCTATTCTTCGCAACGAGCGTTGAGGAGGTCAGATATATTCCAATGAAACATCAAGACATGCGCGAAGAAGGCGAATCTAGAGGCGGTGTCCAGGCGAATCGTGGCCAGGAGAATTTGGGCGTACCCTCGAAGGTCTATTCTTGCTGGTCCCATGTTCTGAAAGTGCTGCAGGCACACGTTCGAGAACAGCGTGGCTGCCATGGCGCAATTGTACTTGTCGACGACCTCCGCATACTTGAGGAAGGCCGATGGCGATGGGAGCGCGCTGAGGTAGTCGCGATTGTGCAGCACCAAGCAAAGCAGTTTCATGGCCTCGGGATCATCGTCGGGTAACTCGAGACAGAAGGGCGTTCCGGCGTTTGCACCGATCAAAGCCTTGCCTTCTGCCCAGTCTTTACCTAGCATGGCGCGGAAGACGGACGAGTTCAGTCGTAGGACCTGCGAGTATACACGTAGCTCGATGCTGTCCTGGACCTGAAGTATGATGTCGCCCTCGTCGACAATGTCGTATCGTTCCATGACAAGTTGTTTGCGAGTGTCTGCAGATGCTAAAACGCCAGTTGGAAGAATGTCCTGTAAGCAGATACCTCGGTTGGAGTTGTGGTTGTTGCAGAAGTCGTTGGCCGCATTTGTTGACGTGAAGCAGCAAGTTCAGACGCTTTTGCACCACCTTCCCCCGTCTGCGATGCGTTACTGCCTTTCTTTTATCACAATAGAGCGTGCCAGGAATCGGCTTCAGATGACGGCTTTCCAAATTAGATGTACTGTACGTGATTAATTACATGTACTTCATTGACTTCTTCGTCTGCCACTTATGACTCCCGAACACCCTGAACCTCGTAATGTCCCATTTTGTTTGATGTCGTGACCATTGAAATAAACCCCAGCGCCAACGCAATGCTTTCTGCACAGATAGCTCATTTTCATCCCACACGACGATCTCCGCCTCACCAAAGACCTGCCACACCAGTGAACCACCCGAAGGTGAGCACCGTGATACCTGTTAGTGTGAGCAGACCGATCAACGTCTGCCTCTCGGCCAAACTCATGGCAGAGTTACACGTCGCGCAAACGTACTCCGACATTGGAGTGTATGGCTGGGGCGAGTACATGCCAAAGGTGAACTGTTGGTATGTCGCCAAATACCCTGCCTGAGGCGTAGCGCTGACGTCCTTGGCCGCATCGTGGATGATGAGCGTGTATGTCTCAGTAAGCAGTGGCACTGTTGCGCTGGCTTGGAATGCGCCAGTGTCCCAAATCACGGATTGAGTCGCCTGCACGGACTGATTCAGAGCGATTGTGTACGTCTCCTGGTTTTTGCTACACGAGGCCAAGATGTCAACTCGCGAGGGAGTAACGGAGAGAGAGGTGTAGTTCCAGGCAAAGGTTATGTAGTCCTTGATCTTGTAGTATGAGGTGGATTGAGCGTTTGGTGTGATCATCGACACGCCACCAGCTGGTAATCTGGCATCGAAAGTCTTCGTCTCCTGCGAGCCACTCTTGTTGGAAGACTTTGCGGTGGCGGTGCCGGTGTTCTTCGCAGTTCCCGTCGTCTTGTCTCCCTCGCTGGTCTTGCTATCGCCCGTCGCAGTGGCAGTGGTTGCAGCATCGTTGCTGTCGCGGGTCGTTGTCGCATCGCCCGTTGCTTTGGTATCGCTCTCTGTAGTGGCGGTATTGCCCTGCTTGGCAGAGAAAGAGAGGTCGTACGATGTCGACTGGTCGTCTCGTCGTAGAAGCGGCGCAATTTCGTTCTCGAAAGCCTCAACGGGTGCCCACGCTGCTCCTGAGGCTGCGCAAGCGGAGGAGAAGAGGAAGATGCTGGCCACAAGCTCGGATGGCCGCATTGTGGTGATATTATGTCTCGCGAGACGTATGTGAGGTGGTATGTCTGCTCTTGAGCACTACGATGGCCGATATTGCGGTGTGTACTGCTTTGAAAATGTGTCTGTGTATTCTGGTTCGCGTCCCCTCGTACCCGCCGAAATGGAACTCAAAGCTCGGCGGAGCCTGCCCGAAAATACGATTGCTGTTGGTTAGTAGCGAGTGACTGGTGGAACAGAGGCCAGAAGGCTGATATTTCTCGTAAGAAGCGAATGTCTTTGACGGGGCTGGTCCGGCTGGATGTGTGCGTGGTGGATGGTGGATGTTGAGACTCCGCCAAAAGTCATCGACAACTCGACACGCACTAGCCAGGAGGAGTCCGAGGATCCTTGCACACCCTTATTTTGGGAGCAGGTCCGTGCGCTGGGCAACGCTCGATATTAGTGGCAAAATCCGGAGCAAATAATGCACGTGACTCTACATCTTGACAAGATGTGGAAGCAGACTTATCTTGGCATTCTCTCGCTCTCGCGGACTACGTACTCCCTTTCTAGTCCTCATCCGATACTCACGACAGTATGAGTGTCTCTTTGTGAGGTAGTAAGCTGATTGTACTTCCGCAGAATGGCTCTCCAGTTGCCCAAACTGCCCTCAGAGCGTGTAGTATCCATAGCAGAGAAGGCTGAACCGTCAGACTCCACGACAGCAAACAGACGCTATATTTGCACCCGAAAAGTGTCCTGTATGCCATAGATCTGCTCTCGCATCCCACATGGACCAGCCATATCGAGGAGCTTGTGCTGCTTGGCAATTCAAGGTCACGCATGCGGACGAGGGAGCCGTCTGGCACCCAACTGCCCGACTTTCGCCTGGACTATCATCGGATGCACAGTCTCAATTCCCTCCCACACCGCACGGTGAGCGATATATCGCAAGATTGCCTTTGGTAGCAATCTGACGAAACTCAAGATCGTGGCTCCTGGTAACAGTCTTCTACCATGCCTCATTCATAGAGGGAAGCCCCAGTGTTGTCACGATTGGCGCAGGGATGAGAACTTTGCTCGAGTGTATCAGAGACGAGTTGGACCTCAAAAGCGCTCAGATTTACGTCGATCGGATAGGCTGCAATGAGAAGTGCAGATTCGACACGGAAGCAGCATATAATGTGGCGTGTGGTGTCTACCCTGCTGTAACTTCATGGGTCGACGTAAAAGAGCTGGATGACTTGGCGGCGGACATGGAAGTCGAACTTCGCGATGGCTCTTAGGACTTCGGTGAGGTTGCCTTACGGCCATCGTTATTCAAGGCAGAGAGTTCTTTTGCTCCCCCTAGCTCGTAACGGGGTTCGAGAAGAGTCTCACATATTGGTCTGGACGAAAGACAAAGCATACCCGCCGCTTTGGAGCCTGACATAACACATGTTCCTCCTCCGGCCTTCGAGTCTCTTGAGGTAGACGCTATATGCTTCGGCATGTTTGCTAGCCAGACGTGTCTCTGCGATCGGTACTTATATCTAGTGACTTGCGGTCACACCTTTTTCAGCACCACCAAGCTTCCCGTCGGTCCTCAACCATGGCCAAGACGAACAGAGAGCAAAGCCAAGAACCAGAGGAAGAGGAAGCTCCGAAGCAGCAGAAGAACAAGCACCTCTGGCAGCCAGACGAATTGAGAGCACTCTACCTTCTCTACGGCCACTTCGGTCTCAGCTGCAGCGGACCCATGAAAGACGACACAGACGAGGCCACCAGACTAATGAACAAACTCTTCAACATCGACTCCAGCAAAAAAGGCACCAAGACGAATCTTTACCGCTCAATGTACAAGGAACGGAACCAGGCAGGTAAGGGTTCGAAATGGGACGACATTATCCGTGGACCCAACGAGAAGAACAAGGCTTTCTACGACGAAGATGACCTGGACGCCTTTCGAGATGTGAAAAGGCGAATTGAAGATGCGGCCGAGGAGCTTGACATCACGCTGCAGGGAGATGACACCAAGGGTCCTTTCGCATATTCTGAAGCCGAAGCACTTAATGCTGCCGTGGATGCGGTTCGGACACCTTCTTCAAGCGAGCATGGACAAGAGGTTGAGAAGAATGGCGATGCGGAGGACTAGACAATCAATGCTTAAGAGTAGATATAGAGACAAAGAGTTGTCACAGACGCAGCAAGGACATTTCTTAAGTAAAGAGTGAAATTAGTTAAGATACCGATGCCGGTTACTATCGTAAGAAAAAAAAAACCCTCCCTTTGGTAACGTCGATACTACACATCCAACGCGTAATGCTACTTGCTTATCGACCAATCTACCTTCCAGCACTAATAATTCAAATTATAGCCTGCCTGCCTTCCTTCCTTCCTTCACGACAAAAAATCACAGGATCACTTAATAGGTCCTTTATAAATCAAACAGAAGGTGTCCTAGAAGAAGATCAAGCGAAGCCCCATCTCTCCGACGAGCCCTCGGATTGTAGGAAACTATAAGAAAGTGCTACAAAGCGTCTGCAGAGAGACAGGCCTTTCTTTATGGGGGACGGCGGGAGGTTAAAGTAGGTAGCAGTAGATAATTAGAGGAGATAATAACAAGAGGTAGAGGTTTCTTTTTTTTTTCTCGACATCATTCCCCGTGTACTTAGACTGAAATTTTTTTTTAAAGTGCCGGCTTTAGGAAAAAAAATTTTAGCGTTTGGATGGGGTTCTACCGTATTCGTTGTGGAGGTCGTCGGTACACGATGCCTTTTGACATTGTTGTGTAGGCAGTCTCGCAAACGTGTCGTCGAAGAGAGAGAAGAATGGTCTCACTCACTCTGTTTCTAGGTTGCCGCCGTCAAAGAGAGATAGAGTTCAACAATCTCACAGAATTTCCGCCATGGCGAGAAAGGGAAATGGAAAATATTGATTCAGTGTTAATACACACATCATACTATCTGACTGTTTACAGAGTAGACATGGAGAAAAATCTTTCCTGTCGTCATCATCATAATAAAAGAGAGAGCAAGGACTGTTTACCCGCCCACAGAAAAGGAAAAAAAAATTAATAGTACAGCCAGCACAACAATCTGACAGGGGTATCATTCTGCAACCAAACACAGACATGCTTTCCATTCTTACTTGGACTCCTGCTCACCAGAAAATGGAAGCTCAAGTCCAAGTGGCGATGCACCACGCGAAGGTGGGTTCGGGCTGCTAACTTCCGGGTGAGGTGATCCTGGAAGAGCGAGACGCTGACCTAGGAAGTTGGAGGCTGGTGATAGACCTCGTGCTGGAAAGGAGAACTTTGCAGACTCAGTGGCCGTGGGAGTTCGGCTTCCTGTGGCTTCTTCTTCGAAGTATTCTTCAGTTGGGGTCGCGAGAGCGGAGACGAACTTTGGTGTGGGTAGATTGCTTGGCTGGACACCAGGTGTAGAGAGCGGTGAGAAGTACATTGAAGTTGGGCGCGTCTCTGGATCGTTGGAGTCGGCGTCCTCGTGAGCTTGTTCCATAGGTGAGAGATCAAGGTTCTTGATCTCTGGCTCGGGTGTTGGTGGAGACTCTGCGATCGTGCTCAGAGTCGGCTCTGCCAACTGTGACACTGGTCGACTTGCATCCTCAGTCGGCTCAGGCGTGTGGAGCTCTCTTTGAGGAGGTGGAGATCTCGAGTGAGACTTTGACAGGCTTGGTAGGCTTGGTAGCGAGCCAGAGTCAGCTGAGTCGGATCTGTTGGATGGATACGAGCCTGGCCGACTTGAGTCTTCAGCCTCAATCTTGGACTGGCGAGAGAATAGACTTTCTTCCTCAGAACTGGTCTTGGAGAATTGGCTCCTCTCCTCTGGGCCGGGCTTGTTCGAGTCAACAAGAGCACTAACCGTTGGCAGCTCATCGACCTCGGACACATCTTCAGACTTGCGAGATGCCTCGGCGAGCAGGCTGGCAGTCGGAAGATCGTCCTCCTGAATAGAACGAGAGGACAAGACATCGATGGCCAAGTCACGTGTAGCCAGCTCCGGCTGAGCTTCCTCCAAAGTCATGGCGGTGGTTTGATTGACATAGTTTGGCTTGCTCGGAGAAGGAGTTGGACCACGCTCGAGAGCGGCGACGGTTGCCTCGTCGATGTACTTTTCAGTAACGGGAGATGGGGATCGAGCATCAGCGTCAGCAGCATCAGCCTCCTGGTCCCAGTCACCAGGCGGTACTTCTGGTCGAGCCTCCTCGAAAGTGGTAGCAGTTGCAGAGTCGACATATTTTGGACCAGCGCCAGGGGACGGGGAACGAGCAGGCAAGTCATCAAGTCTCAACTCGGAACCAGTTCTTGACATCTCTGGTTCTTCCCTCTCCATCGGTGTGATTGCGGTAGCCTGATCAACATATTTGGGCTTGGCTGGAGATGGAGAGCGCACCGACTTATTGACAGATTCCGCAACGTCGTCAGTTTTTGCCTTTAGCTGCAGAAGAGACATCGCCTGTCGTACAGGGAAAGGAAGCGAAGATTTGGGGAAATTGCTGTCCTTGCTTCCTTCCTCAATATCCGTCTCATCAGCGTCGGACTGTGGGGCCTCTTCAATCTGTGGTGGCGCCGGCGACGGCTCTGGTTCCACCTCTTCTTCTGACTCCTCGGTCTCTGGATCAGTCTCGTGAAGGGTTGAAAGCTGCTCATGATGAGCAGAAGCGGCAACGCTGTCATAGTCATCGCGATCAGCAGGATCAACGAACCCTGGCTCATGCTCGACTGGTGATGGAGATCGTGGTGCCACGCTGTCATAGTCATCACGATCTGCTGGGTCAACATTGCGAAGCTCTGCTTGTCTAGCAAGCATTGGACTGTCTTGCATCTCGCTGCCAATCTCTTCAATACGAGGCGATGTAGCCTCAGAGAACAGCTCCTCGCGCTCTGACTGAGGCGTTGGAGTGCGGAGGATCTGGGCGAGCTTTTCGACAGGAGAGGCTGCACGAGAAGGCTCACGCTCATCATCAGACCCGCTTCCCATTCGGTCGACTGGCGGCGAGATCGAGCGCGATCCAGCTTCGTTGAATAGGCCAATCTCAAAGGGCACTTCGATATCAGATCCGGGCGTAGATGCAATGCTGTCGCGGTTACAATCAATCTCGTCTCCCAAGATTGAAGGAGAGCGAGAGTTATCGGCAAGATCACCAGTACGTGGCTCATCCAAATGGCTTGCAATTGGTTCTTCGTCATCATCGTCTCTGTTCAGCTTCTCTACAGGAGGAGAAGGTGAACGAGACGCGAGTCCTTCAATGAGCTTATTGATCTCAGGATTCTGAGCAACCGACGTTGGTGCTGGACAAGCTGGACCATCAAGCTTGAGATCCTCCTCCTCCATGCCAGGACTGGCAGGCGGCGACATTTGCTCGTCCTCAGCAGCAATCCTTTGGCCAAGCGTTGGAACTATCATCTGAGAAACTGGGCGAGTTGGAAGAAACTCAGATCCAGGAGTGTTCATGTCGGTGCCAGCTGTGTATTGCTCTGGAGATGGGCCCTGGTAAGACTCGCCACGGTGGATGCTAACGCCAGCAGCCTCATCTGGAGATTCGAGGGGAGAATCACCAGGGCTTCGAGCGTCATGCCAAGGTGTAGCGCCCCAGTTGGGCAGGGCATCTTTCTCGCCATCGGGAGTGCCAGTAGGTGACTCTTGGCAGGGACTGGCAACATGTGGACTCGGCATGGGCGAGGCGTTCTTCGACTCGGGGACTCTGGTGACTTCAGCAAGTCTGGCTGCAAGATCACCCGGAGATGGGGAGCGATGTCCGGGAGCAGAAGGACTTGGGAAGCCAGAGTCGCCTGGAGACAGCGCGTTCAAAGCAGCAATTTGAGCCTCATATGGTTGATTTTGGAACATGTTGCTCGGTCGAGATGGAGACATTGCAGCTGAGCTAGTGAGCGGCGACAAATGCGATGCGAGTTCCCCTGGTGAAGGTGGACCAGACCAGCCCTGTTCGCCGTGGAACGGCAGAGCAAGAGAAGAGACTGAAGGCTGGAGACCTGGCGAAGGAGATCGCTCGTCATTCAAAGCGCGATCAGCCGAAGCCTGAGCCATGGCAGCCAGAGTCGGATCATTTGTTTGAGGCGGTGAAGGCGAACGATCGCCATCGTATTTGGACGTGGAAGCATCAACAAGCTGTGCAAGGAGCTCCGGTGGAATCTTCGGGATCTCGTAATCAAAGTCTTGACCAGGACGTGGAGGTTGCCAATCGCGACCATCATCTTCATCGTCGTCCTCACGTAGAGGAGATCCGGATGCCGAGCGCAGACGAAGACCAGCCAGTCCACGGAAGTAGTCATCAGGAGTGGCGTCTCGATCACCGATATAGCCATCCTCGTCATCCATGTACTTGTCATGGAGACCACCAGCACCGCGGCGAGGTGAATTTCCACCAAGTCGGAACTGGTCGGCAGGCTCGATTGAAGGCATGCGAGGAATTCCAGTACGTGGACTCGGATAAGCCTCGTTGGCAGGTGGCGGCGAGCGACCACGACCGTCATTCCTTTGCGGGCTGCCACGATCCATAGGTTGACCACCGTGGACGGGAATATCGTTCATCAATTCGTAGCCATGTGGGGGTAATGGATATGGAGAGTGAGCAGGCGAAGCGGAGTGATCACGCATGCTGAGAGGCGGCATATGTGGGAAGCCCGGAGATTGAGCATTGTCGGCGTACTTGTGCTCATCTTGTCTTGCTTGAGCTTCGTTGAGAGCCTTGTCAAGGTGCTCTTCCCAATCACTATCGGTCTGCATACCAGCGTCGGCAGATGTTGAGCGCTGATATGGTGGCGATCGTGACTTGCGTTGTGATGGATCAAAGTTGTCACCAGCATGAATGTCCAGTGCGACCGCATCTTCCAAGTGATCTTCCCAATCACTGTCCGTCTGCGTACCTCCCTCGACAGAGTGAGATCGAATTGCAGCGGGTGGTGAGCGAGACTTTGGAGGCGATCTGTTCGAGTGATCATTGACTTGCTTCGCAAGAGTCTGCTGAGGTGAAGGATCCTTCGAAGACCCAGGACTCCTTAGTCTGTCCATTGGCTGCAGAGGAGAGAGATGAGGGCGAACTGCGATTTCTTGACTGTTCGGTCGATCCTCTGGAGGAGATGGAAGGTCATCAGTTTGCACCGAAGCAGATCGGTTGTTGTTCTTATCAACCTGGTCGAGAGGTGGGTACTCATCGTCTGGACTTGTTTGAGTGTCCTTATTATGGGATTGAACAGACTCAGCCGAGTATGACCTTTCTTGCGGGGGGGACCGCGATGGAATGAGCGAGCGAGAGCGCAGCCTTTGACCCATTCCAGGTCGGCTTCGAGACCTGGATCGTGAGTCTTCGCGGAGCGGCGACATGTTCGGGGATCGGAATTCGCGACCATGAGCCTCCTCGGGCAAAATACCCGACATCAACGAAGTTGGTGAAGGTGGACGCCATTCTTGCTCCTTCTGGAATTTTGTGAATGGAGACTCCTCAGGTTGCTCGTAATGCTCGGGCGATGGTGCCACACCGGCTTGCCATGCAGTAGGCGACATGGACCTGTTGCGCTCCATGCGGTATACGGGAACGGCTTGAGAAGACGCAGTGCGAGGACCCTTGCCCATATCGTCGTAGTCTGGACCTGGAAGCGGTGAGAGAAATCTCGGAGGAGATCTGGTTCCGTTTCTCCACGGCGATGGACTTCTCCAGTCATTCTTCTCGCGGGTGTTTGGCGATGGGTTTCGCCACTCGCGAGAATGGTCCTCATTACGATTGTATGGGCCAGGGCTTTGCCACTCGCGAGATTCATTCATCTCATGCTGATACGGCTGTTCTGCGAAGGCATTGCCAATATCCTCCTTGATGGCCGGACCGTCCCAGAACATCGGCTGAGGCGATCGCTGACGAGAACGTGAGTGACGAGGGGAATCACGCTGCCAACCAACGTTGTACGTTGTCGGCGGACCGACATTGTAGGTCGTGGGAGGTAGCAGTTCGCCCGAGGCGGGTCGTGAACGAGATCGCGAACCATCGTTTTGCCATTGGTAAGGATGATTTGGCAGTGGTGAACGTGACTTGTTCCTCATCTCAGCCTCAACATTCCTGCTGGCATAGGGGAGATCAAGCTGAGAAACAGTCGGCGAAAGGGACGGCATTTGTTCACGGCCTCGTGGAGGAGACAGTGTCTGTGGACGATCATCAATGAAGTCATCGTCGTCTTCATCCGTTTGGTTGCCGGCGTCAATCATTCTGGGCAATACGGGTGGCGAACGCAAAGCGGCAGAAGATGCAGAACGTGGTGCAGGCACAATCGACCCTTCACGTCTGGGTGGCGACCGACCGCGGAACTTGACTTCTTCCGAGGTGGTGATGTTGGCACTCTCGTCTGTAAGGGGTACCGGTGATCTCGAAGGCGAGCGTGATGGAGATCGCATTTGGTTCATCTGCGTGAAAGGTGCGATATTCTCCATAGCGTACTGATCCGGTGCACCAGGTGACTGCATCGGCGATCTGGAAGGAGACCGAGTAGTCGGGTAGAAGTCGTGTGGTCCGGGAGAACCGAAGCCTTGATCCACATTCGTTGCCGAATCACGATATCCCGCAGGTCTTGGAATAGGAGATTTCTCATCTTCTGGTGTCGGGATATCAGCTTGGACCGCACGATCCACAGACACGGTGGACGGCTCTCGTGGTGCCATGTTTAGCGGTGGCGAACGGCCTCGAGGTGGCTCCATGTTGACTGGTTCTGGCTCGGGCTCAGATGGCCATTCCCAGCGACCGCTCGGAGGCGGAGGCGGAGACTTTGGCAGCATCGGCGACACTTCAATACCATTGTTCATGGAAGAGTTGTGATGAGCGCCGCGGACTGGTGACATGTCCTCTTCGTCGGTCTGAGTGCCCATCGAAGGTGCCTTGAGAGAGCCAAATTGATGTTCACTGGCATTTGGAGACAGGGATCGAGGACTGAACAAAACCTCTTGACTTCTTTGGTGCTTGGGTCGGATGGAAGGTGGCGATGGGGACAGCTCAGTGTCTTCAGTCTGCGTGGCAATCGAGTGAGATGAACCAGAAGCAGGGGGCGACATGAATGGTGGCGATGGAGTCTTTGCTGCTACCTCAGTAGCCTCGATAGTAGCGCTCGCAAGAGACGGAGTGCGAGCGATCTGGCTGACCGGTCGCTGGGAGTAAGACTTTGGCCGAGAGAAGATACCAGAAGCGACACCGCCGTCGATGGAATCGGCGGTAATTTGGGATACAGGCGGCGAGAGGGAACGAGCAATTGGTGACTTTGGAGGACTCTGTGGTGCGGTACCAAGGAGTACGCCATTGCCTTGCGGATCCGAGTTTCGTGTAGAATCAAGTTGTGATGAAGGGATGTTGGATGAGGCGTTCGCGCTCGGCTCAGAGCCAGGGCGGCCTCGCTCATCAACTTCGTCTTCAGCAAGTGCTCGAAGATTTGAAGGCCTCATCCGACTTCGGCTGGGGTGGATTGGACCATGTCTTCCGTGGGGAATGTCGGTGACGATGACTTCATGGTAGATGTCGTTTTCATCACGATACGACAAATGGGCCTCAGCAGGCTGTGTTGGTGGCTCGTGGCTGATCTCAACTCGAGAGCTTCCAGACTGCGGGCGGTACTGGAGCGCAGTTCCGTCGCCGGGAGCACTCCCATACATGGGTTGCTCGCCAGCTCGATTACGAGACATGGCGGAAGCACTGTCCGCAGTAGACATGTTCTCGCCAGGCTTGTCATTGATTGACTCGGAGTATCGTACATCTTCCCGATCTTGCCTGAAAGCGTTTTCAGCATCGCCAAAACCGTTGCGTGAAATCTCAGTAGGCACCAGATCGGGTGAGCCGTCATCGGAATCGAGTGGGCCGCGAATAGCCATCTGGCGAGTGAAGGATCCGTTGAGCCAGTCGTCGTCTGCTTCCCGAACTCCACCGTTCATCCATCTCTGAACAAGACCGACGGTAGCGGGTGCACAGACGCAGATGACGGAAAGGTTGGCTTCGACGATGCTCCACAGTCCGATCCAGTGGTAGTACCAGGTCGCATTTGATTCGCGGTCGCTGCGTGCGAGGAAAGCGATTCGGACGATGGAAAAGATGGTCACGAGAGCACCCATGCCAAAGACAGTTGACAGAGCCAGCTTCTTTGACCAGCCAATCTGGAGCTTGCGGAGGCCAGGTACAGGGAGCAGGAAGACGATGATGTTGTAGACAATGTCGAGTGCAGCAAAGGCATACAGCATTGGAGCTAGCTGGATGCAATTTCCGTTGCCTCCAGAAATGTAGTTCCAAGCGTAGCTGATCGGCTCGCATTGGAAGATGGTGGCCAGGACGAAAGCGAGCATTGTGGCGATGCACAGGCCGATGGTGATCCAGCAAGCCAGTCGGAAAGGCTTGGTGATGGAGTCGGCCGTCCAGATGCGAAGGTATAGCAGGACAATGGCAAGCTTTGCCAGCATGACGACGCAAATGTAGAGGATTTCAGTCGCATAAAACCAATGAAGGATTCTGCTAATGCTCGAAGCACTGTTGAACCACATGTCCCGACCTAGGCCCAGTCTTGCTTCTTGATGCAGACTGACGTCCAGAGGGATCAGCAAGACGAAGGCGAGGATGATGACATAGTCGTCCCAGTCGTAGCCGTTTCCATTGACACCTGGCCATCTTGAGACCAGGCGAAGGGCAACAAAGATGACAGTCAGAGCGAAGTAGGCCCAGGTCACACCAATCAGGTATGATTCTCCACTGCGGGTGGCTTCTTCATCGCTACAGCTGTCCGAGTGAAAGCGCTGTCCGGCAATGCGTTCTGTGCTCGTGGTGCATTGTGTCTGAAGGCAGGATGTGTATGCAGAAGTTAGCGAGCTGTCGTCGCAGAAGCAAGCATCTGTTGTCTGGCAGGTTGGCAGTGTGTCTATGCATCCTTGCTACATGCCAGGATTAGCGGTCAGTGAAGTATGGGATAGCAAGGGAGATGATGGATGCAACTTACCACACAGGAAGGTAGTGCTGATGTGTGTGTGGCTTGGCGACTGCGAAGGTCAAGTGCTGTGACGGCCGAGGGTGCAGTCAGCCTCCCCGCGAGCGCCGGCAACAACACCAGTATGCTCGGCGTGCACAACATGTCGACGTGTGCTTCAACGTTGGACGAGGTCGACAGCGCAGCGCAGCGACATGGGAGGGCGTTCCTGGCAGCGGCGGGAAGCGCTATATTTGATGCACATGCTTGATGGCATCTTCGATTTAGTTCGCATTGCGACTCATGCACAGCGCAGCGGGCACCGCACCGCACCGCACCAGCAGTTCGGCGGCTGGATTGGATCTGGTGGCATCGCATCGCATCAGATCAGCCTAGAATACGCAAAGCTACGCTGGCCGCCCACTCCACCCTTGGGCATGCGATGCGATGCGCTAGAATACTGTCACTCATCGCCCTCACCTCGTCTCACCCTTCACTCGAGCACGATGTGATGGCCGACCCTGCCAGACCGACGCCCGCGCCCGCGCCCGCGCCCGCGCCCGCGCCCGCGCTCTCGATGGCTGCAGCGCACTGGCGGCCAAAGTCTGGGGCCTGAATGTGGTTGGGTTGACGCCATGCCATCTGCACGCCGCTCTGACTCGCGGCGACGTGGCAGCTCAGCTCTAGACTGAGCCACTGCATCACTCTGCATGCCCCGGCTGAGCGCACGAATCAGGCCCCCGCAATGCCCGGTCGTGGTTGGATTGATGTTGCTTGCGTGAAAGCATATTTGTATGCAGCAGCAGAGGGAGGCAGGCAGGCGTGCGCTTTCCCTCGACCTGCATGTGGCCCTGAGTCGTGGAATATGCTTCGATGCGGGCGTCGTGCGGACCGTGGAGCGTCATCGGATAGATCTAGTGGCAGTCTTGATGATCAGGTACGCTACGGTACGTTATTGCTGGATCGGGACTCCCATTGAAGTGGTGGGTGAGTGAGCAGTCGCATGCAGCCTCATGTTGAACAGCATCCAAGCACGGTGGAGTGGAGAGCTTCGTACTGTAGTTCTACAGTAGAACAATAATAACGTTAAGATTGCGGAGGATGGCCGGCCGGCAGCAGCCTTCCGAGCGCCACCCATTTGCCATCATTTGCTTTGCATCCACGCCCAAGTCATGTCTGCACCCGATGCCAGTACCGCCTTTCGATCGCTCCATCATCCATCCGAGCCAGTTCCGCAGAATGACTCGCGAACCACGACCCTGCTGAGCCTGGAGAACTGCTGTACGCCACGCCCCACGCCCTTCCAACCACCTCTTCCTCGACTTCCTCCCGGTGACGACGACGAACCGTATGCGAACAGCTGGAGCGCATCAGACAAAACATGTGAAGGAGCCTGCCGAAGCTGCACACTCACCCACCTAGGAGTACAGTGTCGTGAATTGATCATGTTGCGCAAAGTAGTAGTCCGAGGAAAGATGTCATATGAAATCTCTCTCTCTCTCGCGCGCGCGTGCAAGCATGAACCCTTGGGGCGTGTCACGGAGAACTCTCTTTGGGGAAGCAACACGACCTCTGCAGAGTTTCATGTGGAAACCACCATCCTGAAGCCTCAACTCCAAAGCGTCACTGAAATAGCTGCCGTCATGTCGTTCCAAGAACTTCGTCATCACGACCCCACTTAACCTCGAGCCACGAGAAAGATCAAGACTCACTTCCAACCAGACCACCCTCGTCCCTTTCTTGCCCGTCGCTCAGCACAACCGTCATGACGTCCCGAATCTGGCTCGCAGACAACGCCGACTCCTCATCCTTCGCCAACAGTCGGGCCATCTTCATGACATTCTTAATCTGTCTGCCGTTGAGAGCCTCGGCAGCAAACGACCTCACATCGGAATCACTGACATCGGCACCCTTCAAGAAATTCCTCCAGATATTCTCCCGACACTTCTGATCCAGAGGTTGGAAGGGTAGTGTGAGATGGATTCTGGAGTGGAACGCCTCGTCAAACTTTACAATCCGGTTCGTGGTGAGGATGAGGATGCCCTTGTAGTACTCTAGGATTCGAAGAAAGGCTATCACAACATGTTACTACTCATCCCTCAGCATGAGCGGCTTGATCCCACTTACCAGCGACACGCTTGTTTCGCTCTCGAGCCCCCGCCGTATCGACACGCTTCTCCAAGAATGCATCTGCCTCGTCAAGCAGCAGTACGGCGTTCCATGAGGCAGCGAGTCGTTTCGTAGAAGAGTCTTGAGATAAGGACTTTTGATAGTGATGGAGTGTAGCTCAATCGGCTTGGATGAATCCTGAGATCGAGGTGCCTGCTTGTATCGGATCAGTAGCGCGTGCTCAGGACTTGGTGTAGAGCTGTTGAGATTTTCGGGCAGCTCGTCCAGCCAGCTGATACCACCCTTGTCATGTGGAACTCCATACAGATTTTTGGCCAGCTTAGCAGGAGCTGTCTGGCTTCGATCCAAGACATTCGCGTCGTCGCCGCTCATGATGGCGATGGATAAAATGCCGTGTAACACTCACAGCTTGCATCTGTTTCGCAACATATATTTACCGCGCGTGTTCTGTTGACGTAGTGCGGGTAGACGAGGGGTACATTTCGATCAGCATCCGAGGCGTATTTCTCTTCACCATCTAGATTTTTGAGGCTGTGATACTGTACATCCCGTGTCCCGTGAACCTGGAAACCATTGCTAGTATGCCTACTGCATTTGCAAAATGACGGCCCTAGGATCGAGTTCTGGTGCAGCCGACTGACAACAGGCTGGCCTTTGACTAAACAGCAAATCGTAGCAATTCTGAGGGCCAATGCCATAGGACTGTTGAAGGCGGATGACCGATGCGCTCATGATGATGTTTCTCGTGAGGTGGTGTGCTGAGGCAGGTTGGCGCCGAGGTGAGGTGAGGTGTTGTTTTGGAGCAGGGATGCTTCGGTTGAAGTTCGGCAGTCTAGAATAGTGCAGAAGGAGGTGAGCTCCAATCCGTTTCACATGCAAATTACATGTACTTTGCTCTGCATATCATGAGCGCATGCCAGCCTAGCCTCTATTCCACCTCTCCACGCTATCGACATGTCCTCACCACACCGGCGCAGCGTCTCTCGGGGCCGCTCTCGCACACCGGCACGCCCAGCCGCGGCGACCAGCGACAACGCGCGACGATCTAACTCCCGCTCGAACAGCAGAGACCACGCCAATGGAACGCGCGACAGTCGATCACGCAGCAGAGGCAGGAGCCATAGCCGGTCAAGATCGCGTGGCAGATCACGGAGCATATCGCGCAGCAGAAGCAGAAGCGGGTCAGGAAGTCGCGGCGATCAGCCAAGGAGTGCAAAGATTGTCATTGAGAAGCTCACCAAGAACGTAAACGCCACTCATCTGCGAGAGATCTTTAGCACGTATGGCGCTATACAAGAGCTGGAGATGCCGATGAACAAGCACTTCATGACTAACCGGGGCATCGCCTACGTGTTGTACAGTCAGGCTAGCTATGCAGAGGCAGCAATCGCGAACATGCACGAGGCACAACTCGATGGCGCTCTGATCAGCGTGAGCATAGTCTTGCCCAGGCGCCGATTCAGTAGAAGCCCGCCACCAATGCGGCCTCCACCGAATCGCTTCGGCGAGCCACATCGACATCGAGATGGTCCACCGCCGCTTCCTTCAATGAGAGGCAGGGGTGGTAGATGGGGGGGTAGTCCCGCTCCGCCAAGCAGGTATGGTCCACCTCCGAGGGGTGGGGGAGGAGGAGGAGGCTACCGAGATCGCTACGACGACCGAGATAGCTATCGCCCACGAAGCTACTCGCGCAGTCGCTCACCACCAATGAGGAGACGAAGTCCTTCATATTCTGGCAGGAGCAGGAGTCCCAGCCGGTCCCCTCCCGTGCGAGGGAGAGGTCCGCCCAGAGGTGGTGGAGGTGGCGGTAGAAGGCGGAGAAGTTACAGCTATTCCAGCTACAGCAGCCGGAGTCGCAGCAGAAGCAGAGATCGTGGTGGCAGAGGCCGGCGTTGAACGGAAAGATAGGAGAATTCATTCACGCGGCGCCTGCGGGAAGCAGACAGTGATCGTGTACGAAATGTTCGAAAGCACTGCGCGACACTCAAGCACCGGACAACGCAGCATCCAGCGAGAGCTTGCGGCCCAATTGGCACTTGCAATGGCATCAGAGTCAAGACTGGTGCGTGGATCCTGCTGTGCAAAATTGAACCACTGCATGCTTGTAATGAAGCTACATGTCAAATGGGCCTCATACTTTCGCCGCCGTCAATAAGTCCTGACTGTGCGCCAGAAATCGGAGGAGCGAGCGTGCTAAGCCAAACTCACAAACCGCGTTGAGAGCGCTGTGAACATGCAGCCTCATGAAAAGGCCTTTAAGAATGTCCCTACCGCCAGCATCAGTCACAGAGATGGAATGCGAACTCGGGGAGTGCGCAGGCTTCATTCAACGAAGTTGCATCCACTGATCAGAGGCCTGAGGGAACTGATGGCGTCTTGAGCCAATCCACTCGATGGCAAGGGTAGCCACATCCATAGCAAGCATGCTCTGGACCAGTCTACAGAGCACAAGACCAATCAAATCATAATTCATTCATGGTATCAGGAACAATCACGCCAACTTCCACCTTAACCTCTCCACACTAACCTTCTCACCCTTCTCACTCCTCCTCACGCAGTTCTCCTCTCCAATAAGCTCCCACTCACCCTCATCAATCCCCAACCCACTCCTCAAACCCCCTCCCTGCGCCTTCCCGCCCACACCCACAACCTCAAGCGTCAAATCCCTCACTCCCGCATCCAAAGCCTGCCTCAACATCTGCCCCCCAACCCCCTTCTCCAACGCCAAATCCCCCAAATCCCCCAAAATCTCCACAACCAACCTCTTCGCCCAACACCCCCTCGCCACCGCAAAAGTATTAAAAAACCTCCTCTCCCTCAACCAACCCGCATTACTCCTCACCCTCACACCCTTGATAAGCTTCCGATTCTCCCCCGTCAAACGTTTCAGAAAACCATCAAGTGCCACAAGCGTCGCGACAGTTTTTTCCGCGGACAAGTGCATGGATTGATGGTTCGCGGTGTCCCGGTCAGGATAGAAGAGGTCGAACGTGGGTTCCGCTTGTTCGAGCGCGAGGTGTGAGGCTTCGGAGTAGATTCTTCGACAACTGAGGAGGAGGGAGGTATAACATCTTGGCTCCCTGTGTTCGCTTTTTGGGTCGGGTGGAGCTAGAGCATAGCTCCAAATCAAAACCCGAATCTCGCCCGGCAGTGTGGCGAACAGGGTCGATTGTTCTTGGGTATGGTAATTTGAAGAAATTTGGATGGGAGTTGCGTGTTCCGCGGTAAGGGTGCTGATGGTCGTGAGTCTGGAGTCTTTGGTTTGAGGACGGATGGAAGATTCCCGTTTGGAAGTTGATTTGGACGCAGATCTTCTTTCTTTGCGTCGTTTCCGCCATTCTTTGGCTTTGTGGAGCAATTTTTGCATTTTGATTTGGTCTTTCATGGCACCGACACCCCTTATGCGCGAGTCAGGTCAAGGAGTATAGGTTGCTGCGAGGTCAGTTTGGTATGGCTGCTGGCGGGATGTTATGGGCGTATTTCGGTGACACCACTAGGACGTTGTCGTATTACGTGGCGCGGTCTGAGGTTGTGTGAGAGATGTCTCTCGGAGTAAACGTCGGTGGTTTCATCAGGGCTGAAGTCAAACTCTCGCCTGCATAATACCACCACCATTCCCGTGACTTGAATGCAGGAATGCCCGAGGCAGTCCTCAGCAGACTGGGCAATGAATGCGCCATGTATGTCAGAAAGACTATTCGCTGTCGAAATGATGCAAGTAGTGAAAGTGGTCTATGTAGTCGTGAGGACTCCCCTTCATTGGAGCTACTATGCTACCATGCCCCCCGTATGCAAGTTCGCTTCCTCCACCGCTCATGGGATTCAGCATAGACAAAAATTGGAACCAAAACGCCATAGGCCGAGTTTTCTTTTGCGGCACGTTCATCGGTCACATATGCACACGGTTTCCTCACGAATCTCACCATCTTCGCAGACAGTGTTGTCGTCTTCCTCTATGCTCGTGATTCTACGCCCGAACTTGCGCTCTCTCTCACCTAGTAGCCGACCTTGACGAGGTAGTCGCCAAGCTGCTCAACAGTGTTGGCAGCAGTACCAGGCTGGACAGTCTCTGGGTAGTGTGTGACGAGGATAGCCTGTGTGGTCTTGACGATAACGACGCCTTCCCGACCCTATGATAACCAGAGTTAGCAGTGTTCTTGGTCATGATATACCGAAGGCCATCCCTTTCCGCCTGCTCGAGGAGGTATCACTCACCTTCTTTCCGTATATACTTCTGTCATCAGCCTTCAGCACGACGAAGCGCTCTCCTGCAACGTGGAGACCAGTGCTCTGAACCTGCTTGACGCCGTCTGTGCCCTTGTCTTTGTATGCCGCAACGATCTCTTGCATCTCTTGAGGTGAGACCTGGAAGCCAGCACTCGTCGCCCACACGCTGTTGCCCTCGCTGTTGAAGATAGCCGCCTTGTCCACATTGCCAGTGCCGACGAGGCTGGAAATAAGAGTCAGTCATGATTGGGTTATCGCAGCGCTCGACAGCCTGGCGGAGGGAGATGGTTTGGTCGGAGTGCATTACCTGGTATCAACATAGGCTGTTCAATATTCAGTCAGCGTTTGCCATTGCAGCAGTGCTCGAGCACGAGCGGGATGTGCTCCAGCTCCTGCGCGGTGAGGCGGTTGGCATCAGACTGACCTTGCCAAGACATCTTTGCGGAGCTGTACGGTGTTGTGTGAGTGTGTCGGATCAAGTCTCTAGTTGCGGGAACGCGATCAGAGTTGAGTCGCACAGAGAGTATTAGGCAGATGGACAGTCGTGATCACTCTCTGAGATGTGCCTGGGTTGTTTTCTGGCTCGGACCCTTGCCCCACTTCGTACGTGACGTACTAGGTAAATAGACCTTTCACTCATTAATGTCTACCACGTTTTTGGCATCTGTTAGCGATGCCTCTATATCGGTTGAGAACATACTTCTGGCGTGAACATCGTCTGATTCGGGTGCTCGCGCTGTCAATTGTCGTTTCTTTTCCACTGCCTCTCGAATCCTTCTCCACGAACATCTGATTGCCTATACAATTGGAAATGAGTACAGCCAAGACTTGCCTTATCACAGGAGCTGGTCGAGGAATCGGCAGGGGTCTAAGCAGGCTCCTCCTGGAGAACGGCCACCGCGTCTTCCTTGTAGACAACAACCAAGAAGAATTAAACCATATCGCCGCCACCCTAGCCAAGACGTACGAGCAGGGCAAAGATTTCAGTCCGTTCTTCTGCAATTTGAGAAAGCCAGACGAGATCAAAAGTGTCGTGGCGAGCGTCAAAGCTCTGTGCAAAGGTCACTTGGATGTACTCATCAACAATGCCGCCAACACAGCAGCCGTAGGAGCTGCCCATCTCTCAGATCTAACGCTTGAAGAATGGAACACCTCGATAGAAACAAATTTGACTGCTCCAATGCTGCTCAGTCAAGGATGTCTTCCTATGCTGCAAAAGTCTTCGACGAGATCACAAGCCGGCTGTATCATACACATGTCTTCGACCAGAGCGTATCAGAGCGAGCCAAACAATGAACCATACTCTGCGACCAAGGCCGGAATTCTTGGACTAACGCAATCCATGGCCGTGAGTCTCGCTCCTCAAGGCGTTCGCGTCAACGCGATATTACCTGGCTGGATCAATGTCACGAATGAGTCCAAGGCAGCGGATGAGAGCGGGCAGACGTGGGAGGACGGCCTGAGTAAGGAGGACCATCAATGGCATTTGACCGGCCGCGTTGGCCGAGTAGAAGATATTCTGAAAGCGGTCGAATATCTTGTGGACAATGATGGGGTATCTGGATCAGAGCTTGTTGTGGATGGCGGCGTCACTAGGAAGATGGTCTATCCGGAAGAATGAGCGATGGTGGCGATCGTATTGTGAACATGCGAGCATCTGGCCGCTGAGCTGGCGTTAAGGGATTTCGACAAAACGTTCGAGTAAGCTCCTGAGCCATTCCGAATTATCAAAGAATTCACCTATCTTCCAAGTTGCTTTCTTCGAGAAGCCTGGAGGCTATGCGCCAGGAGACCATGCCAAAAATGCAGTCATTTGCTGGCAAAGTGTTGGCCGGTGCCTGAAGCTTATGTGGTGTTCTAGGTGCCAGTGCGACAGTGGTGGTGAGTCGGCGACGGAGCTGATCTGGCAAAGCCGGTGCAAAAAGAAGTCCCGCGTGCGTGGTTCGAACGCAAGGCCATCTGTGTGAAGCTGCAGCACGGTATCTATCAAAGCAAAACAAGAGCAAAAAAAAAGTTGAATAGGTGTCACAGAGCGTATCTATCGTTTAGAATCCTGACCCCACGCTACGCAAGTGCTAGGTGAATACGCCTGATGTGTTGCGGCAATGCGGTGGAACTTCTTTGCGTTTATATCTCCAAGATACATATTGTGAGTCAGCTTGGCAACGGTGATGCATATGAAAAGCTTGGCGCTCCGCGTCCCCGGCAGCTATACTGTGCGTAACCACGAGCTTCCTGCACACATCATTGCAATGATACAATGCGCAATGACGCTTCACATAACTCCCATGGTCAGTGTAGCTCGATATGGCACGATTGTGCTGTATGACCATGGCCGACAACTGTGTCTGTTCAATTTCCAGACCGTTGGATAAATGAGCAAATTTAAATGACTTGCTTTTGTGGTTATGCTTCCTTGTCCTTTTCATCTATACATCATGCCCCTCCTATCTTCGTAGCCGGCGGAATCTAATAAATGAAGACTCTATATCTATGCGCGGCTTTTATGAATCCTCACATTACATCCCTTATTTCCACCCAGCAATCGCCTCGTCAATCGCCTTGCGATGCTCACGCTGCTCCTCGCACTGCTTCAAGAAGATCTTATATTTCGCAGCCAAGAGCTTCCTCTCGCCCTCATTCTTGTTCGGGTACACCGCCTTACCCGACTTGGACATTCTGTCCATGATATCCCACAGCGGCTCGCTCTTGCCATCCTTGTCGGTGGATGCTGCCTTGGCACCAAGCATGGCTGCACCATGCACCACGGCGGCGTGAACGTATCGAGGGATCAGGACTGGCATGTCACATGCGGTTGCGATCAAGCTCATCAGGATCGGGTTCTGGCACTGTGATCCAGACATGAAGATGCTGCTAATGACGTGACCGGCCTTGTTCATTTGCTCGATGATTTGGTATGTCTGGAGGGCGATGAACTCCATGGTGCCGTAGTAGTACAGTGCAAGTCCGTCTAAGCTCTTGTCGCTGGACAGTCCGATGATTGAGCCCTTCATATCTGGGTCGGCGACTGGTGAGCGATTTCCGAAAAGGTCTCCGTAGAAGAAGAAGTGGCGTCCAAGGTAGGAGACTTCTGAGGCGCCGACCTTGTCCTTCATCTCGTTCAAGTGCTCGTTCAGGTAGTCGTAGATGTTTGCGTTGAACGTTTCAGCGATGGACATGGCTTCTTGGAAGGCAGGATGCGTCTCCACAACGTGCTTCAAGAGCTCGCCAGTAGCGGACTGGCCACCCTCAGCTAGCCAGTAATCTGGGATCAGAACGTCGCGGTACGGGCCCCAAACACCATTCACGAAGACCGGCTTCGGTGACATGGCCAAGTGGCAAGTCGAGGTTCCAGCGACCGCTGCGAGACGAGTGAAAGCTTGCGAGACATCGTTCTTGGGCTTGTCTGCGTCGATGGATTCGCCTTCGAGACGGACCTTAGCCCCCACGGTGCCAATCCAGCCGGCATAGGCGTCAATGACACCGCTTCCTACAGCAATGCCAGCTGGAAGGCCCATATCGGCACCAGCCTTCTCGGACAGAGTGCCAATGAGCTCACCGGCGGCCAGGTATCGGCCATTCTAAGAGTCGTCAGCAATGACTCTCATGCTACAAGCTCACTGGAAGGTAGTACCACCCCATTAACGCCTCCCATACGCTTGAAGTTGTCCTCGCACAGATCTTTGAGGCCGATCTCGGTGAGGAAGTCTTCCTGCCATCCCTTGACACTGCCATCCACACCGACTGGCACATATCCTTGCTTACACACGACTGAGCAGAAACTTCTCGTGTCGCTGCCCGTAGCCATGTGGGTCAGAGCGTCGGCGAGATCGTAGAATTTGCACTTGTCGAACAGCTCCTTTGGCATGTTGTTCTTGAGCCAGAGAACCTTGGGGATCTCCATCTCAATGCTCATCTGTCCACCCACATATCTCAGCAAGTTGTGGTTGGTTGCGTTGATCTTCTTCGTCTCTTCTACTGGACGGTGGTCGAGCCATAGAATGACATTCCGATCATTGCCGTCGGCATTGTCAAACTTTGGTCCAGTGACTGGCACAGGCTCGTCAGTCTCAGCGTTGAAAACAGTGAGCGAGCAAGTAGCGTCAAAGCCAATGCCGCGGATGCTGTTGGGATCGACGTTGTGCTGGGACATGGCTCGCTGGATTGAGGAGCAAATGCATCGCCAGATGTTCGTGGTTGATTGTTCCTGAGGGTTATGTCAATTACTTCAATTGCCAATATTTGTGATGCTCTCGACTTACGTAGTATCCGGTCTCTGGCTGCCATAGACCAATGTTCTCGCTGGCCAGTCCTACAATGTCGCCTTTCTCGTTCATGATACATGCTCGAGCGCTTCCAGTACCGACATCGATACCAATGTAGTGGTTGACTTCTGGGCGAAGCTCATTGTGCGGATCAACGGACAGCTGCCTCGAGGGCTGACGCGAAGGGTTGCGGTATGGCAGCGAGCCTGAGGATGACATCGTGGTAGGCTGTGTTCCTCAAAGAGATGATTGATTTCGGGTTCTTGCGGTGAACTGAGGAAGTGTTCTGTTTTCCGAGCGGTCTGTCTGGTGACAAGGCCAGTTAGTATGGGGCGGGGGGAAATGTGTGAGTCGCGTGAAGGGAAAGGATGAGTTGAAGTCACTCCGCCAATGCTCAGCTCACCACGATGCAAAATATCGATATGTGAGCCAGGACCCTGTCTCTCTCGCTGCACCTTATCAACCCTTCGTGGAGCACGGTGAAGCTACATCATACTGCGGAGCCTCTTCTCCATTCGCGGGGACTTCGGGGGCACATGGTCAGCATGAGGCGGAGACATTGCATAAGCCTGCTGCTCCACTGCTCGAAGAGGAAAAGCAGGCACCAGGCAGCGTAGCCTTCTTCCAGTACATAGTCCATGTAGCGGACCTGCAGGTGGTTGTTGTGGTGGCCGTGGTGATCTTTCGGAGAAACAACTGACTCCCGGAAGGATCCGCTACAACACACAGCAGTCCAGCAGTCCCACACACTCGACCACAGCAAAGGCCTGTTTGAAGCATACCCCATTTTCGCTGTGTAACATGCGCGCCTCGAGCATAGTCAGCATCGCGCTGGCCTTCATTGTCGCTCTAGCAGCAGCCGTCGAGTCCCAGCGCAGCACCGACATCTTCGCTTGGCCATTGTCCGCATCGACACCTACGAAGCTGACGACTGTCTCCTACATCTCAACGAATGCGACGCTGAAAGGCTACGACTTTCCAAAAATCCCCGATGACGAAGAGATTGTCCGAATCGGCTTCTACCATAAGTCTGGCAAATGGTCAGGCATTGCGACTTCGGCCAAGAACTTTGCAATCGTCAACCCAATGAGACTGCTGTTGCACGTCAGAGAAGATGGAGAGCTATATCATGTTGGATTCAAGGCAAATGACCCTGTCACTCGAACAGAAGGAAAGTCAGACACTTCGGACTGGTTGAATGTGGAAGTGGTCAAGATTCGTCCTGGACCACTGCCATTGTTGAACAAGCCAGTTGTCGTTACTGCGGATGGACAGGTAGAGGGCAAGGAGCCTGAAAAGACATTTTTGCAGAAGTGAGTTGCTCAAGCACTAGAACCCGCGGCAAAGTACTGATACAAACTACAGATACTGGTGGGCAATTGGTCTCTTCCTGCTCGTGCAAATGGTCATGGGCGGCGGCAAAGGAGAGTAATTGCAGATCTTCAACAGGACTGTATGTTGATCAGCTCATATTTGAGATATCTGGCCGCTCTGCATTTGGACGTGGAGAGCTCCACTAGGAACACATGCGGTAAAGAGCTGTTGCGCCAAGAAGCCCCGTATTAGGCACTTTGGAGTACGCCTCGGACCAAGAATCCCTTCACGAATCTGGAGCGTCATATTGCTGGCAGAATATAAGGTGCGACTTCGCTATGTCACACTGCTGGTGAGCCCAGAGCTCGATATACAGTGCTATCGGAGGACAGCCGAACGCAGCCCGCGTGGTTCTTAGCACGACCGCGTAGAGAACTTGCCAGGATCGCATCCATCCCGAATGCTGAACCTCCATCAAGTTCTCGCCACACTTCATCTCTTTCCATTTCGCCGACTTCGCTGCTTGTAATATGTGACACTCAGACTTCGCAGGCGATTGGGTGCGCCCTAAAATATGTTCCAACGAACTCAAAACGCCTGCTCACGTCTTCTGCCAACCGGTGCAAAAAGGCACTCTGCCAGCATAGCACCAGGAATGAGAGTAGCAGTCCTGCATCAGGCCATTGAACCGCCATTGATCAATGGAGTACGGAAACCCATGAAGCCTGGAGGTTCGTCTTCAAATAATCACATACATGAAAGGCCTCATTTGATCAACGTCATTAGGCTATCAGGACTCTGGAGCAGACATAGCATACAACCTCAGTAAATTCTGCGAGATTCCAATCGCCACACCTCTTCCTGAAGTGATCCTTGATCCTCGAAAACATGAAGGCTGGACCTTTCCAGACTTTGAAGAAAGTCTAGTCTCTGCTGTCGAAAAGCACGGTGCCTCTCATTTCTGGCCCAACACAATCGTGTTCGAGCAGCATCCTCTCCAAACATCTGCCATACTCAGCAAATACGCCAACGATTTGAAAGTTGTCGGTCAAGCAATGAAGCACGTCCAGCTGTACGACGACAAGGACTATGTCAACTCTCTGTTGCGAAAAGTTGGCACCTTTACAATGCCCAAGTCTTTCGTCGCACCGAATAGCATCGACATCCAATTCCAGCTCAGAAAGCACGATCTGACCCTCCCAGTCGTCGCCAAACCAATCCGCGGTCGAGGTTCCCAAGGCGTAAAAGTCTGTAAAGCAATCCCAGACCTAGCATCCCACATCGACTCTCTCGGCCCCAACAACGCCATGCTCGAAGAATTCCTCCCAGGCACCGAAGCCACAATAACAGTAATGCCACCAAGTAAACAAATCCCCGAATACTGGGCTCTCCCAGTGGTCGTGCGTTTCAACCATCAAGACGGCATCGCACCATACAATGGAGTGGTCGCAGTTACTTCCAACTCCAGTGTGGTCCCAGAACACGAGGCGGCAAAAGATCCTGCATACGCCCAGGTTCAGAGGGAATGTGAGGCTGTGGCACGACTGTTGCAGGTGAAAGCTCCTATTAGGATTGATGTGAGGAAGGCGGAGGAGAAAGTTGGAGCGCCGTTTTGTCTTTTTGATGTTAATATGAAACCTAATATGACTGCGCCCGGAAGGCCTGGGAGGGAGGATCAGGCTAGTTTGACGTTGCTTGCTGCGGAGGGCTTAGGGTGGAAAGGGCCGGATTTGATTAGGAGGATTTTGGAGACGGCGAATACGTTGAAGGAGTTGAGGGAGGCCGAGTTGCCTCATGTTTGAAGCGACGCTCTTGGGTTTGAACAGAAGTGATCGGTTCGACTTAGAAAATCGCCGAAGCGAAGAGATTTGAAGGTGAAGGGTAGAATTTGACTGAGAACTTCGACCAGGTTGGGATAGGCTCTCATCCACATTGCGTTGAATTTATGCGACTACACAAGCACAAATGGAGACCAGGTGTTTTAAGACCGTTCCCCGCGATAGCGTCACACTCAGCAGCAAATGCTCCAGAGAAGAAATCTCCCTTTTCTCATCATAATTCCATGCACCATTTCCACCATGTCGCGTGCATTCGCAAATAGTAGGCAAAGCACTCACAGACGGCGACCACGGCGTCCACCCTTCCTCCTCGTGGAGTCGGATGGGGTTGGGGTAACGTCCTCGATACGACCGATCTTCATGCCGGAACGGGCGAGGGCGCGGAGAGCGGACTGGGCACCTGGACCTGGGGTCTTGGTGCCGTTACCTGGGAGAAGACGCGATTAGAAATTATTCTGAGCATTTGAAACGTTGAGAGTGATCACTTACCACCAGTAGCCCGGATCTTGACGTGCAGAGCAGTGATACCCAACTCCTTGCAGCGGGCAGCAACGTCCTGAGCAGCCAACATGGCAGCGTACGGCGAGGACTCGTCACGGTCGGCCTTGACCTTCATGCCGCCGGTGACACGGGAGATGGTTTCGCGGCCACTGGAATCACCCAGGTTAGCCTATAAACCACGTTTTCGTAATGTATGCAAATTTGTTCCATCCCCAGAATCCCAACTTTTCTCACAGGCGTTTCCGCGCTTGTTCTGTTGCGGGTTGGATTGGTTCAAACGTACGAGAGATCGGTGACATGGACGAAGGTGTCGTTGAAGGAAGCGAAGATGCGTGCAACGCCGAAAACGAGCTCGCCTGGTATGAGAAAATGTTAGTTTGTTTGAGTCGCATGGCGGTGTTGCACTGTTGACTGACCCTCGCGGACCTGTGGGCCGAGCTGGACGTTCTCCTGCTGGCGGACTACGTTCTTCTTTGGGGGCATTTTGTCGGTTGTGCTGTGTGTCGTCGCAAGTCTTGTCCTTGACGCTGAAGAAGAGAAGTTCGAATGATGAAGCCGTCGAATCTCTGAATTGAGTGTGGGCGCGCTGCTCGGCGAGAAGTTTCTCCATACTCCGCGCCAAGCTGTCCGAGCGCCGCTAACAATTTCTCTTCGCGTTGGCTTTCTCTTCGACTTCTCTCCACCATCATCATCATCACCGTGTGCCCTTTTCTCGCTACAGTGCCAAAGCACGCGACATTCAGCTGCATGCGTGTCATCGAGCCATGACCGCCGTCGTTACTGCTTCTTCTTGTGGTTGATTCTGGACTGACCGCCAGGATGGGCGACGCAGTGGTGGGAATTATTGGTATGGGCGACATGGGCAAGATGTACGCCAGGAGGATCGCAGATGCTGGCTGGAAGTGAGTGCAGCTCGAGACCTGCCCGCTAGAGCGTGTCTTATGTGTGGTAAGCCCTTCCTCAACAGCTCCCTCCCGCCACCCCTGCAATGATGACTTGAGTGCATTTGGATTGAGCATGGCTTTCGGGCACCACTTGCTACGTTATGTGGCTTGTGACCTGATTGCCGTCACTGAATAAAACTCTCAGCTACCTATCTTATTTTGTCTGAACGCAATACCTATCACCCACAAACTATCCATCTCGCTTTTGGCAAAGCAACACAAGCTAACAGCGCGCAGATTTTGCCATGCAGACATACTGATACGACCAGAGTACATGCTTGCGATGTTCCTGACAAGTTCGATGCCCTCAAGGCCGAGTTCGACAGCAGAGTATGCATCGCTAGATAGTCCTTTAGATAGCCCTCGCTGAAGCCTCTTCAGAAAAATGTCACCATTTTCGAGAATGGCCACCAGGTCTCACGCAGTAGTGACTGGATCATGTATGCTGTGGAAGCCAAGAACATGGACGCCGTGGTCGCGCGCTACGGGCCAAGCACTAAACTGGGCGCCATTGTTGGTGGGCAGACGTCAACCAAAGCACCAGAGATCGCTGCCTTTGAAAAGCATTTGCCAGCGGATGTCGAAATTGTGTCCTGCCATTCCATGCATGGTCCTGGTATCCACCCAAAAGGTCAACCATTGGTAATTATCAGACACCGCGCTACCGACCAGTCCCTACAGCTAGTTGAGAGTATTCTTTCCTGCTTCGAGTCGAGAGTGGTTCCACTATCTGCAGAAACACATGATAGAATCACTGCTGACACGCAAGCCGTCACTCATCTCGCCTTCCTCTCGATGGGAACAGCATGGCAAGCGAACAACCAGTTCCCATGGGAGATTCCAAGATACATTGGTGGCATAGAAAATGTCAAAATCAATCTCATGATGCGGATTTACAACAACAAATGGCACGTGTATGCTGGACTTGCCATCCTCAATCCAGCAGCCAAAGCTCAGATCCGACAGTATGCTGAGAGCGTTACTGAGTTGTACAAACTCATGCTTGCTGGCAACAGACAAGAACTCGCCGACAGAATCTATGCAGGTCAGCGCGCTATCTTTGGCGAGAGGAGAAAAGAAGACGAAGATCTGCTTCTGCAAGACGAGCTTCTTGACAGATTCAGTCTTGGCGAGAAGCCAGCAAAGCCAGTCCGGAACAACCATTTGAGTATCTTGGCCATCGTTGACTGTTGGTGGAAGTTGGGCATCAGACCTTACGACCATATGATATGCTCAACACCAGTGAGTAGAATCCAACAACACATTAACACGACCACACTAACAATCACAGCTCTTCCGTCTCTGGCTCGGTATCACCGAGTACGTCTATCGCAACGATGCCCTGCTCGCCGAATGCATTGACACCGCCATCGAGGATACATCATTCCGCGCTGACGACCTGGAGTTCACGTTCGCCGCTCGTGACTGGAGTGAAAGAGTTTCACTTGGACATATGGATGGCTACCGAGAGAAGTTCGAGAAGATTCAGGGTTACTTTAGACCCAGATTCAAGGAAGCGGGAGAGCTTGGAAACCAGATGATCAAGACTATTGAGGAGAATTTGAATTCGAGAAAAGCAGGAAAGGCTGCTTCTTGAAGTGCTGAGGGGCATTGCTTACGATTAATTGCAGCATTTTCTTCAAGGTCATTGTCACGATCCACCTTTCAAAATGTATGGAGTGCGACGGTCTTGGAGGCTCGATAATGAGCAAGACATACAAGGATGCTCAGTACACTCAATGAGTCCATCAATCGGAAGTCAACCTTTGCATCTACAGGATTCATATCTGCTCATACGCTATCGATACCCACGTTGAAACATACCGTTTCAGAAGTGACATCTCGGTGTCGCCAAGGTCTTGCATTGTGCCTTGCTTGCTTCAGACGACTTGGCTCGCTCCTTTCTCCCCAAACGACTCGGCCAGAGTCTCCTCCAGGCGCGGTACGGGTAAGAGGAATGTACGTAATATAACAGTGACGTTGACTGTTAAGCAGCTACATGTAGATGTTCATCAAAACACGCCCATGCTCAACAACACTGTTCACACCTTCTAGGATTGTCGAAAGCATATCGCTCCAGAAGCCGTCACTATGACATCGACTAGCATAGTAGCACTGCTTCTCGTATTGACAGCAACGACATTGGCACAAAGCACAGTCTTCGTCACGCCAGTACCCGTCTCTGAAACATCAGATGGACCGACATCAACCCTCGACTCCAGCTCCGCAACCTCTTCATCATGCACGATCTGCGCAGACTACGTCAACGATTGCGGAATAGAATACGGAGGCTGTTTCGAAGCATGTTCTGGCGAACCCTGGCCTTCTTTCACTCCACCACCATGTCCTACGAACAGCACCACCACACCCAGCAGCATTGGCTATCCAGACACATCAACGGTAACCACTTCAAATACAGCCAGCACGATTACCTCCGCTCCCGTCTACCTCTCCCCATACGGCAGTAACTCGACCTGCGACAAAGTCATCTGCGTCGACTACATCAACACCTGCGACATCAAATACGGAGGCTGTTTCCCAGTATGTTCCGGACACACGACACCAAGTTTCACGAACCCTGGTTGTCCTTCCGGAGCTTTTAGATCGAGTTTCTCGAAATCTGTGATTAGAACCACGAGGACGAATTCTTGTGGGTATAATTGTGATTATAGGATTGATGATTGTGGGAATACTTATGGGCCGGGTTGTTATACTTCTTGTCCCGGGGCGGACGTGCCTGCGTATACGGTTCCGGTTTGTGAAACTACGACGAGTATGACTGCTTCAGCGGAGACGACGGATTTGAATGCGGCTGTGGCGACAGGTACGGGGCCTACTCCGACGCCTGTGGGAGATACGACGGGAGATATTGACGGACCGGCGAGATTGGCTGTTACTGCAGCGTGAGGCCGAATGGAAGCTATTGAAGAAGACAATCAGCACATAGACGCTACAAGCGTCAGGAGAATAGAATTTTGGAATCAAGTGCGTCTGCCGTACCATACCAATTCATACCCAGTCCACAGCGACTTTCGCCCTATCAAAATCATGTTCTCCAAGAACACCCATCGTTATGACTAGCAGCATCCGCTCTCGCTTTCTTCCTTTCCAGCCCAAGCCACCATGCAAGCTCGTCCATTGAACAATTGTCCAGGAGATGCAATATACTTTGAGGGAAGTTCACGAAGTTGAAACTTCACGAGTACGAAGCCCAAGGGCTTGGCACTGAACAGGGGAAGGGGAAGAGGCGAAGTCCTCCGCAACATTCATCCAGGTTGGACTTGCGTTGATATCTCTGCGTCGACGATGAACGCTTTATTACGAACAACGCCGTGGTCAATAGGCCTCGTCGCACTCATGATACTAAGCAGAGACTTGAAAAGACACTCGTCACTGCAGCTATGACTGCATACTACCTCCTTCTCAGGCTCTTCTTGTAGACATTACCCACCTTCCATCTGTCGTGACTACCTTCCACCTTCCACCTTCCACCTTCTACCTTCTACCTTCTACCTTCTACCTTCCACCTTCCACCTTCTACCTTCTATCCCATTCTTAGCGTCGATCGGATCTCGGTTCTTCTCGATATAGTATAGTGCTAGTAGAGATGTCTTCGTAGAAGAGCCTAAGGACAAATGTCGCAAAGCGGGCTGTTCGAGCGTTATATATATATAGAATAGGTTGAATAGCACAACAACTACCTAAATGCGGGCTTAGTATATATAAGGATATACCTACGTCTATACACGAAGACATTAAGTTATCTATTTGTATATAAATCTAGTAAAAGCTATAGAAATAATAATTAGAAAACACTACTTCTTAAAAAACGCTATACAAACAGCGTCCGGATTGCCTCTATAGCGATACTAACAACTACCGTTTATAATAAAGGAGAGATGCGCGGACCCTTAGAATTAGCCGCTCTCTAACCTCTAAGTATTTGCTAGGCGTAAAAGTGTCGCGTTATTAGGTCCTAAGGCCTATTAGGTAGACTAGGCTAAAACGCGGCTGTTTTTAGTCTATACGCTTTACTAGATACGTGCAACTTCGCGCAACTTCGTATATACTTATCTAATACCTCCGTTACTATTTCTAGTATTATATATATATATCTAATATCCTCGACACTCCTATAAAGCTCCGTATAGCGCAACTGTAGATCGCTATATAATATAGATACCGACGAAGTTATCGAGGCTCCTTAGTAGGCTTACCTCGCTACTAGGGATAGTAACCCTATTATATATTAAGATCTAGACGAGCCTATCGTTACTAACCGCTTCGAGGGCTATATCCGCTTCTAAGAGCACCGCCGCTAGCGCTAGGCTAAGCGCTAGGCTAAAGGCTAGACTCTCTAGCGTATAGTCCGTAGATAGCGTATATACCGCTACTAATCTATACGTACTGCTACTCGTTAAGGACCGCCGCGCGATATAGGACCGTTAATAGAATTAGAATAGGAAGAGGTAGAAGCTTTCGAAGAAGGCAAGACTTATATTTACTATAATATAGTAGACTTGCCTATTCCTCGAATCGCTACGCCGGATCTAGTTATCTTCGGAGACGGCGGCTTCCTTCGTACCTAGGCTCTAGATTGTATACTAGCTAACTTAAATACTAAACAAGAGCCGCCGTATTAGTAGCCTAAGCCTAGATTTACTATATATCTACGCTAGCCTCTAGTACCGGATCTAGAGTTACTAGTACCTTACATTGCCGTACTAGATCTAGTCTACTTCGTAGGAGGGAGCTTCCTTCGTAGGCCCGAGAAGGGTCGTAACAAGCAGAAGGCTAACTAGAAAGGCTAGTCTATTAATCTAGTAGGCCGGAAGTTTAATAATCCCTAGCAATAGTAGAAGAAGTAATAGTAGAAGAAGCAATAGTAGAAGCAAGGCGCACAAAACTAGACTATACTAATTCTGCTATCTCGCAAAGCCTATACTCGCTAGAAGCCAAATTGGTCGTCGGCTAAGCTAGCGCTTCTAGATATAGCGCAGTAGAAGACAGCATACTTCTAGAAAGCCGCTAAGGATATAAAATAGTATATACTCGAAGAGATTTAGATATTAGTATAGGATGCTAGCCTAGAACGAGAGGCAATGCCTTTCTAGCGGAACATTATTAAGAATAGCCTATAGTAGGTGTTAGATACCTTTTATCCTAGTAAGGGATATAGCCTATTAGACCTATAGTGCGAGGTGCTTTATAACGTCGTCTTCGTAGATATAGATATTATAATAATCGAGAAGACTAGCGGTAGTAAGAGTCTTATATACTAGGCGTACACAATACTAACTAGTCGTATTAATATCTAGATTATCCCTCTAAATCGCCTAGGTAAAGAGTAGAAGGCCGATATTAACTAGATAATACGGGCGCTAAACTAGTAGGGCGTAGTTACCGAATATAACAATGTCGAGCTCGTACGTTGCTATATAATCTCTATAGAGACTAAGCGTAAGGATCTAAAGATATACGATAATATCGTAGCTAGTAACTACTACTATATCTTCTATAGTCTAGAGTAAGCGTCTACGCCGGAACTACGAGAGGTCTTTAAGAAGATTAGAGATCGTATTAGCCTTATTACTATCGATAAACTATACTTAGTATATAAGTAGAAGGAATTCCGGGAGGAATTCGCTTAAATCTATACGCTTCGTAGTCTCTTCCGCAATAATACCTTATAGCTAGGTGCCTTAGCGACTATATTATAGGAGACCTTAGAATTCGTCTTAAAGCATAGAGGCTTTCGCACTAATAGCCGCGATGTATTTAAGACTAAGGATCCGTACGAGCATCGACCGGATCGATATAATATATATATTTAAGACTATTCCTTAGAAGTATCGTAGCGACTTCGACTTGCTATACCTATTGCTAAAGAAGGCCGTAACTAATAGACAAGCTATACCTATGAATATCGACAAGGCGATCGTATTTATTAATAGCCGGGGAAAGGTTAATAAGCTAACCTATATTCTGCGTTAGTAGCTTATCTAGCTAATAGAGGGCTAAGAAGATCTAACTAAGAAGTATACCTAGAACAATGCCGGCTACAATGTATATAAAGTCGTCGCTTTCTATACCGCATATATCGCTAATTACGACAAGGATCTGCGATATAACGAGTTTAAGAAGCCTAGCGCTCGTTTATTAACCTGTATTATAGTTAGTATACTAGCGATCGCTATAGGCACTAATATTAGCGATATCAAATTCGTTAT